GGGCAGGTTTTGGGACACAGGCACCAGACATTAGTTTATTAACTGGCCTCTAATACAATCGCATTTAATCGTCAAAAATAATCCATTGCAGACATCTGGTTTCATACCGATGATGTAAATGTAATAAATATAACTGGAGAACTCTTTAAGCCTGATGCCATTTACATTTATTGCTATAGCTTTAGGAAGTATGGTTTGCAAAAAATCACTTTAGTTGATTTGCAGGCATGCCTTAATGTTACCATCATGTAAACCGTCTCATCTGAGTCTTGCTCCAGCCGATGTGTTAATCAAAGACTTATTGATTTCAGTTTTCTATCTGGATTCACATTAAGAAAGGATGAAAATACGTGCTCATTCAAGTGGCACTGTGACCAAAGATCAACGGGCATGATTCAATTGATATTACTCACAGGTTCCAGACAACCTCCGGATAATAGGACCTCCCGTTAACGCTTTATTCTCATCCCCACTCTTTTCCTTAAACCGATTCTACTGTTACAACACTCTAAAACACTCTGAAAAGCTAAGCACGATCGTCTACTAAAGAGAATCTGGGAGACAGCAGATTTCACTCTCGCACCTCCAGCACAACTGATCAGCCGGTGATAAATCAAAGCAAGCAGGCTTATATACTGAAATAGAAAACTCAGATTAATATCAGCTCACAGGGAGCTACTTGCTCTTGCTTCATAGCTTTGGCATGTGGGTTATACAGTATTTGCCACTTTGTTTTTCTGCGCCTTTTGATGAGTAAACACAGAAAAGAAGGTCACTAACTCAGACAATCTGCAGCCTCAGTGTTCGACGCTGGGACTTCACAAGCAGATCTGGAATGCAGATTGCTCCTGAGAATTTGCCATTCCCAACTGAGTTCATTCACAGGTGTCTTTCCCCACCACAATTCCTCACTGGCGGGGCTTGCAAAAGCATCCTAGAGTGAGGAGCCGCTTCAGCATGTGGGTTAATTCCACGCTGTCAAGCAGAAAGAAGAAACAACGTTTCGGCTCTCGAGTCGTCTCGTCTTTCATCTGACACACCGGGAGCTGGAGTAGACTACGCTGCTGAATCTCTACTCGTTCCTTTCTCAAACCTATTTGTCGATTTGAAATAAGAAAAAAAACTAAATGCAAAGAATAGCTAAAGAGAGCAGAGGGTCATGTCAACTGAGCTTAAAGAGGACAAAGCGAAAGCAATGATGTGATGGGAATCTAGCTGTGATGCCTTGGTGGGTCTGAGGGCAGTAATGGCTGCCAAGAAATGCCATTTCTAAAACAAAATCTGAACTGCACCCTAAGTGGGAACAACAAGGAATGGGCCAAAAGCCCAACACAAACTGACCACCGTCTCCTGCTAGGAAGGAACCCAAAGGAGAGCACGCCAAGTCTTAAAGAGTGTAGAAATACTACCATTCATGTAAAATTCAGAGGAAGCACTATATTGATTAAACATTATTTACTATAAGAATGCAATTTTGACCTGAAACACACCAGAAATTCTCTATCTGCCTAAGTTATGCAAAGGGTGTACATCTGAAGTAACCTACGATCTAATACACAGGGTTGATATTTCTACAGGTTCCTGATTTAAAGGGTAGCCCCAGTAATGTCACTGCCCTGCTGTGTCCAACTGAACCCTGTTTCGTACAACAAAGTATCAAGCTACAGCACGTGAACTCTGAATGCACTCCACTGTGAGACTGCATCCAGTATCACAATTAATCTGGATTTTTCATTTCACCTAACAGATTTATCCGTGTTGTGGAAAAAGATTAATTTTCATGTTTTAGTCGGATGTCATTAAAACAGTTTACGCTGCTAAGGCAAAGTAGTACAGTGTATACGGATACCTGAACTACCTTGCAGCACCCTGACTTATCCTTTTTCCAAATAAAAACAGACTCCTAAAAATTTCTCTTGACTGAATTTTTCAGATTGGCCCAGTAGTTAATAAAAGGGACTGTGGAAGACCTCACGCTGATGAACCGCCCCGGAGCCCCCTGGAGAAGCTGCTCTGTGAAGGAGAGGACCTGCTGTTTGCGCCTCGGCAGCAGTCATGGCCGACAATCCCCACATCTCGTCACCCTGAAGTGACCACATTCCAGTCGGACAACACATTTTCATGCTGCTCTGCTTTCCTGACAAACAAGAGTTAACATTAATACCTTGGGAAGCCTACTCACTAGACTGGAGCCCCACTGATCATTTGTGGGATGAGCTGAGGCGATGTGTGGCCCCTAGGGCTTGTGCATATCCATATTTTAAGGAAATGGACAGAACCCAAGGCGATCGAATCTGTAACCTGATTCCAAACATACAGTTTGTGCTTCTGATGGTGGCAACGTACAGTACTAAGTCTTGACTTTTCTCAGGAGAGCTCCTGTTGATGACAAATGTTAACCAGTCAATAGGAATTTACCTCCATCATGTTTTTCAATGCACATGCAGGGCCTCTGCTACAAAAATGGGTTTCTTTTGCTGTTCATTATGATTCCCATTAAAGTATGCTGCTGTGCTCTGCATCGCTGTATTTGCTGTGTATTTCTGGAGCTTGTATCAATGCTTGGAAGGCTGAACAAATCTCCTTCTTCATTTGGGATTATGCACACGGAGATGAACACAGCCATCACCCACTGCACCCTCCCGGTCCTCCAGCTTTTCCACTGCAAGATCCGAGACGAACATGCTGCAGGCGGAGAGGAATGTTTAAGCAAGTACAGCTACTGTGTAACTGTAGGTGGCGCGCATATTATGGGTTGGTCTGAAAAAAAGACCTTCCATTTGCTTCGAAATGAAGCTTGCCACTATCCCAGGTCAGCTGGTAAAAATCCACAAAAACCAAAATCAAGAAAAATCAAGGCAAAATAAAAAAAAAAGGACCGGAAAAAAAGAAGTTAGGAATGAAGGAAACAAACCTCTAACAATTCCAAAAATGTTTTCACAAGATTCCATCCAAATGAGGGGTTATTTATAACTGGAATTTCCACTAACAGCTGAGAGGCTTGTGCAGCTTTCAGGGCTGAGATATTATAAAAGGGATGGAGAAAAAACAGAGCAGAGCGTTCACACTGTCACTCACTTTCACACGAAGGGCTTTATGAGGAGTGGAACACCAGTGGAGTTTCATTACATGATCTGTACATCAGGCAGCAAGTTGCTTTGAAAAGACAGAGGTATTTAGTATTATCTAGAACCTTTCATACACCAATACTGACATTATACTGTATATATAGAATTTCCAGCTACTTACACAGTCACATGTATATATCGTATATGTATACAGAATACTCATAATTGCAGAGAGAGTGCTTGAACAGGGATATCGCTGAAGGTCTACGCACTGGCTCCCTGTGGGATTGAGGAAAAAAAATAAAAACGCTACAGCTCAACTTAAAGGCCTTGACAGGTTTGGCCCCCGACTAGTCTGTGAACCGTTAACTCCCCACACACCTTTGGTGTCTGGTCTTCTTTCGAGATTTCCAAAATGAGGCTCTGAACCCAGGGTGGCTTTCTGTTGTGCTGCTCCAGGAGAGTGAAATGATCTCCCAGTTTCCTTCTGATCTTGTAAGGCAGGCAGCACTTTCAAATCCTGTTCTAAAAGTCACGGTCATAGGCGAGATTTTGGAGCAGCCTGGTGGTGCAGTGCAGGGTCTAGGCCCCGTTTTGGAGCCAATACTTTCTTATAATAATCAGAGAAATTAGAACCCATTAAAGGACTTCGCTCATGATTCCCAGATAATTTAGGTTTGTTACTTTGCTTCCATTATAACGATCAACTTAACAGTAGCACATATATCAATAGTTTTATCATTTAGAAACATAGGAAAGGAGCTGCACAGACAGTAACATTTTAAAGTGAAAATAGACTTACCCAATAACTGGAATGCTCTATACAACATATTGTTATATTTACATGATTTCAAGGCGGTCCACAGAGATATGTACTGTGAGAGAATTGTACGCTACAAATTCACAATTATTGTCTTTGTTGGGAAAAAAATCTGCAGACAGCTAAACTTCTGCAATCATGACTGTCGTAATTCCATTCCATCGAAAGGCTGAGGATAAAACCAAACAATATTGTGTCCCTCCGACTGTATTTATCTAGACATGCACAGATGTTGCTTTAATTTTTTGCTGACAGGTCATCTGTAGCACAGTTGATGGACTTCTAAGATCAGACTATCGGCACAGAATGGCTCCCGATACGACAAATGCAAGGAAAAAAGAAGGCCTATGCAGAGGGATATTTTTGCAATCAAGATGCAGTCTGGTGATCTGAGACTACAGTGACAAAACAGAAATAACGGAAAAAATAAGAAGTCCATTATTCAATCTACAGCATTGGGTTAATGAGTACATGACTCTCCTGAGTGAGTTGATGGTGCTTTGTGGGGGAATCATCTGGGCAGCTGGGTGTACCTCAGCATGTACCTCCTTCAAAGACAACAGCGGTGTCCACAGTGGGGACTGGAACTCCAATCTGGAGCACTAAGCATCAACTATAAACTGCCCCATTTAAAGGAAAGCTAGAATCACTGGACAGCTGTTTTGTGAAGGTGACCCTTACCATTCCTTTCTGCTGTGGCCAGAAGCCAGACAGTGCACTCAGGAAGGCAAATCCAAAAGCAGGAGTATCACCAGATAAGGTGAAGACATCAAATTCAAGAGCAGGGCCCTTCAAAATGTCTATTTATAAGCACTAATGAGTTCTTAGTGCGTAAAAGTGGCAACAGTACAATGCGTACTTGAGTACCTTCTCATTAAAAAAATTCTTTCCATGTAAGTGAAGCATCCACACACAGTTTTAAACACTGTTGACTGCTTATGTGCTCCAGGTTAAGAAAAATAAGCTCACCCACATAACTCAAAATGCAATAAATGTTAACCTAAGACCATTGTAGGTATTTGCTAATTTTCCTTGAAATGCTAATATATAATATAAAATAAATATTTTCCCTGCATTCAGTTATTTTTTGGAAGGACAGGCCAAGTACCAACTGCCTTTACAGAGCCTCTGTTTATTTTTCACTGAACTAACATTCAGATTCTTTACCATTTTGGATGTGGCCAGTTAATTACTGCTCTTTTATTCATCCCTTTTCAAAAGCAATTACATAAAGTAATTATCCATATTACAAACTCAGACAATGAAAATGGAAAAGCCATAGACGTTCTATCTCAAGGCAGTCTTTTAAGTAGAACAATACACATGCAAATCATTAAGGCAAAGCTTAAGTTTTCTGTTACACTGATGAGGCTAAAATAAAAAAAACCCCATAAAAATAGCATCATTTTACTCCTTAATGACACACATGAAATACAGTTAAAAATTAAAAGGTTTTATCCCAAAATTGGAAATCATTAGAAAAGTACAATTGACCTTAATTTGTGCTTTAATTATGATCATGAAGTTATTCAGAAAAAGCAATGAAAAGGAGCTTTTGAAGTCTGTTCATACTGTATATTCTCAGCCCCCTCAACCGGGTAGTCTGGACATACATTCACTCTCTGTGCTTGGGCTATATTTCACAATGAAACAAAAAAAGTTAAGAAAACATAGCTGTCCATTTCTGATGCACTTTTATGTTTAAACCAGTTTTCCATTTAAAACAAAATAAATAACTCGTATTTTAACTTTCTCACAGTTCAATTTTATTCTGAACTACCAAGAGGAACATAGTACGAAGCAGTCACTGAACACACCCTTTCTTTAGATTCATGAAATACTGCTTTTAACACCTGGATTTACACAGCATAACCTTGCCAAGCTGCTCCTAAGACTTGATCCCATTCTGAGCAGGATCAGAATCGGTTCAGAGCTTTCTTCCTCAAGGGGAAATTAAATAAGAATTTAAAACCAAAAATCCTTTTAGCATCTCTGTACTGTCATCACAGAAGAACATCCAAAAACGTGACAGTCACGTGACTATGCCTAACAGCTACTGAACTCAAGTTTTGTTTTAAGCTTAATAATATTTTAAGGACTCTTATAAAATTAGCATTGTTTTGTCACTCCATTCCCATGTCATATTTCTGTTTGCCCTGTGTGATTGTCTTTTTCTGTTTAGACTGAAATATCCCATAAGCTTCAAGCAGAACATCTCTCCATTTACTATCAAGAAATGAACAATTTATTAAATTAGCTTCTCCTGCTGGAATTCTGCAGTTTACAACCTCACTCCAATCAGTGTCCCCCCTTTCCCCAATGTACTGCCAAAACGGCAATAAATTGGAAGGCAATATTAAACACACACATTGATCTTGTGGTTCAATGTTAACTGTTTAATATAACTAAAATAACACCATTAAAAAACATTCTTTTAGATGTAAATATAAATTATATTGTAAAACCATAATGCTCTACTGCTCATTCTCATGTTTTTAACTGTTCATATATTTATTGTCTTGTTAGAAGACAACCTACATGCAAAATTAGCAAAGTGACAACTGCGGCAAAAAATGATAATCCCTGTATGTTAAAAAGCAAATGTATGAACTCGTCAATACATGGGGACAAATGACTTGCTATAATGCTTGTACTTGCTCTTTAAGCACTGAAACAGGTCATGCTTGACTGAAAATATAAAATTCAAACAGGAGTAATGGAGCTGTACTCTAGGCCTCCTGGCCATTTTTAAACTATGATGTGGAAACTCGAATCTACTTTCTGGTATCATTTCCTGTCACTGTGAAGAATCCTACTTTCAGGAGGGATTTTGGAAACAGTGTGTGCATATATGATATTCTAAACAGAAAGAACCACACACTAAAAAGCACACAAACCAAACTGTCAAGTATGCATTACAAATGAAAGGTTGAAGGAGAGCATTTCAACCTCTCCAAGATTACTTTTCTGACGGAACAAATACGGACGTAGTGTAGGTGTCATTGAGGTTCAGGTCATAGAGGTGACAGCCATGTTCTGGGGAACCCGAGGGTGGGAAATGTGTACAATGGAATGTGTGATGCCATTACAATTAATTAATCTACTTATGGTTTTTCTCTCCTGGCTTTGGAGGAACTGCTTCCAGCTGTAATCTGCCTGCATTCCCATGTGGGCACAGTGAAAGATCAAACCCTGATCGTGTGACAGGAGGACAGTAACATTAGAGCTGGAAACTTGCTGTGCTTTCTTTTTTTTTTAAACCATCCTAAACCCACAGGCCAAGACTGGGATCAGAATTCATGACCCGCCGACATCGAAGAGCATCAGCCATGACAGCTCAACAATCGCGCGAAGCTCAGTGACCCAAGATTAACAAATTCTAATAGTCTTCTTTGGACTGATCTCCTTGTAGATGAGGCAAAGAAAGAAAAAATGGCTGAACCCACACAAACATAAACACGGACACCCTTGCACTCAAATACACTCTTTTACATTTGTTTTGTGGTGCACAGAGCAATCCTGCAGGATCACACCAACTGGCGGCTTGCAGACCGAGAGAGAGTTATGAGTTGACTAGGTGCCACGAGCACACTTTTAAAAAAGCTTGATTGCAGAAGTGGGGCAGAGGTGCACGCTTGGGATCACAGCAGCTTCCTAAAAAACTAGCTTCTCCAACTGCCGAATGTTTGAGAAGAAGATCTGGAAAAACAGAAACCAACCAAAAAAAACAAGTGCTGAACAAAGAGTCTGCTGATGTGGTGGAACTCGTGTTGCTGCTGCTTGTTGAAGAGTAACTGACAGATGCTCTAGACGCAAAGGTCTCATGAAGGGTGAGAATGTTGGTCAGATATAAAGCCTTCAGTAAGCAATGACAGGTACATGAGCCCTTTCGTGATTTCTGATTTTTTTTCTCCTACGCTGTTCTTTCAAAACAGTCTTCTTACACATAAGTGACACCTATTTGTGCTTTCAAACATCTACATCTGAGAAGAGTGCCACTTCTAACATTCAGGAAGAGACCTATAGCCTGTTACAGACTATCACTGTAAAGTACTGTTCGGCCTGATTCTTTCAGTAATGTATCAATAGCCAATTAAAACTCTCTTTTTGAGGGCCACCCTCTGGACCACAGATGATGAAAATTAGCTTCCACTGCTAACTCAAGGGAACAATTTCCCTGAGAAAAATAATCATAGTTATTTACACACTGGTTCCTAGTATTTACGTCATTCAATACACTAAAATAATCTGCATTACGAAACATTTCCATATTTTACAGCTGTGCAAATTAAGCTCATTCTAAACACCTCAACATATAATTTTCTCAAGCACGAACTGAAGGCAAAAAGTCCTTGTCTGAATGACCTCACCAATGAGACACCCACTTAGAATACTAAATTTATGCATCAACCCTCACCTCAAAAGGAGGGTCTTTCTATGCATATTAACTACATTAACACAGATGAAGGACAAACGTTATTTTATCTTTTTCAGTTTTGGAGTAATTTCAAAGGGAAATCCTGAACAAATTGTCTTCATCTAGGCACTGGGTTAGATCAAAGCAAGAATGCTCAAAAGATTTTATGAGACACTAAGTGAATAATATTAGAACTACAAGAATGCTGATTATCAAAACTATACAGTATACTATAAAACAATGCAAGCAATCCCTGAGACTGCTAAGTAAATAACTTCAAACACCATTACACCGAAATGTTGAGGTGCTTTGGAAAAATTCAGTAGCATTTTTCTTTGTCTTGTGGTGTAATTTTAAGGCTCAGATATTTGTTATTGTGGATAGGGCATGAAAAAGTACATTTTTTTCTACTGTTCGTATATTTGCAGGAGTCACATGAAGCTATAACGCTTTATCGGCAACAACTCCTCTGACAATATCAGTCCATTTTACATACACTTATTTTTGTCAATTGCAAAGTCTGCCTAAAGCTAACAGTTCACTCTTGTGTACAGCCGTGAGAAAGAACCTTGCAATATTTGAATAATCTGTTTTGGTGATCCAGACAGTTTACATACACAATAACCCTTTCTGAAACACTCAAAATCCAGCAGCCGACATCCAGCTGGCAAGCCACACTACCTTCTGCCTGTAGGCGGGCGTTTCTTGAAATCAATATTTTTCATTTTGCAGTTACAGCCCCGTTCTTAGAATAAGTCTGATTTGCAAAGCTGTCAAACTAGAACAACACATTGTTTCACAATGCAGATGTGAATATTTTTTGACACTTGATCTTTAGCCTTAAAATAAGGGGGATCCGGCTGATCAAAGACAAAAGCCCCTCAGGCTAATCCCAGGGATGGAAGCACCGCAATACACCCCGGAAACCAGGAAAAGCAGTCAAAGGTGTGGAAGGCAGGTGCTTTGCAGGGATACCGCAGGCTGAGAGCAGGGAAATCGACAGCACGGACAGTAAGTTTACGGACCAGAGGAAACTGTGCAACAGAATGTCAGCATGGCCTAAAAGCAGATAGCAGCTGGTTAGATAAAGTGATGGATAAGAACCAGGTCTTCGATAAATCAGCCCACACAGTGCAATTAACCAGCTTGCTTCTGTTTACACTGTAAATTCAATACACCACTGATGCATGTCTATGTGTACACTTAGGTTAGATAATGAGGCTGGGGGAGGGGGAGCTGCATTTTCAGTAAATCAATACTTACTGATTGGTGGATCCAAACCCGCTGCCAGTGAAAGCTACAAAATCCAAAGAGAAAATTGTTGATAGCACATTCTCAACCCTGATGCTGTAAAACGTGAACACATTACAATCATTTCTGCCTGACAGTGAGGTGAGGAAAATGACCAAGAGCTGCTGAATGTGATTATTCAGATATAGTTTACTGTGGAGAATTCGGACTTAGAGCACCAGAAAACCTGATCATGTGAACACTCCGTTCCTTGAAGGGATCCCAGTGAATCTGTTTCTTCATAGCACCTGCCAGTCCAGCCTTTTATATTATTTTGCATTTCTCATTTTATACCCAGCTAATTTGGAATCGCCAATCAGTTCCTTACATCTGGGCGGCACCTCCCTTTCCTGCACTGGTGAGGTTGTGATGGATACCCCAGCCCTGTTACCCCAGCCCTGTCGCTCTGCCATCCAGGGAATCCTGGTCCCAGTGGAGACATGACCCAGGCTCCAAGCAGTGAGATCTAAGCCATGGTGCTCAGGCTACACTCTTGTGATTTAATCATACTTGTTAATCACCACCTGGAATTGGATCACAGAATGCCAATATCCTAGTAAAGTTTCACACATCTCTGTCAAATACACATGAAAGAAAATTCAGGCGGTCATAAAAGAAAAGCCTGCTCAACCTCAACCTAATCTAATTTCATACACGAACAGAAGAACCCATAAGATTGTTCTCTTTTCTCCACTGTTGTGAAATGAAGATTTCTAATATTCCAACTGCCTTTTATCTCTCAGCTAAATTGAGCTCTAAATGTTTATGTAGCAGAAACTCTCTCATGTTTTCAGATTAGTATTCTCGAGCAGGCCCAGCAGCAACTGGGTTACTAGGGGGAGAGCTAATGGGATACCACAGTCCCAGTGGTAACAATTATACCTGTGGTCTTTTACCACAGAACAAAGTCAGCTGACATTTTGCTCTAGGGTAGTCTTACACTGTGCTAACTCGGCTCCTAATGGTCTTAGCAGAATGAGGCTGGAAAGTGTTTCCCAGAAGAATCAAACTCTTTCCTCGTCGAAGACGGGCAGTCTTGTTTAAGACTTGCTCATCTGTGCGGGGTGCTACATGTCTTTTCCTGCCGTGCTTTAAAAAAAGACCTTCAACAGAAAATAGCGCACAGGGCAGGACATGGGATTATCATCATCTTGAAGGTCTTCTCGAGTGGCTGCAATGTCAAGTAAATCTGCTGTGCTGAACTCTGGGAGGTTCTGCCGTCCAGTCACTGGGGGGGCAGGGCTGTATTTGGGATTCCAGAAAGGAGGAGAGCAAGCAGATGAGCGTCTCGGGGCTAATGTGATCTAGGGGGCTAAGCTATCATCAGCTTGCTTGGCACCTGTGAACTTGTGTGGAAGAACCAGGTCTTCTCCAACAAGCACGAGCTCACCGCTAAGTCTGTGCAGTGTCTAGGAGCGTGAAACTACGGCCCACACCCTCCCTGGACAGCTATGTGGGAGACAGCTGTAAGATACGCTCATTAATAACTAGCAGTTCCAAATCTGGAGGGTGTTATACTACGGGTATAGGATTCACCATATCAAACAGGCCCGTAACGTTGGAACCGCAAGGTGAAGAGACCAGAAACAGTGCCCAAGCAATCACCTTGCGTTTGACAACAGAGGCTCATTAAAATCTGGTATGGGAACACTGGCACTCGGTAAAGCACATGGCTCTTTTTATTTTTTAAACTTAATTTAGTGGGTGTGTAGCACTACTGTTGCTGCTTAGATAAGCACAAAGGAAAAAAAACTTGGAAAAACGATAAAACACAATTCACTGGCCATGAACTAACTATAACGGCAGAAGGAACAAAGTGTTGAGCTTGGCTGGGTGTGGGCCCGGCAGGTGTGTGTTTGTATCCTTCTGAACCTAAACGAAAAAGGAATGGAACCCTGTGGACAACGCATCTGTAGCACTGCTGGCACAAAATGAGGGAAACTGTCAAGGGGAAAATGTGAGTGGGCTGTTTCATTTGTCCTACAGAGAAAAAACGGTGCGTCACTGTGTATCCCCACCAGGCATAACCCGTGTGTAAGTGACCCACCTCCTCCTGAGGATCCGAACCCAGAGAAGCCGGAGCTCTGGGCTCCAAACCCGGAGCCCTGCTGAGCCAGGGAGCCAAAGGAAGACGGACCAGCCAGACTGCTGAAGCTCGGAGCATTGGAAGCTGAAGCGAAGCTGTGAGGGAGAGTGAGAAACGGACAAAGAAGAAAATCAGAAAGGCAACGAGAAGTCAAGGAATATGAGAAACTGTATGTATTCTTACGATCTAAGGATCTAGCGATACTTCGCTGTACTTCTGATTATTCCTTTTTCCAGACTGAGATCCATCATCTAGGCTCCTGCGGACAGCCTATATGTTTGTGTTTGCTAACTGATCCTTCTAATGAGAGGACTAACCCGTGTCCAGAAACGGGGGAGCACTGTGCCGAAAGACGTGCGGGGATTAACTGCTGAGTGAGAAAAAGAAACCAGGACCATCTGAACGGCTCAGTCTCCAGGAAAGCACATCTGACTGCAGTGAAGCTCTTTCAGAACCCTGGTCTTAGTCAAGCGTTTAATCTTGGATGATGAGAGAGCTAGAAATACAAGAGACCTCTGAACTCAACCCGGAGAGGCAATTTTGGCAGCTGCTCTGCTTGTTACTAGAGGTCATCCAGGACAAGATTAATTTTCAAGGAATGCCTGTATGGATTGTCTGGAATGTGATGGAGCACTATTCACTTTGTAATGATCTAGATCTTCCAGAAAGACAACAGATTCCTAAAAATAGTCACTGCTCATTCCCCACAAAGATTACAAAAAAAGACAGCTTTGGCAGTATCTCTCATCAGAGGGAGGTAAATTCCATCCTGCAGAATAATGCAGGATGTGTGGACAGGAAGAAAAGATGACTAGTACATGCCTCAACAACAACCAATCCAAAGATACTGACTAAAAAAAACAACACAGAAAGGTCAAGGGCTTTTCTTCCCTTCCGGCAAGGTACCCTGGAGGTAATCCAGTCGGTATCACTAATCCTCTCTATCAGCCCACCACCAGAAGAAGGGTAATGCGAGTTACGTCAAACCATCTGCAGTATAATTCACTGCTTCCAGTTGGACAGCGATTTTAACATTCCTAGACGTGCAGCAGTGGACCTCCCCAGAGCACAGGGCCAACAAACAAAATCTAATTTTTTCCCGCGACAATTGTAATTCGTTTTGGAAAACAGATTTCAGATACCGCAGAGCAACTTGTTCACTTGTGTACAGTGGAGGTGAAATCTCCTCAAGGGAAGAGATGAGGGCGTTTCAGAAGCAAATCAGCTTTTGTTTTCAGAGGGTGACTGCCCTTCCCTAAATCAGAAACCTTCTCAGTTTAATTTATCTTACTTTAAAATAAAGTGACATCTATAGGCTCTTCGGTGTTTAAACATAGCCATAAATGAGGATTCTGCTCCTGAATTCAACAAGCCAAGCTGCTTTTCTGTTCACACAGCTGCTGAGTGTTTTCCCTCATCAACCCCTCAAGCACAGTATACAGGTGTCAATAATCAAGGATCTCAGAGCCTGTTCAAGCTTATATTTCACTCCTTCTTCACCACAATTCAGCCTAAAATGGATTAGCTATTGCTTATCTGTTTATTTCCACCAGCCGTTAAACAAGGTGTCTGGGATAGAGGTTCTTCTCCTCAGACTGGGGTGTGTTCAACGTACAGCAGTCACAAGCACAAACTCTGGAATCCATACAGGCATTACTAAAATTAAGAAACATTTTGGAAAGTAGTCTACTCCTCTACATGCTGCCATTACGGTGTATGAAGTCTTTAATCTGAGATTTTCCTCCGAGACGCTTCTTCTGTGGGAGGAGCTGGGTGTGCCCTGTGAGGCCCCAGCAAATGCCGACCAGACCTCTTACCCAAATCCTCCGACGCTGGCCGCTGCCGTCCCCTCCCCGAAAACTTTGCCTCCGGTGGAACCCAGGGGGCTGCTGAAAGCTGGGGCGGAGCCGAATGCTGGCGCCCCTCCGAAAGCTGGGGATCCCCCGAAGGAGGGAGGGCTGCCGAACACTGGAGTGCCCCCAAACCCACCTGAGCAAAACAGAAGCAAAACGTGGAGAGAGATCACACACTGTTAACTGCACGGGGGAAATATAGAACTCAAATAAACATGCTCTCTCTAGGAGCTGCTCTGTGACAGAACTGGACTGGACATCAGATCATCAGGCAGTGTGTCTGAAAAACAACAGAAGTAGGAGAAGCAGCTAAGTTACCAGCTTTGCATAGTGCTTAAGACTTATGACATGTGATACTTTAAAATAATGCACTCGGATGTTTCTTCTGCTAAGGGGCTGGATCTAGTCTCAGATATGGAGGGACATTCAGACAAGTGGCACAGTTTGAAATTTCAGTGTGGTCCACCGTACCTGTCCCTGAATAATTAAAGAGGTAATGTGATTGAGTTGCAAGCTACTCTTATTAAAGATGCAGCAGCTGTGCTTCCTGTCCATTTTCACAGGGTCACTGTCTAAAGGGGCTTGAGTAAAGGAATCCTTTTGAGCAGCAGTTAAAAGAAGGAGCCCATTGTGGCTTAATGTATATTAAGTATACAGAAATGAAAGGGGTTTTTAAAAAGGTAAATCAGACAAGTCATTTTGTAGGCCAGTTACCATTTCCCGTGATCCAACACTCAGCAAATATAAAAGTATATACCGAATGTGCAGGACAGAGGGAACTACAGGGGGACTGCAGTCCAAATTTCTCAAACTGGTTATTAAATCTTGGTAACAAAATACATGAACTGACAGTATCGCAAAATTTTACGAATTCCGAATTAAGCACAAAATCGTGAACTTTGTGAAAGTACTGGACATGTCCAAAACCCCTGGTCTCACCAGATGTGAAGCAGCCCTTCCTGCTCACTAGTCACTGTAGCGACTGATGTGATGTGATGACCGTAGGAATAAGTACAGGTTGTGCAGCAGACATTTCACAGCGGAAATGTTCCAGCATGATCTGCATGCAGGGTTAACAAATAAGAAGTATTTGTCGGTAAAACCGTCTGTAACTCGAGAGCGCAATATTTCTGAAAAAAAATACACTCATCAATGCTGATTCTTTCTAACAAACATAATAGTCTACCGTGGCACTGAGCTCCCAAGCTGGAGCTCAACAGGCTGACACCATGGGGCTCGAGTCAGCTAAGCAATGTCAGCGGCTGCTCAGACACCTGAGGCCTAGTATGCACCAGGGAGCTTGCAGTGATGTCAGGGAGAGATGTGCTGCTCCCCCCTGTCACAGGAAGCTTACCTATAAGGCACAAAGGAGCATCATGGGAAATGACTCAGACAGGAGGAGGAATGTCTATGGAGGCCATCATTCAACCTGCCTGCTGTAGGGTAGGTGTTGCAAGTCTAGCTGATTAACAATCCATGATCAAATGGGGAAGACATAAAACAAATTTCTGACTCCAAATTTAGAAAAAAAAAACCTTGGATGTGCCATCTGAAGTCAAGAACAGCTGAAGAGGGGCTGTCAAGAAATGGAATGTCATAACTATCCCTGCTTTGCAAATTCAGCTGACACAGAAATGGTATGCAGCTGACTGACAAGAAAAGCAATCCGAGAGATTGCTTTGCAGGGTTCACTGCATGCTTAAGACAGATGTCATCTGAAGCTAAGATGATGATCTTTAATAAATTGAAATAAAAAAAAGCTCTGATCATTTGGATATTATAAAAAATAACAAAACCAATCTTTCTTGAATTGCACTGATATTTTCAAAACACTGTGTGTGAGAATCTGGCAACAGTGTTCAACAGCTACTGGAAGGCAAAAGCATCTCTAAAAATAAATGCTCAAGACAAATGTGCAGATATTTGGTAACAGGGTATGCTTCCTTTATGATCGTACCAGATTCATAATGGGTGTGTCGTTCATCCATCATCACAATGGCTGCTCTTACTCTCAAGCCTTAGAAAAGTGCTCCTGCAACTGCACAGCTTGAGAAACCCGCCCCAAAAAATCCTACACTGAGCCTGGCCTGGTGCAATCAACAAACAGGTATCCAATTTGTTGTGTCACAGAAGGCTGCATAGTTAATTGAACTGGTCACATGTCACAATTTGGAAATGGAAATGAGTCAATTTTCAGCCTTAATGAAACAAACGTCATGAAAACACAGCACGAAATGCATGGTTGCAGGATTGTCTGGAGAGTGTTTGGGATCCTATTTTTTTTCAAAAGAAACAAAGTATCTCTTTTCACAAGCAGGCACCCTTCAGATCAGTGTAGTCATTCTTAGTTTTAACGCAAATGTGTTTCAATTTTGTTTTTCATAGGTTTTCAATTCCCCCCTCCACGATAAGAATAGTCCAAAAAAATCCAAATTGGTAGCTAGTAGCTAGGGAACTCATTTGCAGATTCTTGAAAGAAACTAGGGTGCTTGCTCCAACAACAAAGGTGAGTAGCTGGGTCCACACTCCCACAAGCCCCTGCGTGAAAATGAGCCCCAGGCCCTGCCTGAAGGACCACATCCAGCTGGTTCTTGACAGAAAACATGGTGTGGGTTTCAAGAACATGGCTGGGGCTCTTGTGCCAGACTCCCACCAGGCGTGATGTGTGGGCTCAACACGGCACAGTGGTCACCGAGTGGGTATGAACTGAGTTGAACACAAGTGTAGTCTGCCGAGGCGCTCAGGATACCTGTTTTGGCCGGAGTGGAGAAAGAGCCGAAACCCTGTGCCGCCACAGTCCCCCCTCCTGTGCTGAAGGTCCCACTTGGCTTCTGCTCCCCAAATGAAGAGCTTCCAAAGCCAAAGGTCTTGGCTCCGCTGTTCCCGAACAGGCTGCTGGTTCCTGCGGGAGACAAGATCATCAGGTGGTGCGCTTCACGGCGCTCCACATACGAGAGGAGAATGCTTTCACATTCAGGGTGTCCATTTCTTTCTTGCTCACTGCATGTCTGGACTGCCTGCCTCAATCGACTCTCAGAGGTAAAGACACCAAAACTGTAAACACCGAGGTAAAAACCATTTACTTATTGAATTACTCTTTCAAAGTTTGGTAATAAGGCGTTAACTTTTCAAGATTTAGATGAGAGTTAAAACGCTTCAATTAGAATTTAGTGAAAGGACGTAAAGCATTTCTGCACTGAAGGAGTTTTGTCAGCATGGTGCGGATGAGTAACGCTCACACGCTATGAGATATGTACTTGTCCATGGGTTCTTTACACTACATGCCCCACTTTACCAATGGAAAGTGGTGAACAGTTCAGAAGCTAACTGTGGAATATATGATCTTATAGATGCGCTGTAGTTTGGAAAATAAATAAAGGCATAAGTAACACTTTGTCATGCTTTCAGAGGCTCAGGAGGAAGATTATCCTGGTGTAGAAACCTAAAGCCTAGGACTCCTGGGAGGTATCCATGGAAAGCCACTCTGACAGATTTTGTGAAGATGTCCTAGTCATGGTAATTAGCACACGATAACTGCCTTAGTGCAGTGTTGAGATATTAAGCTCTGGCTTTCTCCAGGATAAATGTGGTTTCCCACAGGAAGCAATTACTTATTGGCTGCATGTATCAAACATGCAGTGTCAGCAGAACGAAGCTACTCTTTTCACTTGCAGTGTTTTATGAAAAGCATATTGATTTTTGTTAAAGAAAGCTCATGGGGACAAGCAATAGAAAGTTACAGTAAAAAAAGCTAACATGAGACGGATGCACTCGATGAAAACCAAAAAACAAAACTTCTTACATTTTCTACTCCCCACTCAAAATTACATTTCTGTGTTAACAGAACAAACTGTTTCTACTTTCAGTACGAGACATATGGTTTGACGTGTGAAGGGAACATTTTTATTTGCCCAAGGATCTCATTCATCCTTGCCTTCAGTCGCTTCCTCGGTGAACTACAGCACACATCCTCCGTGCTGAATTTACAACTGTACGTTTATCACAAGAAAAAGACTGCAGAGAATCTGAGAAGCTTCACAGGAATCATCTTATGAACATCCCAAGAGACCTTCCAAACTTTGATAAACAGTTATCAAAAAAGTTTAAGATGCGGGGGAGTGAAACAGAAAACTCAGAAAAAGGAGAAAAAAAGAGTAAAATATGTAAGTAAATCACACTAATGCTGACATCCCTGACCCAATCTGCCCACAAGTGGTTGGGCTATATCAATGTATAGATTTTGTATCACATTAAGAAATAAAAAGTAATTTGAAAAGCTCTTTCTAAGCTCATGGAATAAATGAACCCATATTACATTCTCCAAGTATAAACAAAGCAAACCAATATATTGAGGCAGCAGCTTACAAGAGCAGTCAGGCCTCTGAAATGCAGACCCAAAAATCACAGGTTCAAATCCCATGTGAGACACTGTTGTGATGCTCTTAAGCACAGCCTTTCAATTGTCGTGCTTTATAAATGCGTCTCCGGGATGTCATTTACTCTCTTCACATGTCTTGTTAGCTACCAAACCATATCCTGCTAACACAAACCTATCCAGAAAATGTGTTATTTGAACTAAATTCAGCCTGGCATTAACCTCAGTATCTGTGCTGCAGTGGTATTTTTACTGCAGAAAGAAAGCATGACTAAGAGGTAGGAGGGTAATCAGATGCATGCTGAAAATATTGACAGCAAACTCAAACCTGTTCAATGCCAGATTTAATGCATCCATTCAGCAGTTCCTTAGGGAAAAATATTGAGCGCAATAAATACAGTCCTTTTGATTCGTAAACCACAATTTCATTACATTAACCTGAAACAAAATGTGTTTAAAGATTATTCCAGAGGCATGATGAAACACATAGAACTGCAGAATTTTTGGGGGGATAAACACTGACCTAGCTACAAAGCTTTAAAACTGGACCACTACTGACAAGATACAGCATATTTATCATCCTCTGAACAAGTTAGTTTGGGAAAAACCTGAACCAAACTTGCTCAAGAGAGTATGTGACAATGAGAAAGATAAGCTGAAATGACCATACCTCTGCTAATGATTCCTAGGAGGACTGTAGCAGTTTCTGAACTACACTCCCTACTCTAGTAAGAAGAAAAAACTTACACTGGAAACATGAGTAACAGAAAATGCAGACACACCCTTTCTGGTTACAGAACAGTTTTGTTTCTTAAGGCCTTAACTGAGTTGAAGTGAAAACAATGTCCCATCAACAGATAAATAAAAATAAAAATCTCCCCAAGTAAAACAGAGAACACCGTCTTAATCATTTTGCAAATAACTCTGCACCTTACATAGAGGCAGTAAGCTCTTAACATTTCTTCATCATTTTGTCAGGTTTGTCGGGTAATTTTCAAGGGGATGCACAGCTTAATGCTCTACCCATAATGCCCTTCTGCTCCAGCTGACTCACCTGCTTGACTGGCCTGACCGAAGGCTCCGGAGGAAGTCGACCCGAATGGGTTTTTATTGGCGGCGTCCTCGCTGGGTTTGCCCCCCAGGCCGCTGAAGAAGCCGCCCCCTCCACCCGCCCCTCCCCCGGCCACAGAGCTGCTGTTATTTCCTGATCCAAAAAGCCCCCCTCCAGTGGAAGACTGCTGCTGGGAACACAGATAAACAGAGATCAGTGTTTTCACCCAAGCGCTGGGTATAGTCTCATATCAGCTACTTAACAACGCTGGTCCTTAAGAGCCCCAATCCAATCCCCCGTTTTATAGATCTTCTTAACACTGGGAACACCAGTTAATCGCGGGTCAATTAAGCAATTCTGCTCAATTACAGCTCTAGTTCTTGAGGGACACAATCTCTAAGTTACTTAATTTAACTAAATCACCTGCTTAATTGAGCACAATGAATTTGTGTCAAGTCTCTATAAACCTGCACTTAAACACTGACCAATAAAACCTGCTGGACTGGAGCTCTTCAGGACCATGACAGGAAATTCCCTGGTCTAGCCAGTTGTGCATGAACAGTTATATGAAAAAATTCAGTTAGGTAAGCTTAGTGACACACGTTCACTGCCCCAGAGTGACCCCAGTCACTTACAGCCTTATCCCTAAGAAAACCAGGGAAACAGGTTAAATTCTCACTGTTTTGAAGTCTGACCTGTTTCAAGTTTAAGTTTCAATCTTAAGTGATTTCAGACTGGTACATTAAATTGTTAATAGCTGTGCAAAAAAAAAAACCCAACATTTTTGCTTCCTTAACATTTCCCACTAGAGCCCCATGGCTCGATAAATCTGAGATGCATCAAGCTACCACGAACAGCAAGATCTATCTGCTCCCTTGAAACTACTTTTTAATTTTGTAACTGCACAGCACTGATAAAAGACTACACACAAACCCAGGCAGAGCCAGAGAAAGATGCTTTCCTGGTATCTGATCCAAGCAGTACAGATTAGAATCTGTTGTTTAGACAACTCTGGCAGCAGTGGCTCTTACAGCTACTATATCATTTCCAGCAAATGTATTTATGTTGTGAGACCGGAAATAACTTCCTCTCACAGTTATTTGGCTGTGTGAAGTGAGTTTACACTGTGGTTAGATATCAGAAGAGAATGGAGTGCTCTAGTCAAATTTCTCCAGGCTACTGATATCGGAGAGAGGATCTTGGTGATGTACTGTGCGCTACTACAGGCTAGCTGTGGACATCAATTTCCACAGGTATTTTTGCCTCCCATGTGGCTGTTAAAAAGCACCGTGTTCTGGGGACTGTTTTTTCAAAGCTTGACTAATATGCTAATGTCACAGAAACTCTAATCAGACGAGTCGCTGAATTGCAACAGGTCTTAGGAGCAACTTTTCGGCCCTGGCATGACATTTTTCAGAATGTGTCGGTGCAGAGATTCGGCACTGGCGCAAGCTCAGTGAGGCACAGGAGAGAGGAAATTGTCAGTCATTCATTCTCTGGCTGCCTCTCAGACCATTCATCCACAGACAGAAGGAGAGATCTGAATATTTATAAATCCAGCAGGTGACCGAGAGTATAACATTTGGCAAAGGCAATACAAAGTATAAAAACACACCTGAAAACTGACATTTCAGCCTGATGGCTAAACATTTTCCATCATTAAGATTAATAAGTAATTTTCACCTACAGTTAACTTTAGATTTTGTTTACCGGTGAAAAGATCGACTTGTATTTGTACAGGCTTCTGATCCACCACCTCAGATATGGAAAGGGACGCACTGCATCCACCTCTGTAGTTATGAAACAGCGGGTCAGCTGGAGAAGCAAGGAATTGCTTCGCAGGCCAGATTTTTTCTAAGCCCACGGTGGAATGGAGGCAGGACAATGGCGTTAAAATCCCCTGCTCTTGGAGAACAGCTAAGGAATCGAATGATGAAATTGCCAGGATACTGGCCCACTGTCACTGCCGGATTGATTTTTGGGAATTTTGCTCTGGAGGGAAGAGCGCCACCTATTGGTCAACCAGTGCTACTTACAGCAGCTAAGTGCTGTGCTGCGATCCCACTCCCTCCCATCCCACTACCAAGCTCAGCCGTGCGTAGCTTCCAAGGTCTGACAGGATCAGGTTAAAGAGAGGTAATGCTGCTACAGGACAAACATCCTACCTGGCCAAAGACGCTACTGCCACTGGGCGGCTGGCCGAACACGGAAGTACTGGGCGCGTTGCCAAAACCTAGGAGGAAGAAACAAAATGACCAAAACAGTCAGAGCTGAATTTCTTCTCAAACCAAGTCACGCAGTGTAATGTGCCCCTGAGATCGGTCACTTCCCTCAGAAAGCTGTAAATGGAATTTCAAGACTCCTTTTAAGATTCAGTCTGCAATGTTATGCAGCTCAAGTCAACCACCCTGGGCTTCCATTTCTATGTTCTCTGGATCAGCGTGCTGGAATGGCATGTTTAACACGAGTCCTTAGGGGTCACACACAAGCTGCGCTGTGGGACTAGGAGAGCAACACGTGGCGGAAGGTCACTTTTATATTTAAACCGCAAGTGCTCCTATCTGTCCCCTTTCTGCTGTCCGGAAATATGGCATCTCTACAAGATCACAACACGCCCCTCACAGAAATACCAATGCACAAAAAAGCCTGGCTGACATTTGTTGAATATACAAACCTGATCAGTTTTTCACTTACATATAATTGATTTCAGGACCTCCTGTCACATCTGCGTCAGAGAACAATCAGTGGAGATGGTTGATAAATATTATTATTTAGGGACTGTTCCGGACTGCAAGTTAGATTTTGACACAGACGTCGATTCTCTTTTCAAAAGGGGGAACAGTATCTATTTTTCTGAAGAAAGCTTAAGCATTATAAGGTTGCTAACTCATTGTTGATCTTGTTGTTCTTTTATTGAATCTGCTTTAAGTTTTTCCCTGATCTGCTGGTTTTGGAACCTGGATCTGAATAAGAACAAACGGGAGAGAACTGTCAAATTATATCTTGCGTAAAGCATGCTCCATTCTAGATGACCCTGTGTTTGATTACAATTACTCCCAGAACTGTATCTCAGAACACAGATATAGATTTCCCAATTTACAAACAGTTTCAAGCTCTCATTTATACCTGTGGCCATAACCCTGCTCAACAGTTGATTCTCTTGCCCTGTTCATGTGTACTCGTGTTTGTTTGGGTGTTTTCTTTAGATTGTCCACTGCTGTAAAACGAATTGCCCCTTGGGGATAATAAAAGACACTTACCAGGCAGCTAGCTGGACCCGGACTCTTATAGGAATACTCAACCCAGATGGCATAATAGGAGAGCTATAGAGCTCTTCTGCTCAGCACAACCCCGGTAGTAACCCTTTAGTTACTAATGACACTTTAAAAATGCACTAAGGAGTTATACGTGATAGTGATCTGGCTACTGTTGTTAAAGGTGTAATTAATGATTCGTAGTAGTTATTTAATGCCAGGTCAGTGACTCTCTATTAATAATCTTTTCATAAACTGCAAACTAAAAAGGATTTAGAAATGAGATTTGCAAAGCCTTATCTAAAGTGTTATCACTATTGCTATGGGTGGCAATTTAGGCAACATAAAACTGAACAATACCGCAAAAAGATTTGTTCCAGAGCCTGTAACCATTACACATTCTGAATTCTGACACTTTCTATTTGTGCTGGGGAGGAAACAACAACAACAACACAGGGCAGGGCTCAAGCCTTACCATCTGAGGTCATGATAAAATCACAGGTTTGTCTCATTAAATACTGCAGGGAAAACAAAATAGTGGAGTCATTTTATGGTTGAACTAGTTCCAGCTTCATTATGCTGGGTGGTACTAAAATTCCCTCAGCTAACATACAAATCACTTGTAGAAAGATCTACACATTTGAGCAGAAAAAAATCCCATTGATTTTAAAACCAAACCCCATTTTGCTCCAGTTATCCGGTCGTAACTTGATACATGAAATATACACAAAAGGCCAAGCCAAAACAGTCACATTAAGATCACATTCCTTTTCGACTGCAGGCCATTTCTATTAAACAATTACTGTTCTGCTATGTTCTGTTAATTTGTATACTAACCAGACCATGATATTAGAGTGTGATCAAAAAGCCTGACAGGTGCAGTACAAGAACAGAGCACAATCAATCCTACACTATATTCCAGCTGTATAGCGTACATATATACGTTGACCTATATTAGTATAGAAATAGAAAGATAAATGCATACTTTCCACTATCGGTTAATTATAGAAAAGGTACGCACACTCTTTACTCAGAATTGATCGTATCAATAAGGTATTGAAAGGGGTTACAAGCAGATTTGTTCAACTGTATATCTGTATTGTATAAAATCATATTTAATTTAAAATATCCCTTTACCAACGAGAGTAAGATTAAGTCACTTTCTGCATGTGACCATAATTCTTTTTTTTTAAACTTTACAAACTGAAGCCTTAGTTTCTCACTAATCGTAAGTAAAAACACTTTTGGTGAACCTGTTTCTATTGTCTTGCCTTTGCAAATCTCACTTATTCAATCCAATGCTTTTAGAAGACACAGATGACCGCCCACAGAACAAGCCATGCTCAACGTAACTTCTGTCTATAATCAACTGCTTCTTCCAAGCATGAAATGTTTACAGAATGTGCAAAGGTTTTGGTCCAATTTACATTCAATTTTTGTTTTGCTATTGCTGAAAATTGCATCAACTCTCTCTTTTGGAAAAAAGCCAATGACTCTGGAGATTCAAATGCATACACATATTTTCTCACTGTCTTTTATGCCTTACCTTTTCAGAAAAAGTGACTAGACTATCAACACCATGCTTTCGATCAAATGATTTGAATCATCAAAGGCCAAATACAACAGAAAAGGTTACTAACGTATAAACACAGATAAAAGCCCTCTGAAGCCTTTTCTCTTACATTCATAAGGCTGCTAATACATTTCTACATTATCAAATGCAATAATACAGCAGCTTTAAGATGCTGTAACCTCATCTTTCAGATATGGGCCTGGCCAGTAGTGAGATGGGAGACCTCTGAAGAAAATCAGGTTGCTGCTGCAGGTGCAAGTGGACCTGTACATGGAGATCTCCTCTTCTCTCTCATTCAGAACATCCAACCAACGCCCCTGTACAGTGACCAGTGACACCCTGTGACTATGCTCCTTGAAGACCAATCACAGACTACCTAAGTATTGGGTCATTAAAAATCCCGTGTCACTGTTTGGAACAGCAAGGGTGTTAAGATAAGATCAATTTATTGGCCATATACAACTTCTTGCATTAGGAATTTGTCTTTTTCGCAGACCCCAGCTTGCTCTCCATGAGACACACAGACAGGGAGAGAAGCTTGGGGTCAGAGCGCAGGGTCAGCCATTGTACAGCAGCAAACCTAAAAAAATATATTTTAATGTCACTTGATTATATATGGGAAATATTAGGTTTTAATATTCATGGACCCTCTGAAGACCTAGCCGTACATACATTTAGTTAATGCAGCTTGGCTGTAGGCTAGTAGAAAGCTTAAAATTTATACTCTTATGTGAAAAATTGCCTGTGTGGAACACACACAGTATCACAGCATGACTGTTGCAGATATTATCACATGGCTCACAATCTGAATTCATGTTTAATTTACGCAAGCTCGCTGTTGATAAACTACTTCTTAACCAGAGCACTAATTACAGAACCACGCCACCTTCTATTCATAGTTCTGCGATTTCTCTCACGGGATCAATAAAGTATCTATTTATTATGGTATTATGTAGGTAATGGGCAAACAATTCTAGGGTTTCTAACTTAATTCAGCTGTTTTTGTTTCCCTGGATAGGGCTGAGTGATATGAGTGAAAATGCTTGTCCTTTGCACAGTACGAGTTGTGCGTTTCTTTGCCCACACCCATGAGTGCAAAACTGAGGTGAGGGCTGGGTTTGTTACACAAAACCTTATAAGGCCAGCAGGTCTGGCACTGATCTAAAGGGGGCATCACATACAAGTCACACATCTACACATTTCTCCGCGGTGCAAACGCATAAAAAAAAGTGCTTTGGCCCTGTACCAATTCTTACTTTCAAACATTTTACAGCGATGGTTTTATTGTGTACAGGGTGCATATAAAAATTAACTGTCCAATTCAAACAGCTGTACCATGAAAACGGCACCACAGCACAATGAAATTAAGCAAAATAACAAACAGCACCATGGGACTGATATTCCTAATAGCTAATGACACTGCACTCTGCATGGCACAGGACATCTGGCACCTGCCAGAAAGAATGTGGCAGCTCTGGTGAGTCTACAAGAATGCGTTTCCCATTGTCCCAGTTGCCCACCATATACCCATTTCTTGGGTCCAGGGAACTGGTCAGCTAATGCTGTAAGAGCTATTTATTTTTTTTATATTTTAGGTCAGGCACACCAACCTAAATATTTGTGCAGATGAAATTCTTGCGCCAGATCTTCATCTGGTTTATTCAATGTTGACTTGTATCTAGCAGTGCTGTAGGAGGATCCCTGGTCATTTAAAGTTCCACTGTAATTAAGTCAATTCTAGCCCCACTATCTTGTGTATCACCCTCAAGCTGAACGCCACTGGGTTCAGTGGACTAGGTTTATGATATCCCTAATACAGAATTAGGGGCTAAGCCTGGATTTTAAAGTAATGCAAGCTCCTCTGTTAGGGTGGACTAAAGTTAATGTTAGCAAGTGTGGTATTTGAGCAGTGGCTAAGCCTGGTAGTCATTGTAAGGAAGGGCTTTTTGTTGTGTTAATTTTTTGATTCAATGTAGAGAGGAGAGTAGGTACAGGACAAGAGAACAAGAGGATATTGAGGTTAGCAGTATATATTGATAAAGTCCCTAGCCCAGATGAGGAGCTATGACTAGGCTGAGACTAGGACTTAAAAAAAAACAAGTAGCTCACCTCAATCTCCAGAAACAGGACTTGAACTGCCGTGAGACATGGCACACCTCTGGATTTGTTCCTAGTCTCAGTGCATTAAGCCTTCTAAAAGTGTTTCAGAAGACTGCATATAAATGTAGCCATTGGATCTTGTATAAACCAGAGTGAACATCGTCATTAGAAACGCCATTAATCATAACAGTGGTAACTGAGACAGGAAGAAGGACGTTAGCCTCTGAAAGAGTCTCATCCATCTTCATTGTTATAGCTGGAAGTAAGCAAAGCTGCATGCTACCCTCCATATACAACCAGCACCTTTTACTAAGGATTTGTGCCTCAGTGTAAGTTAGACTTCATCCAGGTATACCCAAGATTTGCCCGAGCACTCACTCTCTTTTTTTGCCTTCTATTTGTAAGCAACAGCGTAGGTACATAGACCATACAGAAGCAGGCAGGTCAGCAGCGCTAAACTGAGAACTGAGACAGGGAAAGCATATCCCTGCATTCCCGAGAGGAGCTGGAATAATGGAGAATGTTGTTGTGTCTGGCTCCCATGTGCCATCTTGTTGTGTGCGGGTCACTGGAGTGGGGCGCGGCCAGTGAACCCCCAAGGTGCTTATTCGCCCACTACCCGAGCCGGGGCTCCTGCAGCGAAGGCTGAGAGCAAACCAGGCGGGCCCCTCCTGAGGGCTGGACCCCCGATCGAAAGCCGAGAGCGCTGTGCAGCTGTCCAGTCGAACCCTGAGGGAGGGGCAGACGTGAGGCGCGGGGCTCAGGGGGAGCTGCCTGAGGACGCTCTCCAAGTGCCTTTCCCACAGATTCCCTGCATTCCCCGGCTGGAGACACAGCCCGGAGATGCAGGACCCCGACCGGTGCACGAAAGGCAGCCAAGCACAGCTAGAAGGCTACAAATCCTCTTCAGACGTTTCCACAGGTAAAGGGGTAAGACAGGAAATATAGAGGTGAAAGTCTGAGGATTGCGTTGATTGACTGGAGTAAAGTGATAACTGCTGATAAAAAGGAATTGCTCTCTAAAGCCCATTAGTAACTGCACACACTTCATATCAGATTTGCTCACAAGACTGTGCCCAAGGTTGGACTATTAAACTCCCTTCCCAAGGTGCTTCTGATTTCCAGTCAGAGTTAAGTGCTCGGTTAATTTAAATAGTCTAATTAAATTAACTGGATCTACTAGACAGGTTTCTGGCTTTTAACCAAGTTCAGGTTTGCTGGCTCTGTGGCTAAGGATCTGCGCCTGAGGTTGGAAGGTTGCCAGTTCGTGCCCCGCGGCCGGCAGAGGAATCCCACGCTGTTGGGCCCCTGAGCAAGGCCCTTAACCCCAGCTGCTCCAGGGGCACCATATGAATGGCTGACCCTGCGCTCTGACCCAAGCTTCTCTCCCTGTCTGTGTGTCTCATGGAGAGCAAGCTGGGGTCTGTGGGAAGATTCCTAGCAAGGGCTAGGGAACCACAAAAGTCCAAATTTAGGTTGATGTGAAGAAGATTTGTTATGCATCAAATATATACTTAATTTATCTGTTTGATGTTTGCTCAAAACGTAAAACAGCCTCTCCAGTTCTTAAAGCTTGTGTGTTATTTTCAAAATACAAGCATGTCTGTACCTCCCACCACAGAATAGTTAAAAGGTACCTTCCAAAAAAGCCAACGCATTAACATTCATTTCATATTGAGCGCGCAGCACAAATCTATGTTGTGGAAATGTGTAAGAGATGATATTTGATCAAGGAGAACTCTCCAGACGAATCAACAAGTGACAAGTGCTTTGAAATGTATCCACCGTGGCACTTTTAGCACTTTGGTGAGTTTGTGAGCGTTTCAAAATGATGAGAGCAACATGTTAACGAGTGACCAGAGCATCAGAACCAGAGATCCTGCTCTTTCCCTTCCTGGCGTAACCTTGAGGTATACAGGCCAGGGAAATTCAGCCAGGAAACAGGCCAGCACACACACCACAACTTCGCTTCTGGAAGCATTACCTTATTTATAACCACCACTTATTCACAAGTTTACAAGAATCTGTGTAAACAGGAGCTTAATTAACACTAGAACATCAAAACGTATGACCATGCCCTGCCTGAGTCTTGAAGATCAATATCAGCACAATTGATGGCACCATTAGAGAAGATGCCCAGGGAATGTAATGTGCTGTTTCATCAGTCAATACCAGGAAACCAGCTCAGCGAGGGACAGACTGGGAGTGACAGATCAGACTGGGTGGCAGAGGAAGAATCACACCAACCCAGACTCCTCACACCCATCTCATCAACCTACATTTACAGGACGGGTGGGGCTGTAGATCCAAAAGCTCAAGGACGGAACCACCCAACCATCATCTGAATAAGTGCAGCTCGTTCTCTGCATGAAAACGATCTGTACGCTTGCAGGCCACCCAAGGGGAACATATTGACAGCTGAGAGAGAAAACTGCCAAATTCTGTGGACGAGAGAACTTCACAGATAGTGGCAGTGATGGGAGTGAAGTGTTCTATTATAAAATAAGGCCAGCCTTATTGCCCATTGACACACTGACAAAGTCTTTGATCAAATAACGTTTCATCAAGCCAAGCAACAAGAATCGATTTTCCAGCAGGAAATTCAAGACCACACAACAGCAGGATTACAACAACATGACTTAAAGAAAACAAGGTTGAACTCTTGCTGTGGCCAGCTTGTACTTTACTCTGTATTTGGATTGAATCCATTAGACCTGACTGTTATATTTATATTGTGCATCAGGATATGAAATATTCACTTTCATGAAAACAAATAAACATGGACTAGGTAAGTAAGGGCAGGACAGGATAGCCATGATCAAGTGCTTTTACACTCAGATCAAGGTTGCTGCTTACACTATTTAAAAAAACACAATAAAAATATCAAGAGTTTGGATTCTTTTGAACTGTAACATTGTTTGACAGTAATTCACAGCAGTACATTCTTGCCCCATAATCATATCATAATCAGCAGAACACCTCTAAGGAGAGAATGGATTGAAGTTTTGAACATTTTAAGGTGATTAAATAAGTTTGATCTGAACAGGCAGATCATATTGAGTTCAATCAGTAGAACACAAAAACACAAAGGTCATTTTTTACAGAATAAATTGGAAAAATCACAAGTTTTATAACTCTTGTGACTACTTTGTTACTAATAGGAATGATGACACCCTGTTCATGAGCTATAGACCATTAAAGTTAGACACCTTGTAGATGCTAACAGCATCTAACCTTTATAAATGTAATATATATTTTTAGGAACAGGTAATGGGTTTATTCCATGCTGAAAAGAGAAGAAAGAAAACACAACAACGTTTCGGTCGTGGAGCATTATTCGGGTTTAAGCGTGCTTACGCTCGAAGAAAGCTCCACAGCCGAAACGTTGTTTCTTTCCTTGACGCAGCTGCCCACCTGAACTACTTCACATAGATTTTTATTGCTTTGAAATGAACTGCGAGGGGCGGGGTGGCTCGGTCTCTTCACTTACCTGAAGACTGCCCGAAGCCGAAGCCGGTGGAAGAGGTCGTTGTGGTGTTGCTTCCAAACACGGCGGAGGACTGGCCGAACGTCGAGCTCTGCCCAAAGGCGGGAGCGCCGCTCTGGCCGAAGAGGCTGCCCCCGGTGCTGCTGGCACTGCTCACGGCCAGCTGCCCAAAGGAGAAGCTGTTGGCGCTACTGGTGCTGGCCGACCCGAAGATCCCACCGCTGCTGGACGCTGGTGCAGACGCAGCTGGCTGCCCAAAGGCGGGGCTCGACCCGAAGGCGGCCTGTCCGAAGCTGAAGGTGCTGGCCGAGCCGCTGGCCGGCTGCCCAAAGCCCGCCGTCTGCCCGAACACGGGCTTCCCAAACCCGGCATCAAAACCCGAGGAGCCAAACCCAGAGGGGGCCGGTGGCGCCGAGGTGGTGGCCGCGGGGGGCTGTCCGAAGATAGAAGCGGTCACCGCGGTGGCGGCCGGCGTTGAGGTCGGGGTTGGGGCAGCGGGCGAGGCGACTGTGGTTACGGCCTGGGACAAACTAGAAACCCCCAAGGTGGTGCCCTGGGTGCTGACCGGAGTCTGAGTGAAGATGGAGCCCGGCCTGTCGGAGCTGGGGGGCTGCCCAAACAGAGAAGGCTGCTGTGGCAGAGGCGCCGGCGAAGGAGAGCTCTGAGCGGCAGGACTGGCACTGGAGGCTGGGGCTCCCTCTGATGGAGGGGCGCCAGGCGCTGTGGAAACCGGAGTGGGAGAAGCCGCTGGAGCTGCTGGAGGAGGAGCAGCAGAGAGAGCAGCGGGCTCCTTAGGAGCAGCAGGCAGCTTTTCAGGGGCTGTCACGACCCGGGTCTCGTCAGCAGGCAGAGCCGGGGCCGACGATGGGACGCCGCCGTCCACAGGAGCAGGTTTCGCAGGCAGGGAGACTGAGCCCTCACGGTCCGCGCCCTGCGGTGCGACGGGCTTCACGGGCTCCGCCGCCGCAGGAGGCTCTGTTCCTGCTGCAGAGGGCCTGGCTGCTTCCCCACTGCTGCCGTGAGCTGGGGCCGCTGGGGAGGAGACGAGGAGGCTGCTGAAAGAAGTGACAGCAGCAGGGGGCGCTGCAGAGGTGCCGCTCGGCTGACTAAACGAGAGAGCCGGTTTGGCAGGACCGGGCCCCGCCGGTTCCGCTGGCTTGAACACTCCAGATGAAGGTAAGAGGCCGGCGGCCTGGACATTCCCAAACACGGCACCCACGGCCTCAGGAGTATCGGCAGCAGCGGAGGAAACGGCTTCCTTGGAGGCAGAATCTGCAGGTTTCCCCATCTGGAACGTGCTTCCGAAACTGAAGTCGGCCACGTTGCCCGCAGGGGGCTCCGCTTCCACCTGGGCGAAGCTGAACCCTGCACTGCCGCCCTTGGGTGCTTCTTTCGCTTCTTCGTCTCCCTGGCCGACGCGGAGGCCCGAGAAGCTCCCGAGCGTCTCCCCGCCCACCGTGGGCTGGAAAAGCCCATTCCCCGACTTGGAGGGCTGGGCCTCTGGCTTGCTGCCAGCTGTGGGCGGGGCCGGCTTGCTGCCGAGCGAAGGCTCCCCGCCGACGCCGGCCGTGGGGGTGGATCTGGCAGCGGCCGAAGGGGCGGGTTTGGGGGCGAAAGAGAAAGCGCCCTCTCCTCCGGACCCAAACACCATCTTCGCTGTGCCGGTTCCGAAGGAAAACTTACTCAGCTGGCTCGCGTCCTTTCCTGCAAGAAACCAACACAAAATCGTCCCTGTGACCTGCCAACACAATGAATTATTCATACAGGACTATCTTAATTGAATCGCTCATGCTTGATCATTTGTATTTCAAATTCCTTTTTTTATTACCTTTACTGCAGTAACTAGTACAAACATCTGGATACTCTGAGGAAATAACAGAAAATAAATGGAGAACTGACAATACAAGTTGACAAGCATGAAATCTAGGAACCTGTTCCCAAGGTCTTTCAGCAGTTACTTGCATTTTACTGTATTTATTCTCCACTAACTATAACTTAAGTCCCCCGATGCTCATTTGGCTTCTCTCTTTTTCATTACATCAAAACACATTAAACAACACAAACAGTAAAATGAATCCAACCACTTAATGGCTCATCTGTGAATCTGCAATGCATCACAACAATACTTTATTTTTCAAGTCTTCCTAGCTGGGAAAGACACAATCTTGTGTAAAGGCCTAGTCTAAGCAAACAGAGGCAACAATGCAGCGATACCTTGAGAGTTCCCACTTCCTTGAGTTGTAGCAGCTGAAGAAGCGTTGAGAGAAGAGAACCCAAATCCGCCACCAGACCTATCAAACACACCAAACACAGGGACAAGTTTTAAGCAGTTATTCCTGTCTCAGTACTTGCCATTGGTTGTTTCCACAAACTCTTCTTTGAGCTTCACATTTACCGTACAAATAAATATGAAAGCAAATTGCCTTTAGAACAGACCAAGACATCCAGAAATATCCCAGACATACAGGACACAGCCTGATCTCAGAAGCTGAGCCAACACTGCGAAGGGAGACCTCCAAGCAAAACCAGGTGGCTGCTGTAAGTGGCCGTGGCGGACCAGCAGGCAGCAGTCTCTCCTCTGTGCCAGGACTTACGAACCAATGTCCCATTTGAGAAAACTGGTGTGGGAAGCCCTCGCTTTCAGATAAGAAGCTGGCACTGTTTGTAAGGGTAAAGTGTTAACCCCAGTAACCTGGCTAAATCCATGTTTAATTCAACCAGTGAAGTTATTTCTAACTTCTCTACCCAACATGCTGCATGGTGGGGCTGCAGGAGTGTAATGGCTGTCAGGTGCTGTTGTGCTGCACCAAAGTGGAAGACGGAATGAGCCCCCTCCTATATATATATCCTATAAGTAAAGTAACCTGGGCTTCTTTGGGGTCAACTGTGCTACGTAAATGCACCTATTATCATCTATACACACAGAACAATGTCTACTTCATTACAACTGGACTACGTCCCAGTTCTTGAATCTCCTACTGAAAAGAACCAGACAGTTTGCATGAAGGAGGGTTACCGGTCCAGCACTTACGCAGCGGAAGAGAAGGAGAATGTTTTACTGGTTTGCTCTCCGAGGATGGGGACAGAACTGGAAGCAGGGAGGGCCGCTGGGGTTTCATTTTTCACAGACCCACCTAACAAAAAAAAAAAGAAAAATGGCAAGAGAAAAAATAAATAACAGATCACTCAGTGTCCGGCTGTCCTTCAACAAGTCAAATACCATCCCACTGTCCGCCTCAATTTGAAATTGTGAAAGACTTCTGTTCTTCACCACAGTTAAATTTCATCATTAGGAAGTGAGTACTTGGAACTGCATTTAACGTCTTCTCAGTTTTTAACAACTTCGGATGGAACAGGTCTCAAGTCTGTTTTAATGAAGTGAGTTGCTAAGCGTGAAATTTAATGCTACTTCGCAGAGCTGGGATAATTAAGTTACTGGAACCCCTACGGTTATTTTAATATATCAACATGTTTTTGGTATTGAGGCATTTGCATTTGAACTTACGTGTTTAAATTCATGTTATCACAAATTGAAAGCTGCCACTGCTCTTCTGTTAGTCTCAAACTGCACATCTGCATTAACCACTGATTCTCCAACATCCAAGAAAATGCCCAGTTATGTGAGAACGAATGCATAAGTATTTCCCAGTCCAAACTCACACTTTAGCACAGACATGATAGTGACCTTCGATGGTAGTACTGAAGCAAATTCTGAACCACGTATTTGTAATTCTTCTGAAAGCTACCTAGTTCTTTGTAGTGGCTATTTTTATTAGCATAAAATAGATTATTAAATGTTGGATGCTGCAATTGCCTGTAAAAAAACAAGTGATATTTTGCTACATGCGTTTTGGTGGAAATAAAAGTGTATCAATAAAAACAGACCTTTTATATGTTTTATTAGTTATCAGATACTTCAATGTTATATACTGTATACTGAGTGGTACTAAAATCTAAAAAAATGCTACTTATTCCAGCACTTATTTGCTGTATTTTTAATTGCTCAAAGAATATAATTGCATCAACGGCAAAACTTTTTAAATTTTAGGGAACTACAATTACATTGCAATTGTGGTACGGGGGCTATGCAGGGTACATGTGGTAAGATCAATCGCTAAAGTGCACATCTTTATGTGAAGTAAAAAGAACCATCTCCAAACTATAAAAACAGACATGAAAGTCATATAATCTAATTGTGTAATTCTTGCTCGAGTAAAAGTAGTAGCTGTGCATTTGAGAAGACGGAGAAGACAAAGCAGACTTAGACTGCAGACAATAAAGCTGAAGTACAAAACAAAAATGAACAGGTTACTCGATAGTAACCTGTTGATGATAATATGATTTGTCCAGCACACCTTGACTGTTTTGTAGTATCTTGTGTGGGCAAGACTAAGCATGAACATAATAAGCTCTTTTTGGTTATGGATATTTACAGTGGCCTGCACTAGGCGGTTGTTTCTACATTTAGTTTTAAAAATAAAATACAAAGAAGCAGTTTAGAAAAAAGTCGGTATTTGTCTTTTGCCCGTACGGCATTAGTGAAAACACAAAAAGAAACAGGATGGACACTTACCAAAAACAAAGCCAGACTGTAGAGAGGTTAAACTGCCAGTTGTTGGGCCTGCAGCCTTCAGTGTATTTTGGGATGAATTCTGAGTCTAAATAAAATGAGAATAAGACAAAAATACTACAAAACTCCAAATTAAAAACAAACCGTAACAAATGGCTGCAATTCCACATTCAGTAACGATACACGACAAGCCAGAAACTAATTCACTGAAAACCTATCTTAATAACACATCTTTAAGCTTTTACACTAGTATTTCAATGATAGAATTAGTAACTGGCTCATGTGATGTACGTTTCCTGTTGGAATAAATCTGCACCCTGTGTCTAGTGCCTGACAGCTCTGCCAGCAGTCACAGTCGTGGATTTTTATGTAGCCAGTAAGCAGCAGCGTAAAAACAGAACATTTACCCGTTTTGCCTGGTTTGTTGCCACCGTTGCCAATACCTGCTGGACAACCTGAGCAGCTGGAGCTGGAACAGATGAGCTGCCGGAGAGAATACAGAGCAGGCCAAAGTTAGCACAGCAAGATTTCTGTTACCACTATCTATGCTATTAAATGCGAGCTAAAACCAAATAAATGTGCGCAGCTCTCTTATTGCTTGTAGCCACACATTACAATATTAAAACTGCATGCACATAATAGTAGCAAATACTAACATAAAGGGGTAGAATACTATCATGCAACAGAGACCTGCATCCCTGGACACTTCCAGTTCCATTCCAGGACTTTGATCTACCCTGTGGTTTATTAGCTTATATAATGAATTGTTGTTGAGATCAATCAGATAATCAAGACCCTGGAATGGCATGAAGTGGAACTGGAGCCACTGCCTGACTGCAGCAACATGAGCTCATCTGACGATGAAAACTCTATGGTCCTGAAAAGGCGGTTTTCTTGAGCTAAAAAAAAAACAGAAAGCAGCCTGGGTTACACAGGAAAGGTTCTTAGACTGACAAACACGTCTGATCCTCTAATAAGAAATGGGAGAGGGGTTACCCTGTCGTACATAGCTATTTAACACACAACAACATCCCAGTGCGAGAATGAGTCAAGCTGTTCCAGCAGAACTACAGAAGAGAGTTCATCTATTTGGAACCAGAAGCTGAAATATAAAAGCAAATATGTGGAGAGACATCTTGGCAGAATGAACAACACCTAAGCACTTTCTCTCCCCTCAAGAGACTGCTCATTTTACAGGGAATGTGAACTTTGCAAAGGACTCATAGAAATGCAGCGGAGACTGCACGCACCACATTATATAGGCCTGAACACTTCTACAGCTGTTTGAATGATTAATTAAGAGCAAGCAAGTTCAGCAAGATATTTTTGCTGCATCAACCCATTAGGCGTTCAATATCACGGCAGTGTAATACTCTGAACGTCCAGCTATATAAAGGCATTCATCAGAAGCAAATGCAGGTATGTTGTGCATAAATGGAATTGAGCTGATGAACTATTCTGGTGTGGTATGGTCTGCACTCTCAACACCACCAGTTGACAAATAAAAAGACTGAGTAAGCCTCTTAACTCCTGTGCAGCTTTCTTTGGTTAGCATTCTTAGAAGCAAAACAGAAAATGAAACTAAATGTACCAACAGTATGGTTATTTTATTTAACCAACAGCAAACTCACATTTTTAACCCAAGCATAGTGACTTTCAAGTCTTTACAATAAAGAGAAAGAAGTCTGCAGACCACAGATCCTAAGGACAGCACTACATATTGACAGCCCTTGTCACTCCAGTTGCAGCTTTAACATGTCACCCAACAGAAAAATCCACTTCCACCCAAACGCAAATTAGATTAAAAAGAACCCATGAGGCCAATTCAGGGATTTCTGGTTATTGTCAGAACAGTCAATTTAAAAACTGCCTGGGGCCATCCTGTATTAATACAATTTTCAAGTGCTCAGAGAACATGGTGGACGAGCATGTTAATAACAGAACTAAAGAAGCTTTTAATAACAATACAAACAAAATCAAAAACTGCAATGACAGTTATCTGACTGCCGAGAATTGGAAATATAATGGTTTAACCTAAAAAGCATCACATGCATGTATGTCAGTGAGCATTCATGCGACTCCATTCAAAAAGTAGTGACCTGTAAAGGTGATAAATTCTACATCAGATGCAGAAATTCACAGTTAAAAACAACCAATGAAGGATGCATGTGTGAAGGCATGATCCTCTATCAATAATCTTGGAGAAACTCTTACCACAGCATCTGTGCGACAGAACTGGTGCTTTCTGGAAACATTTCTAGCTGTCAATAGTAAGTATGATATCTCAACTTTCTTAAAAGACTTGTTCAGATTCTCTGATGTGGTGATGTGGTGAAGCTGTGCATGCTGTGCTTTTAAGCTAAAGACCTTTAATGAGTCTATACCAGTGGGCTTTTCTCTATTAGGAAGCACAGATTATTGCTTTCTTTCACAGCAGCTCTTTAAATTGAGTCTCTCTTTGCACATCTGAAAAACGCCATCAGTATGAGCAGAGCATCACAGCTCTCCTCCTCATGGATCTGATCTATAAGCAGAGACCAGAGGAGACGGTGGAGAAAGGTGGGCATTTATAGGCAGACTGACACATTCCTTTCCACCCCTAACATTTACCCTGCAGGAGGGTGAAATGAAGATTACCAGCTACTCGGCCCTATGCTTAAACCCCACGGTTCAACAATGGGGACTGTACAGCTCATGGGCAAAAGCAATAATGAAAAATGCATTTTTTTGGATGCAAAGGTGAAACAGATGGGCCCCAATATGAAAAACGTCCGTATTGCCACCTTATAATACAAACAAGTCGAGAGCCTTAATGGATATGCATCTTGAAACATTCCATTTGCATTTTAATGAGTATTCTTGGGAGCAAATCCTTGCAATATACACAGAGAGACCAAGCTTGAGCTCTTTAGATGAGAACCCATGAACTGTGCAAGAAACTAAATAATGAGCTGTACGATATGAACCATTTATTTGAACTCATTTACTTGGCACAAGGGGTGGTGAGCTGGGCAGGCGCAGCTTAACAACACTTCATAAGAAGACCAGTCACACGGCTGGAGCTGGACAACAAACACTGCAATTTCACGCCCATGGAGCGTCAGCCCGAGCTACAAGCACGCCAGGGGAGTGCCGGAAACGCCGCGGTCCTGCGAAGACTGATTACAGGGCGAAGGAGAACATGGGAAGTCTGGTGACGTCAACAGCAGGGCGCTGCAGGATGTGTGCAGCCGAGCCAGGAAGCTTCCCCCGAGAACAGAAAAGAAACGGCCCTTATCTTTTTTTTTTTCCACGTATTGAATTAGCAGTGAGTTTAAAATATCCACGACCCCCACCCCCAGCACAAAAAAAAAAGGCTTTCGTACAAGACTACTGCGGAAAGGCTGCGTGAACATTCGCCTTGACACTAAGATGGCTTGGGCTACTGTTCACAAACACGTGCGCAAGACACGAGCCAAGACACAGTGTCTGCCAAATGTTCAACTGGTACGTGTGTTAAATTTATAAAAAAGTCAGAAAGGTTAGCTGTCATTTTTATAATGTACTGTGGGCCATTTGTATTTACATATTAACATACTACCATGACCCAGCACTATGACTGCAAGGTTTGGAGTTAATTGGCTACATGGTTTATAAGTAGGGCCAGTTTGAATTCTGGAAAAAAGAAGCAGGTTTTGTGAGGAGTCAAACCAGATGATCAGGAGTCCTCTTAAGGGGACACTTCTTTGTTATTACAGCTTGATGATGCCTTTCCAGAAGACTCCAGAATTAAAAGTACATCTTGAACCAGAGAACAAAAGTGAATACGTACAGTACGGTGAAATTAAAACTGAGAACAGAAGTTACGTTTTTATACACAAAGGATTTCGGGAGTCTGGAATAAACTATCAAGCCATGCTGCGGAAGCTGATATCCTTTCTTCTTTCAAGAAATGGCTCTTGTGCTTAATGCCCTATATGAAGTATCTTAGGTTAGCCTACCTCTTTTAAATAATTGAGGTCCCTATTAATGTTTCATCACTGAACCAAGCAGGTGCATTAAATTAATGCTGTGAAGCGATAAAAGAAGATTCTCTGGATCTCATTTCTATTCTCTACAGGTCACTTACTTCACAAAGAACTGTAAGGAAACCCCATGATACGTGACCAAGAAATACGTAAAATATCTAATATACCGGGCAAACAAAGTAAACCTCAAAAAGTACATAGCATCCTAAATCTGCACACCACTAAAAGCTCTATCAGGTGGCTTGGAAAATTATTCACAAGTAGTTTTAAGTTTTATTTAGACAAATATTGCTTCCCTTTCCCGAGATTTAAGTTGCTTTTGAGGTGCTCTATTCAATAGAAACAGCAATGTTTTGATAAAAAGGGAACACACTGTACTTTTTAACAGGTTGTCAAAACCATCCATCCATTATCAGAAAGTTTATTCCTGCCCACAGGGCACTTAAACACACAAGCACATGCATTCTATTAAGAGACACTAATTAACCTAATCAACCTAGACAGCAAATCTTTAGAAGGAGGGAGGAATACTCCTCAGAGGACCTTGGTCTGTAATCAAACCCAGGACCCAGAAGCTGAGGCTGCAGTGGTTAACCTACAATGCCACTTTTTGATCTTTATTATTAATTAATATATCTTTTATTAAATAGTATTACTAAACTCTCAAAACACTGCGATGCTCTACTGTGGCAGACTTTAGGGCAAACTAAAGGAAAAAAGCTATGGACATAGAATGAATAGACTCTATGTAATGGAAAAAATACATTTGACCAAGATTGTAATTAGAAATATTCAAGTGATATTGGGCCTCTTGAACTTGTTTTGCAACACTGGACCACCAGAAAACCCTCAAATCCGTGTTTGTTTCTCGATTTTCTTTTCTTATTGTCTGGCATGACTTAGTTATGTGGCTGTGAAATTTAAAAAAGGAAGAAAGATTTTTTTTCCCCCATAAAGGAATTTTATGTAATATGATACTGCATGTCAAATTATGCAACATTTTCTTCTGCTAAGTTACGTTTTAAGGCAAAACTTCAAAGATAAAATACTGTTATCCTATGTTATCCTAATGGCATAAAGGAAATGAAGTCGATCTTAGCTTTGGTGAACAAAATAGGTCCAATAGAAGCAGAAATCCTGTAATTATGTGATCGAAGATCTTGGAGCACCTTCAAAACACGTAATAATGCGAACCTTCTTGGGGATGTACAAGTGCAGGCATTTTTCATTCCTCAAAAACAGATTTAAAAGCTCTTATCCTCTGAAAACACAGCAGCACCATCGAAAAGGGAAAAACACTAAAAAGGGCAGTTCTGAAGGAGGCTCAAATCCCGCTATCGATCCTGCTAACCCTGCTCTGCCTCACACTGCCAGTCGGGAAGTGTTGGGAACAATTACTGTTAATCAAGCTGTGGTGTCCAAACCCGGGTCTCTGAGGCCTTGGAGTCCGGAAGGGCTCTTAACCTTCTATTATCCTGGTCAGATAACCTTTTTTATTTTGACACACAATTTGCCCTCCAAAAAGAGGCTTTTATCTCAGGGTTAGCTCCTGTGCTTCATAATGTTTAGATTTTCCCAAGGCCGGTTTTGAACAGAACAGCCTTCAGGATCCAAATGGGTCCTTCCCAGATACACGTTGTATACAGACAACAAACCACTTTTTATCAAAACAGTCTAACCCCTAATCCGGATAAAGAATTCCCCTTTCTGCAGAGTGCCCACACTGTAAGATTGGTACATATACAAACACACACACATACACACAAGTATACAGTAAGTATATGTTTTCATGCAGCACTGTTCAAAGCTTTGTATATTTGCCAGCAGCCACATCATCCTGTAACTCACAACTGGCAGGTGTGAGCCTGGTCAGTACCTGGATGGGAGACCTCCTGGGAAAGTGAAGTTTGCTGTTGGAAGAGGTGTTAGTGGGGTCTGCTGTCTGTGTGGGTCTAATGCCCCAGTATAGTGAGAGGGACACTATACTGTAAAAGGAGAACTCTGCCCCCCCCCCCACTGTTAGCTGATGTGTGGTGAGTGTACTGGTGCACTATGGCTGCCATCACATCATCCAGGTGGTGCTTCACACTGGTGGTGGAGGGGAGTCCCCATTACCTGTAAAGCTCTTTGAGTGTCCACAGAAGCATTATTAAAATGTAAAGAATTATTATTATTATTTACTAATATCATAGCACCCATCAACTCAATACTTACTTACATGGTATGAGTGTGGCATGGTGGCGCAGTGGTCTGTGTGGAGTCTGTATGTTCTCCGTGTTTGTGCGAGTTTTCTCTGGGATAGCTGGCACTGGTCTGAGTGGGTGAGTGGGTGACATCCTGTCCAGGGTGTACCCTGCCTTGAGCCCATTGCTTTCTGGGATAGGCTCCAGCTGCCCTACAACCCTGAACTGGAAGAAGTGTTTAGAAAGTGGGCGTGTGGATGGCACCAGGTTTTAGTCATTTCGTCACCTCAGGCTTTTCCACATAGCATAAATATCACCCTGCTTTCCTGCAGTTATCCCAAAGAAATATGGGACAGCTCTTTACAAAGGGCTTTTTTTACATTATAATTTAAAAAATAAATTAGTTGTTAATACTTTTACAGTACGCTTCTCCAGCACAGCAAGTGGAGCCTGGCTAGGCTGTCAAGTCTACAAACTCGATGTTAAAAAGGAACAATGTGCTGGACAGTGGAAACCAGGTATTTGAACTTGGCATGACAAGGCAGGCCCGAGATACGGTAGCACATTTTCTCATTCTGATAGCAGCACATTTTTACCATCATGCTGAATGACATCTGTAGTGCTTGGTCTTCCATAATACAGCACTACAAGACCAAAATAAAACCCAAGTGCATGGCAAGACGCCAGTCCCCAGGGAATTCCAGCATCACTCCTTCAGATAATCAATGTTTTAATTAAAGTTAAGAGCCCATCAAGATAACTTGAATAGAGAACTTAAAATGGCACTCCACTTTATAGGAGTGCTGTTTCCAATAAGAAATGAAAAGCAGAGGGGAGCTGGCCGGTGCTTATAAAGATAAATGGGCACAGGGCGCCATTGATCATTGACTCAAACTTGTCATTAGCTGAGGGAAACCAGGATTCTTTAAAGGATGGAGCTCAAATGCTCAAGCACTGCCAAGGCTGACGTGTGAAGCTGGCCAAGACATTCTGGGCCGGTTATAACACTTGATTCCTGATGCACACTGGGAAGCTGCGTCTCTGCAGGGCTAACGAAGCTGTGTCCACCACCCTCCATCAGAGGCCGAGCTTTGCTGGGCGAGCTGTGGGCTTGCAGTACGAAAGAAAAAGCCGTTACTTAGGGCACAGGCAGGACAGTTCTGTCCCATGCTGGAATTGAGGTTGTGGCAATGATTCAAGAAATTGACTTAATCAATCTGAACTGATTCACTAATAAGTATTGAAGATGCCCACTCTGGTTTTAAACCTTTGCCGTGTTCACCTGACAAAAAACGCAATTCTCCCATCCCTCCAACCACCTTCGAACCACTTCTACCAATATAGGGCGGCCCAGCAGTGCATCCTGGACGGGAGGCCAGACCATCACAGGGCACACACAGACACACACAGACACACACACTCACCCCTGGGACAATTTTCCCAGAAACGAATTAGCTTACCAGCATGTCTTTGGCCTGTGAGAAGAAACCCATGAGAACAAGAGGAGAACAAACAAACCCCACACAGACAGCACTGCAGGTGCACATTTGAAACCAGAGCCCCAGCCCACTGTACCACTGTGCCTTCCCCCATTGATTTCATGTGAAATAAAAAAAACAGTTTTAAATGCCACTCTTCACTCACTGACATTGCTTGTAAAAAAGGAACAGCTGGCAAAGTTATCTTCATTTGTAATGCCAATGCAATGCCTAAGTCAATGCCTAAGTCTGCTTGCCTTGCAGGGCAGCGTTAATAGAAAACTAAAACAGCTGCACCCCAGCAGTACGACACACAGTTTGCCAACACTGGGCACTAGCATTTTGCAATGGTATTATTGTATTTCAACCCCAGGAAACCAAATACAGAAAAACAGAAATCCTGAACCCCAGAGAATTAAATGCTCCCCTAATGTCATCAAAACAGGCGTCAGACATTTAAAATATTTTTAACATAAGATGTTACGAAAAAAGTCTGGAAGGTTTTGTTTTTGTTTTCCATGAAGGAATAGGATTGCTGTTATTTTCTTCTACACACCCTCTGGAGGAGTAACAGTGGGGAAAAAAAGGAAGGGCAAACGTCAAATCTCGAGAAGCAAAGCAAAATAGAAAGAGCATCCTGGCTCCCAGCTACTGCTTTCTTCATGGCCTGCTTGCTGCTATTACCATATGGTACATTAGGAGGCTCACATCCAGGCATGCCAGCTGCAAACAAGACCGAGCCTGACCTCAACATCTAGGCCAGCCCATCTGCACACAGGCAGGGAAGCACTTTTGTTTAATATACAAACCTAGAACTAAAAATGTTTGTCCTTCTAAAATACTTGACATTCACTAGGAAATACAATTGGTCCAAATTTTGTATATTATCTTTAGTGAACTCTTTTTTCTTTATGTGCATATCGGTAGCTGTGAACTGCTCATTTTATGTTAAAAAACTTGGTGAGAATAAAATCGTAACGCAACAACAGGCTTCAGAATTGACTGCCCAGCCTTTGGACTTGATGGACCTAGTAAAGAATTTTAATTAAGTTTCTATTTAGCAAAGTTGTTGTCCTAAATTTGTACTGGAAAGCAGGACAACTTTCAAACTTAGTTAACAAGGAGAGCAAAATGAGAGCTTTAAACTGGAACAGCTCAAATATACCGTGGACACTTTACTCAGCCTTTCGCATCCACTGCAAAGTCAGTACTGAAATGGCAATTAAAAATCAGCCTGGCTAAATGGAGATACCGAAACCTAACTATCCTGCATTCTGTCGTCTCAGATGGATTGCCCCAGTTGTTCAAGCAGCAAGACTATTCTAGTTTTGTAAAAATGCGGTCTTTCTTTTAACGTAGTGAATTCATTAGCTACTCACACAGCTTAATGAAAACATTTAAGTGACAGAACCTACAACTTCTAAAGAACCGCCACTACTGCAGCTATTTCACATTCACCTGCACAAGCCAGCCTTCGATACACTCCACTTAGGCAATGACAAGCAGTTTCTTTCTATTTGGTAACCAAACCCTGAGACATTTACTCAAAAGCTTCAGGAAGGCTTGAGAGATGGACAAAGATTTTAAAAAAATCAAAATGTATTGAGAAACCACCATTTCATTGCAAGTGGATCATTTACTCACTACTCTCAAGTTCCTAAAAGAAACAAGTGTTGGAAAACAAGTCTAGAGCCTGCTCACCAGAGCAGTCCAGTCTAATAACTGGCAGCCTCTTGGAATGATGTGTCGTAGATGTGATCTAAAAGACTAGCTCATACATCTGTGAATACTATGGACGTCACATGTCTTCTTGTTTTAATTTAGCAGCTCTGAAATGGATCCATAATCCCTTCTTTTAGAGGGCTTATCAAGTCCATGAGCTGCTGTGAAGTGCAGCAGTCAGAAGGGTAGGGAAGATGGTCTACTCCAGTCCTACAGACCTGATACCCGAGGACAGAGGACTCACCTGATGACCGTTGACACAGGCGGGGCTGGGCCTTTGTCCTTCAGCTCCTGGACATTCACCACCTGCGGGACGTTCTTCAGAGTGGACTCTGTGAGGGATGTGCTGACGGCTAAAAATCAGTGCAAAGAAAATCAAGACAAAATTGGAGGTGATGAACATTAGCAAAGAACTTACGCATGCAATATGAATGACACAACCTCTCCATCAGCTGCATTATAAATTAATAATACTTCACTCGTCTTTAATATTTCTGTTTCAGAAACAGAACTGTGATGGCATGAGCAACTCAGGTTTACCACACGGAGGACCAGGTTTAACATGGAGCAGAATTAAAACTCAGTGTCACAGGTGCCAAAGAAGGTGATCACCACCTGAACCAGCCAATCACAGGAGACGTCACACTACATGCCAATAAGGGCTCTGACATGGAGGCAAAACGAAGATAATAATGGTATTAAAGATGAAGATGATGAGAATAATTAGGGGGAATTTCTTAAAGAAACTAGAATAGATAACCTGACCAAACTGCAAAAATCTTTGTCTGGGATTGTTGAGAAAAAAACATGGAGACGAAATCTAGATCAATAAGTTAATAAACTAAATTAGCTTTATGGCCTCCACTAGATTGTTACTTTTCTTATATCTACACATTAAATCATTTAGCTTGCAGAGCACAATTGCTTTGATTCTTATCATCCAGATCTATTCATATACAGAAATAACTATAATACATATATTTATGTTAAAAACATTCAAGCTGCAAAATAACAAAAGGGGAGGGAGATTGCTTTCTAGTTATTCTGAATATTTTCTTTTAGATGGAAGACATTATTTTACAAATCATTTCAGCCTCCTCCTGGTATTGCCAGAGCAGCAAAGCAATTTGCAGTAATAACGATGTTGCATGACAGTGGAATGAAATAGCTGCATCTGTGGTAACACTGTCAAGACTAATCACACAGCAAAGGACCTTGCAGATACAGCAAAGACAGCTCCACCAAGTTTCTGTTGCTGTATGGATAGCTTGCGCCCCCTGTTGGCAAGATGCCCTGCACTGCATTTGTTGTGCACACAAGGCTCAACTGTAAAGCAACACTTCTGCTCTGGAGTGCGGACAGATTAAACATCCAATCGTGCATCTCCACAGGCAGATTTTTTTTGTCAGCAGATTTAAAACCTGAGATATCTTTGCCATTAAACTCGTGATGCAAATTTCACGTGAAGAGATGCATAAAATTGCCAAGATAAACCTCAAATGGAACCCACTCAGCACGCATTCCACAGACCCAGAGCAGGAGCGATCAGATCTGGCTCTCCCCGACAAGGAATGGGTCACTCGCATGCTGGTCTCGTCACTCCCGAAACGCCCCGCTGGGCTCTGACCCAGGCCGGCCGCTTACCTGGTTTCTGACTGGCCATCTGTCTGCGCAGGGCGGCCGCGGCAGCTGCCTGCTGGGCCGGCACCAGGACCGCCAGGCCCCTGTCTGCCGGCGGCGCGCCGTGCTTCACGGTCTTCGTGGCGAGAGCCGTGCTGTCCGCACCCCCAGCACTGATCTTAGGAGTCGGCACTGAAGAAAAGCAGGAAAAAAATGAACAATCCCGGAGCAGACACTGTGCCGCTTCGAAGTATTCCTTCATCACGGAGGCACACCTTTGCTAAACTGGGCACCGGCAAAGCCATGTGCCAGGAAGACGTTCCTTAAGTCACAAAGACGAAACTGGTGGCACCCACAAAACAAGTCACGCAGGCTTCAGCTGGATTTCACAGGACTAATCCGATCTTTGCTTCTGGTACTGAATCGTAATGACATTTCAGCCCGCCAGCACGCTGCTGGTTCGCTAATCTGTTCGCTACACCACTGCCGCTTGTGCAGTCGTGCACTTTTGCAAAGCCGAGGGAGCTGCTCGTGTTACAATCTGACCTGGGCTGAGGATGGAGGCAGGACCAGGGACAGGGCCCGGCCCGAGGCCCGCGTGGACCTTGCTGAAGGGGGTGGACTGGGCGGTGAAGCCGGGCTGGATGGAGGGCGTGCGCACCACAGCAGGGTGTCGCGGCACAGACAGGGGGCTCTCCTCCAGCTCCTCCGCCTGCGGGTCTTCGGGCTCCAGGGCTTGGGACTGCGAGGAGGTGGAGCTGACGTCATCCAGATCCTCGAAATACTTGGGCGAGAGGAAGGCTGACCTGGACAGGTTTGCTGTTCAAGAAAGCACAACCCAGCTGACTTTGCATGCACACTTTTAACAACTGATACATGATCTCAAAATCTGTTTGTGCTTGTAAAAATCTGTTCTTACTTCACCAATACTGAAGCGTGAAGCTGATCAGGGTATAATGCTATAATATAGCAGTAATGATCATTTACATTTTGTTGACTTTCCATTTGATGAAAGGGGTTATTTCGCAGCAACTGATGGATACAAGCTATTTGTACCTGGAGCTGTGGATCGAACAGGAGGGGTGTTCCTCTTGGAAAGGAAATTTCTCAGCTGGGACTGCTTCACCGGAGACATTTTAGCTGAAATAAAGACAAAGAAATGACAGCAAGAAAGATTAGCACAGCAAAACACCTATAAAGAAACAAAACAATCATTTGTCATTATTAATGCTTTACAGGTTACATCTGGCAATTGGAATCTCTGCAATACTAAAAAACAGACGAATGTACAAAAGCACATTAACATATTCCTTCTCTGCTGTTTATGTAAACGGGAAGACTGCAGTACGTTTGGAAATATTTTCAGTGAATTACTTTTACCTGGAGATTTGGAAGGTGCTTTGGGGCTGGTTTCTAAACTGGCTTTCAGCAGGGCACGGCGCAAACTCTCCAGTTCATTATCCAATCTGCAAAACACAGATTTTCATGGGGGAGTGTTAAACTGCAGAAAAAAGCAACATCAGTCAAGCTGTGTTTCTTGTAGTTGTAATTGTTACAATATTAAAAGAGCAGCAGTCAACAATATTAAACCTTCCTACAATTTACCATAGATTTTACTGTAATTACCATTACTCCGAAGAGCACTGATCTTTCAGCAAGACAGTTTCCCTAAAGAGAACGCAATTATCGGTCACTGTCCTTTAATAAGGAACAGTTTCGGATTTCTCCATCAGTGTGGACTGCTCAACATTGAAGCCTTACAAAGCTGGCAATTTGTTGCAAAACCAAATAAAATTATGGCACGAAATTGTTCTGTGCTGCTTTGGTACAAAACTTCATTTTGGCAAAACACTAATCTAATCCAAGACCTGTTTTTTAGATCAGTGACATATTTCTGAATTCTTCAAATGGATTCACCTAAAAGGGGAAAACAAACATACAATTGAATGACCAGGTGAAAAGTCTCCCTTCCCCTACCACCTAGCAAGCATCTCCTCATCTAAGTCCATTGTGCTTTGAATTCCAAACATGGTTTTCACAGCCTGATGTGACTGGGGTCAACAACACAATTTGACTTCAGATGGCACGATGATGTGACAGCACCCTCCCCCTGCGCTCCTTGATGCAGGCAGCCTCTTCATCAGCACAAGGGAGAGATCCGGATGACCTACCCCTGCACAGTGGGCTGCGGCGAGGCCTGGCCAGAAACGCTCCGCTGGGAGGTCTTGCTATACAGCCTGAGATCCTGCAAGCTTTTCACCAGCAAGCCAAGCTTCTGCTTCTGCTGATTGATGATGCCCAGGTTGTTGGCAAGGGCATTGAACAAAGCTTCTCTCTCCGGAACGACAAGATGCCTGAACAAAAGGAGGGGAGAAAAAAAACAACCACCAATCATGTCAGGATGAAGGATGCAGACAGAGTTGTGTGTAGAAACACAACTCGTAATTATAACCCCAGATTAAAATCTGATCTCCAAAAGCAGGATAATGGTTATTTATTCACCTGTTCTTTTACTACAAAAGCATTATTATCTTTTTTATACATAAAATTGGCTCGTGACTTGCTTTATACAATTACATAATGTATAGTGGCGCATTACAAAACACAGAGGGAACAGTATTAAAGCTATTAATAGGGCTATACTAGGCAGATACATCTACCAAACGTGTAGCATCAGCATTCTGCAAACAAATGACACAGTGAAGCAAAACAGTGAGATAAAACAGCTGAACGATTACAGCAGATACTGCTCAGGCAATGTAGTACTGCACAGGCAGGTCTCTCAGCAAAACACCTTACTTCTGTTTCTTCTTCTTCTCAAGCTGCTTCTCCCACTCCAGATCAAGGACGCCATTCACATCTTCCACAGCAAACTTGATGTACTGGTACAACCTCCGAATTTCCTTAAAGAAACGCAAAATCGGACAACTGGACATCTTGCAGGGTTGAAGGGAAAGGATTTTAGCATGGAATTGCTTTGTTAGTCATTCCTGATACCTGTGTAAGGAACAGTGGATATTGCAACTACAGTGCAAGTTTTAATTCACCTAACCTTGGAAGCCAAGACGTTGATAGGATGTCTTCACATTTACATTGCAGCATATGCAATCGCTGAAGAGCCAGGGATCCCATCCTGTCTCGTATTACCTTCAACTGCTCCTCACTCCTGGGGTCCAGAGGCTTCTTGTACAGCAGCTGCAAGTATTCCCGATCCTTGTTGAGCTCATTCTGCGATCTGGCTTCCTCTACGCCCGCAAATCCCTCCAGCATGCTTGTCTTTAAAGTGCTGATGTCCCCATGGAGAGACTGTGTACAAGGACAGAAAGACACCAGTCTGGATGTGGAAGGATTCCTTATCAGCCCAACTAGGTTTCTTAGCACTGCTGTAAAATCCTGAGCCTCGTGCTTTCCTGCTTTCTCTGCTCTTTCTTATTAATCTAGTTTTAAAATGCAATTTTTTCCCCCAGAAATGATATGCACACCTCAGTCGTCTCTTTGATCTCCAGGATGAAGGTGTGAAGATCCTCCGATTCATTCCTCAGCTCCTTCATCTGCCCTGGGTTGCCCACGCTGAAATCCGCCTTCTCTGTACGAGCTTTCAGGTCATCCAGCTCCTTCTGGAAGTGAGCGATCTACATGGCACACACAACAAACAAAAACACCTACATGAGTTACACAGTCAAGTAGGGGTCAAACCAAAACTCACCACAAATAAAGCTAGAAGACATTACATTATTTTCTGCCCTTTCCATTGATTCATTCCTTTTCTAACTTCTTAGTTTCTTCTAGAGAGTTCCTAACTGCCAATTCAGGGTTGCCAGGGAGTCGGAGCATACACCCTGGACAGGACCACAGTCCATTGCAGAGCAGTCACAGAGAAACAGACACGCATACACTCACACCAGGGCCAACCTTCCCAGAAGCCAATTAAACATCAGTAAGTTTCGGACTGTGGGAGGAACTGGAGCTCCGAGAGGAAACCCACGTGAATACAGGGAGAACACACAAGCTCCACACAGACAGCACCCCAAGTCCACAACTGAACCCAGGGCCCCAGCGCTGCAAGGCTGCAATGCTGACCATTGTGCCAGTGTGCCTCCCCAATACAATTAATGTGAAATAAAAACAGTTTTAAATGCAACTCTTCACTCACATTGCTTAGCATTTGTTAACAAAGAGACTCTGCTAAAACATCCATTTTTACTAGAAGGGTTATAGTATATTACAAGGACCTGAAATTAAAGTGAAGCATACTCACAAAAAAAAAATCTGAAATTTGGTTAATTGTCCTTTTCTGCGCAGGTCTGGTTTTATCTAGTCCTTACCTCCTCCAGTATTCCTGTCATGATGGGGTCAGAATCCTTCCTCTGCTGCAGCTGTTTCTCCAGCTGAGTCTTGACTGAGACGGGGGTCTGCTGGAGAAAGAGTGCGCGTTCAGGTGAGCTTGAGAATGCATGCAGATGCAAGACGATTGTCAGCTCTCAACAGTTAGGGGTTGGAATTAAAAATATTTGTTGATCCTAAACTGAAAATAATAATTCAGCACTTGGAAAACAAAAGATACCATCTCTTCAAATAAACGGTTTTAGTCCATGGTCACAGCACTGCCATACCTGAGGAGTGGCTGTTCTGACTGGGGCCTGAGCAGAGGAGCTTGGCTTCTGTACCACCGGCGTGGGTGTGAAAGTCTGTGCTTGCCGGGCAGGGACTGGACAGAGGGCAGAAGCACAGTAAAATCGCTACAGTCACACTCTGCAAAGAAATGGCAATGTCTTGCCCTGGAAAGCCACAATCAATCTGGTGTCAAAGGTCAGGCATGAACCATCAATTTCTTAACACTTAACCAAAACAATTAGCTGTCAATTAACACATTTCTTCACCTTTAGCACATATATGTAATTAAAATCAAAAGAATTAATGTAGCAACATAGCAACAGCATTTAAGAAGCACACCTGAGCTGGCGGCAGCCTTGCTGGAGCCTGGCAATGGGGTGGACTGGTTGACCGGCCCCGGGAAGCTGGCCTTGGGCGCGGGGGTGAAGAACTGCTGAGGGCCCCCTGCTGCTGGGGCAGGAGTGTCCACAGCCGAAAACCTGGACAGGAGAAACGCACTGTGATCGCCAGGGGCAGTGTCTTCACTTTCCCTGTCTGTGGACTGTGAGCAAGACTCATAGCTCGTCTACAACCCTTAGAGCCTCTCCACAAGAAAAGAAAAAAACTTGTAATAACAATAGTCTTCTGGGCACTCAAAGCGCTTTACAGGTCATGGGGACTCCCCCACCACCCCCACCAGTGTGCAGCCCCACCTGGATGATGCTCCAGTCCTCTCACACACCAGCTCTCAGTGGGGAGGAGAGGAGAGTAATGAAGCCGGTTCAGAGATGGGGGTTATTAGGAGGCCATGACTGGTAAAGACCAGGGGGAAATTTGGCCAGGACACCAGGGTAACACCCCTACTCTTTCTGAGAAATGCCCGGGGATTTTAATGACCATGAGAAGTCTCTTACTTACACAGATAAGCAAATTAAATAAGCACTCATTTAATTAGTCGCCGTGAGACTTTTCAGCCCCGATCCACCCTACCTCTCACTGAGGTTCGTCTTCACCGCGGGCGTGGCCGGCTCGGGGACGCTCCTGAAGCCGCCCAGGGGCGAGGAGCCGACTGGCGGCCCGGAGGGTCTCTCGCCCGCGGGCTTCGCTGCGGGGGCGCTGAAGGAGAAGGCCGAGGCAGAGGGGGCCGAGGACAGGGGTCTGGGGGCCGCGGCGGTGAAGGAGAAGCCTGCAGCTCCGGACGAGGGGGCAGCCGGGCCCGGTCTGCAGGAGGCCGGGGAGCCCAGAGAGAAGGCGGAGGGGGCTGTGGGGAGCTGCGCGGCGGACGCGAAGGAGAACCCTGAGCCCAGACCGCCACCGGGGCCCGGAGCCGCAGCAGGGGGCCCGGCTGGGGCAAACAGCACAGAGGTGGGAGCCGGGGTCGAGGCTGGAGGCCTGAGCGCAGGGGGTCCTGCTGGTATTCCTGCACTGTAAGGTGGAGGAGAGCCAGCACCTACAGCAAGATCAGCCAAATAAAAAACAAAGATTAGGGGTCGAAAAGGGATGGAAAAAGAAACAAATGCTCTTTTGTGCTCATGACGCTTGTGAGGCCGAGGCGATGATGTGTTACTGACCATACATTAGTATGGTGATAATAAATAATACAGTAAGATCTAGGGTCCACTTCTGCTCATTTCCCTCGAGAAAACTGAATGGATTAGTGCTGGAATTGCCAAGAAGGTTCATATTTTGATGCATGTATGCCTCACCAACACAGACTGATTATAAACGTCTGCTTTGTAAGAAGACAAGACAATACTATGCCCTCGTCAACCTTGAAATGCATCGTTCAAAGCAGTAAGCTGTTGCATTAAAAACCCTGAAGGACTCACTGGCGCTGGGCTGCCTCTCGCCCTCCACGGGCAGGCTGACTGGCACAGTGCACAGCTGCTTCACCCCTGGGTTCTGGTTGATGAGATAGAAGGGGCACAGAACCCCATCAGTGGACAACAGCATCAGGATTGGGGCCGGAGGAAGTGTCTTCTCCTCACCTGCAACAGAGAGCAGTGACATTCTGAAAACTGCCAATTATTTTCTGTGTTCAACAAAGCACATCGGAATCGCCAACTGTTTATCCACTGGGCTTGACAGTTCCCAGAAGTCTCTGCGACATGGATGTCAGCCTTCAGCTGCCCTCAGAGAAACTAGGCGCCGCTTCCTGGGAAACTCTGTCACAGAGTCAGCTCCTGGTGTGTACCAGACTCAGAACTACACTCTGAGCTCTAGCGTAGCGTCTTCATGAGCCGAGCCCCTGGCCCCCCAAAGAGGTTTTAAAATTAGACCCAAAGACACAAGAGTCCTGGTCATTAAGATGAAGCACTCACTGATAGGGATCTCTTCCTGGCTGGTGTAATCGATGGCCACCCCCAGGGGCAGGGTGTCGTCATTGTTCATCGTCACGGGAAGTTCAGCCCTGCTGGCATCCTCCAACAGCCACAGTTCCCAGCTTGTCTGAGGAGAAGGTGACAAACAAAACCAGAATAAAGCAGTGTCACACACTGCTAAGAAATGAATGGCTAAACACCAAACGCAATAAAACTCTTTATCTACAACGTCACAGAACCTGAAGAAGAGTACAGGAGTCATTTTAAATTCACACTGTTCTTCGCCACATTTTTCAGGTGAGCGCTGTAAACAATTCCACCTTAAAACCTCATCTGATTCCTTGGATTAAATCTCTACAAAATACAATTCCAAATTCAGCTGTTTATCCCAGCACCATCTCTGATGAAAGATCTCAGGCCACAGCCTTGTAGAAAACTTTCTGAAGCGCTTATATCTCGCATGTTTCAGTACGACAGGCAATCCAGCGACAATCTGACTAAAACGGCTGCTGATACCTTGTCATCCTGCTTGGCGATGATGCTGACTTCAATGGAGGCTGCTGATGCTGCTAGGACTATGTCCCTGTGGAAATGGGAGAAATTGTCAATTAAAAAAAATCACAAACTGTATTACAAAGATGCATTCCACAGCTGCACACAAAGTCAGAGTATACGTTTAAGCAAAACAAGCGTTTATAACAGACATATGGCTCAAGAAAGGGGCTTGAGAGTGGATCTGTGTCTGCAGGTGAGCTCAAAGGAACAGAAAGAGGTAAATTTCATGCAAAGTACAAAGTGCAACTAAAACAATGTTTTAGCTGTGGAGCTTCTTCAGGTGTAGTACAAGACTAAGCAGGCAAATTGTCGTGTTCTTCTTCCTTACCCTTTTCAGAATGCAATATAACTCCTGTGTGACGTGCATTTAATTTGTGTTTTACAGTGCAAATAAAAAAATGTTTGGGAGCACAGAAAATAAATTGAAATGGCTTTGAAAAATTAAAAAGTAGCTTATATTACGCTTTAATTTGACTGGAGACAGACCAACCAGGCTGCCCAAAACCCCAAGCATGAAAGGAGGTAGCATTATACAGTACCCTTTTCTGTTGGACATAAACCTCAAAATCAGATTAATATTACATAAAACCCAGGTATAAAGCTCACCAGTCTTCTACGTGGCTCAGGAAGTAATGGTGCTGTCTCTCGGTGCAGGACCCGTAAACAATATCGTTGAAGTTCAGGTACCTTTCCTCTCGCTTCTCATCTTTTTTCTTTAGAGCACAGAAGAGAACAGCACACCGAAATAACCTCAGACTGTAGATAAACCATACAGCAAAACACTGTTTCAAGTGGCACCTTCCCTGCGATGTTTGATTCCAAAATTAATCCTCAGTCAGCAGTGACTGCCATTGAGATGTAATGAGAAACAACTCAGCAGGGTGTTATTAATGTCACGCAGTTTGTGGTATGTATGCATATCCATGGTATGTAAATAAGTTCCCGTGTTTAAACTTCCTATAGGTGCGGTTAGCACTCAGCAGACCTGGGAATGAGACAATAGAAAAAGCGAGGTTAGGCACACTGGGCGCCTGTACGTACAGGAAGGGAGACCACCACCAGGTCTGGGGGAGTCTCCAAGGCATCGTCGGCAGCCGTGTACACCACAGCAAACACATAGGTACTGAGCCACAGCACATCCAGCACTGAGAAGACAAAAACACTCACTTCAGGAAAGCTGCGCTTCGAAAAACACAAAACAAGACTGGGATACGTACTAACTCCAGGGCATATAATTCTAGTCCTTGTTTGTCACTTATTTGAACCAGATACTTATAACTGGCAATACATATCACTGCTGCTTCCAGGGATGCATTAATGAAGTCTAAGGGGCAATAAAACCAGAAGGATTAATCCTCACTTACTGCATCGAACTGTAAGCCTCTTTATGAAGCATTTAATCAGCAATACATGAGTAAATCAATAGAAATGGGGCTTTAGGAACGCATGTAGAAGAATTGCTTTAATGAGCTGCCAAACAGTCTTCACTGAATTTCTCTTAGATCTTTTCCATGGTGAGTATTTTGCTTTGCATCAGCTGCGTACTTTATCGTGAAGAAAAAGATCATCTAACCTTTAGCTTGATTGTCAGAACTGTAGAAATGTGGACAGGGGATCACTTTCTTCTCTTGCAGGGTCTAAGAAAAAAAACATTTTTTAAAATATATTAAAATCAGGAAAGAATCTCATAGTAAATGATTCTTGTGGCAACAGACTTCATATCATATTGAGAACACCACAATAGAATAATATTAAATTGAGAAAAAATTGCCTTGGTTTTCAAATGAGTTAAGTTATACTGTACTACTGGTAATGAATGTTTCAGCCTTGTGGCCTTGTTTTAAGAAATGTGCAAAAACAGATATTGAGTTTAACTTGTATTAAATATCCAGCTTTTTTGCTGCATCTTTTAACTCTATAAACTGAAGTAGATCAAGACGCCATTTAAATTAATCAGTGCAAGAAATTATTATGAATGCATTTTTTATCCTTTTTGCATGAGTGAACAAACTTACAGGGGAATACTGGGTCACAGTGGCATTTTTCTTTCCAGCAGCCACCTGCTTGCCTTTGGGACTCCAGCAGACTGGATGAAAAATAAGCGTAGCAAAAAACAATTAACTTCATTTAAAACTCTACTGAAAAATATCAGGGAAAATACTGTTTTTTCTTTCTACACCCTACGTGCAACCTGTTCACCACAGTATCACTTCAACAAGCTTTATCCAACACATTGATGTGAAGGATTGACAACCTTTTAACTGAGCAACACCAACTGATAAAGGAGAATATTAATTTGACAAATCACAAAAATAGAGATGAAGGGAAATCTCTCTCTCTCCCTGCCACACGGTACATGTAACTTTAGATATGTCAATACAACAACAGTGCTTTAAGGCCTTGCACCTGCATCACAACCCATTAAACAGATCTGTTCATCTTAATGGGCTGAGCACACTAATCTTGGGGCGGATTAGCCACGGAGGAGCACGCTCACCACATGTGATTCCCTCAGTGGGGGGCAACTGAGCCTGCAGCTTGGCACTGTCCAGGACCTCCAGAACCAGCATGCTGCCGTCGGACAGGCAGGCCGCCAGGAGGGAGGGCAGGGCCGGGTTCCACTTCAGGTCCTTCACCGAGGTCCCCGGCTGCACGGCCGGCCTGAGGCTGGTGAACGGCAGCTTCTCTGGCCTGGCCTGAGGGGAGAGGCACGGCCACGTCAACGCGGTGACCTTCTCCTTCCTTCCTGACGTTAAAGCTATAGCTGCCACGAGCGCTGGCACTGAATGACAGGCTATACGGCAGGTACACTCAGCCTCAGGGCTGCTATTCAAGTGAGCTGCGCTGCCAACAGGTGGGGAATCTGTTCACTGCCACCCGGGAGGATGTATTGCTTTGTGTTATAAAGCTGCAGTCAAACGCAGTCTTTTTTAAGAAACACGCAACTACAGTGGTTCATGCTCGTCGCCATCCTCTGCTGGAAGGCTATTTTTCCCATTAATGCTTGAAAGCTCTTTTACAGAAAACCTCCTCTAAAGCTCCAGGGAGACGAGATGACAGAAGGAGCTTTCAGTGCAGAAAGCCTACCTTATTGAGCAGAGTTCGGACGTCAAAGAAAGACAATTTCCCCCCCCCCTCAGCGGACAGCGTGCACACCGACAGGGTGAGCTCATCACAGCTCAGAGCCACATGGTGCACAGGAGATTCCAGAGCAACGCTTGTACCATTTACACCCTCCACTGAAAAACAGAGAAATCCAGATGAATTCCTGCATCAACATGAAACACAGCCACAATAGAACTGCAAAACAAGAACATACCATAGCAACACAAAACTGATAACATAATTGATCAAAATGTAATTATCACGAGTATTGTATACAACTAAAAGCACAAGTTATGCTAATCTTTTACAGATTGTGCACAAGGATACACATAAGGCTCCTATAACACAGCAATCTGATTTGGTTTAGAGCTGTGGGAATCTTCTTAAATGCATACAGGTAAAGCAAAAACAAATGTTTTTAATATTGCATTTGTTTACTGCAATGCAAGAGTACTCAAAATTATTTTACAGGCTTTAGAGAGCTATACAATTTTGGACCAAAATGTTAGGGTACAGATCCTAAGTCTGAATTTGATACAGGCAAGTGCAAGGATTTTCTCTGGCTTGACTATATTGTTTAAATCTAACTGGAAACCAATCAGCTATGATCCATGTTCACACTCTGCTCAGAAGTAAACACCCTCTGAAGTCACACTGTACCTATTTCGTTGGGATTGCCCTCAATCCGGTTTGCTGCAACGATGTCACAGGTTTGGAACACTTTGAGCTCCGTGTCATAGCCTATAAACGTCAGCCCATACTTGTTGGAAACTGCAAGCAGGTTAGACCTTTCTTTCGGCAACTCCTCTGGGGTGTCAAAAATGCGGATCTTCTTCATCTGCCTAAATTGAAAATCCTGCAAACAACAAATAAAAAGCATTTAAGCCGTGCACGTACTCTTTGTCCTCCTTAAAGTCTCTTGTAAAAACTGTTTACTGAAGTAACAGACACTGACAGTGCTGTACAGTTACGTTACAGTCTGTGGACCTCAGACATGAAGTTTATCCCTCAGTCGCAGAGGCAGCATTCCACAAGAACAAGATCTGTTTTTTGCAAAATGATTAAAAAGCACCACCTTCCATTCCAGCAGGAATAAGACGGATTTACATATGTATACGATAAATTCAGAACTTTCGAAACGAAGAAATGAAAGTGAAAACAACACAGGCTCAAATGTTTGCTGGCATCCTCGTAGATAATGGGTATGGAATAGAAAAAACGTAAAGCCTAATCTAACATATCATCAAGAAAATAATTTGAATGCTTAACTTAAAAATATCGTATAACTCTAAGGCAAATAGCACATTACAAAATAAGAAAATACATTCTAGACATACGAAAGTGTGACAGGAGTATCTAAATACTTTTTTAAGAATAGCTTTATCGTGTTTCGACAATCACAGCTGTCACTCAACCACGGTAAAAGTCTTAAGAGAGGCAAACCACGAAGATGTCGTGCACTCGGTACTGCAAATCGACCAATGTAAACTGAAAGCTTCACAAATTGTTTCAAACACTTGCCTTCATTTCCCTTTCGGGAATTGCGTCCAAATCGTCGCTCATTTTGTATCACCGCAAAAGCAACGGTAAATTAATAAATGTAATAGCAGAAAAACAGTCAACTGTATTAAGTTTCAAATTAGTCTGAAACTCAAATTCGCAATAGTTTCATGATTCTCCTGACACCATCATGGCTTCTGTCTCAGTGCGACTGAGAATCAACACATCCGTCGCATGTCTTACGTCACAGATTCAAAACTATGGCGCCTCCCCTTGAGAAAATCAATTTACTGTATTATCCGTCACGGTGTCGTGTTAAACATTACTAAAATTGATTAAAAAAATTAAAAGTGTTTCATTAGCTGTTTCTGTGCGTGTAAAACTTTTCAACCTCTTGTCCTGGCTGGAAAATTGAATTCCTCAGGAAAGTTACAGTGGAATGTATCAGGAAAATGTTGTTAGAAAATTTAAACTGATGAGCTAAAATACATATTGTGTGTGTGTGACAATACTTGCTACGTGCTAATATATGACATAAATTAAAGTAATACAAAACTAAATGGTTAAAAATAAAACACCACTTGGAAAACTCACAATACTAAAATAGTCCACAATGTGGCGCTGTTTTTCTAATAGTTTCCTTACAGAGCTCCGTGAAGTTGGCCCCCCTACAGAGCACAAACGATCAAACCCACTTCATTCGTTTGTGCAAGTTTGTGTCGTTGAAAGTAGTGTTTGTGCCGCTTTCGTTCCCAGATATAGCACCTTGTTTTTCCGGTGATCATGTAACCATGCACGGCGACCTTGACCTCCAGTGACCCCGCCTTTACACGTCCCTTGGTGCGTGTTTATTGAAGAAGGAGACGGTGAGAAACTGATCATTTCAGGGTTTTTTTTTTTAAACACACACTGCTACGAAGTATTGAGACGTGCTCGTTAAAGCCTCTTGGTAAGAACATGCAATTGTTTGCTGGTGTTCTCTCTTTGAGACTACACCCGCAACTCTTCTGATTAGGGTGTGTGATATTCGTGACAAATCACTCCGACGCACAGAGGACACTGATATTTAATGCAAAATCCACCGCCGCCCCCCACCCGGTCAAACAGAGGAACACAACTGCAGAGCCGTTCCTCTCGCACCCCTCACAGACGCTTGAACTCGGGGTCACTGGGGGTCAAGGTCGCGTGATCACCGGAAGGACAAGGCGCTATATCTGGGGAACGAAACCGGCACAAACGACTGAGACCGGTCCGGTTTCCCTACGACGTTGTAGGGGTTCTGGGCAAGGTCACCCCTGAAAAAGAAGACGTTGTATCTAAGGAACGAAAGCAGCTGGGAAGTTACTTTCAACGGCACAAACCGGCACAAACGCTGCACTAACGATTGAGGTGGGTTTCGTCGTTTGTGCTGTGTGTAGGCGGGGGCAACTTCACGGAGCTTTTCATTACAGGCTGTTGGGAAGTACGCGACGGTTACTCATAAATGTGATTATGATCCATTACTGCTACGGAAAACAACATGCTGTTGTTGTTTTCCGCAGACGGTCGCCACTGCAGGTTGAAGGGCCGGCTTACCGGCGCGGTGACGTCACCGCCCTTCCCTGTGAATAGGGAGGGCGGCTCAGGGAGATTTCCCTTTAGCTCAACGGGCGGGGTCCCTGTTGAGTGACCGGAGGCCCGGGTTCGAGTCCCTAGCGGTGGGGGGCCGACCTGAGGTGGGCACATACCCCCGTGAACCCGAGAGCGCTGCAATATATTCTTTGAAATTCTCCCGATAATTAGACTTGTTTAGATAATTAGATTTGTAATGCCTTTATCTATGGTGATAGATATTCATGGGACAAAATTTCACAAGTGACCGTAACAAAGTTACTGTGCAACGAGAAGAGTGATGTATTGAAACTTGGTTTGAATCATCACCCATTGAGGTAAGAAACAGAACAAATACAATGTACAGAATTATTTTTGTACAACACTTTTCCACCCAAAGATTTTGAAATTACTTGAGAGACTGTATGTACTGTATTATTATTATTATTATTATTATTATGTATATATTACTGTACATTAATACATAAAATAAATATGCCCACTGTATTCACCCCCCTAGGAGCCCCACTACACTGCAGATCAGGTAAAGAAGTGCAAAATTGCTATAACTGCAATAAAATTAAGAGGGAACTTAACTTGGTGGGTGAGATTTTGAGGGTTTAACAACCTTTCTCTTACAAATAGGGCAATGGGTCTTTGGTCTTTGGAAACCAAGCAATGAGAACCTCAGATTAACATTATTAAAACATTCATATCCCTGTATTTAAATCTGATATAGTTAAAAAAGGATCAAAATAGATCCACATTTATTCCTGTATGGCATCTTAATAATAATTCAGATTGAATGTGTAGGTTTTAGCACTATTGTTTTTTAACCAAAAACATAACAAAACAACAATACTGCAAACGGCTTTCTGATTAACTGACAATAAAAGAAAACAAACAGTGTTTGTACTTGGAAAGGTCAGTCCCACTGATAAGCTTGTAGCAATTGTTTTACAGTTGGTTTCATTTCCAAAACCCTGGGTTGGACAGACTCAACAGGTTTTGCATTGAGAAGCCTACTGTTGACTTCTTATTGTAATTGCAAAAACGTTCGAAAATGTCTAATTAAATTCTGATTCATTTTTTAAAATGCCATTTCATTTATTAGACATCATGTTTATGCAGTTTGGTAACAGAAAAAAACTCAATCCATAAACAACAGAAAGCCAATCAGAAAGTCTTTTACTCTGAAACAAGGTTAAGGAGCTGTAATGCATTGAATATTCCTAACTTTTTAACAGCTTTCCTTATGTGCATTTGGAGCCCTGTTGATAATTATTCTGACTGTTGTTCTGTTGTTAACTTAAAATATCTTACTTAGACTTAAAGTTAGATCCAAATGTTCCTTTTACTGTTTGGTTATCTGTTAACCTTACTTTTGAAGTATTAATATTGTGGCTCTCTGATGTGTCTGAGTACATGTTCTACAGAATATTGAAAAGTACAACACAAAAACGGTCAATATCTTGACAGTATAAATCCATGAGAAAGTTAACAAAGGTGAGAAGGCTGTTCAGTCCACCTTGCACATTTGACTGCTTGTAGATAATTTATTCCAGAGAACCTTCTTGCAAAGCCTTTAACTGTTGATTATAATATAAAATCAACCTAATGGATGAAAATATTGTCTATATGTAACAAGGAATAGTTAGACAAGTGGGCAACACAATTCCTGAATTATGACTTTTAATACTCTGTCATCAACTAAAGACAACTTTAGCCTGGTCTGATTATTTTGGAAAGTTTCACCAAGGAGGAAAGGGACATGATCAGTTCCCATTTTCCTGTCTTTCTTGTTACAGACACCCACCACTATTTTGGTAAGAAAAATGCCTCCTGTTTCCAGTCCTAAACCTCCCGCTTTTAATTTCCATTATTCACAGATCTTGATTGTACAGTATAATTCCCTTGAGTTGAAAAGCAATATCCTTTGAATTTTGCCTGTAACTGCCTTATTTATTTTTATACGGTATTCAGAATGTTTTACTGAAGTAAAATATAACAATAATTCTCTGATCTGTCAGTTTACTGCAAACAAGTATTTTAACTAGCCAAAGTGTTCTAACTAGTGACTAGTGTTTAGAACATTACAGGGTGCAGGCAGTGTAAATAGGTATTAAAATATGGCACACATACTGTATACTGTAAAGTCTCCTTCCAGTGAGTCTCATTTACATAATGTATGGTAAAAAGGGTTATTTGTGTATAATATAGTAGTTCTTTCTAGTTTATTTCTAGTGTTATCAAGGATTCAGCTTATATAATAGTATTGGTAGCAGTGTGAAATGGCAGTTAGGTGTCTAGACTCATAATTGGGAGGCTTGGGTTTAATTCCTGGGTGGGGAACTCCTGTTACACCTCTCAGAAAGATACTGCACTCAGACTGCTCCAGCAAAATGCCCAGACATGTAAGTAAATGGGTACACATGTAAGGCGGTTTGGGAATAAAGCATCGGTTAAATAACTAACTTATTATATCATGTTATAAACAAGCAGACTGTTTAAAATTAAATAATGAAAATAATCTCCTTAGTCAATCTGTTGAATATAAAACTATCTAATCTAATTTCTTCTTTTCATTTAATCGGCGTTGTGGCACAGAGCTAATTAAAATAGAGCATGGGATTACAGTGTCACAGAGCTGTGAACGCCAGGCTCCAGAAGTCACATGTGGAGCCCAGAGTGCACATGTACATTCCTTCTTCCCTTCCTAATAGCTCTTGTCAGTCAAAAGCATTCGTGGTCAAGAAAACCCTAGTCTAGAAGAAAAGAGACTAACACGTCGGCTTTGTATTCTACACACTAGGTGGGAGATTGCTGGAATAATGGCAAGCGGTAATGGAAAGGACCCTACGGGGAAGATGCAGACATGTAAGAGTTTAGATTGTGTTCATGGAGTGCTGCTCACAATTCCCCAACAGAAAATCCTTAGTTGAAGAGCAACCCTTGGACAAAAGGCTGTAGTACACTGCAGAGAGCCATAATCTAAAACCAGCATAAAAGGTTAAGAAAATGTCTGCTTCCATTGCACTCTGTGGTCAAGGACCTGTGCTGCCCGCACAATAAACCCACTGCAGTCAGCTGCAATGTCCTTTCACCACTCAGGTTCGCTCCAGTGTTCTGGGCTTTATGGGCACATTGTGGTTTATTGTTAGCTACACCTCAACCAGGAAGGTTTTAAAGTCTCTTTCATAAGAGCTGCCAGAAGCCTGCACATGACATGCGAGCCCTGCAGGCCAGACTGCGCTGCCTAATCAGGAGCGTGATGAACTGCCTGGCTTTTTGAAACCCATGTTTGCAACAGCACTGCTAAGCGAGGCAGATAACCGGGAGCAATAGATAGCCATCTCAATCTTCCCCGGGTCCATTCAACAGTCTGCTCATTAGTCTGCTGTTAGAAGTTAGAATAACCTATTTATATATCTCATTTCATTTGCTTTTATACTAAAGCAAGGTGAAGCTGTATCAGGAGCATGTCTTTATCTAAAAAGGTTGCTGGATTCAGAGACTCAGTCTTGGAGAGCCAGAGTGTCTGATTTTCATTCATCTTAATTATTTAATTAAATTGGTTATTTTGATCAGAACTGAAGTTTTTTAGGTCTTAATGAGTAGGTAATTGAAACATGCCTGTAAACACCTCAGGATGCCAGCCCTAGAAGACTGAGATTATTCGACAGTGGTCTAACTTCTCTGCAGTCCACAAAGTATTATATCGTGTCTTAGAAATAGTGTGAACGGGAGATCAGTAGTTTTGTTTTCTAAAACTAGTTTAATGTCTAATAGGATTAAAATGAGTTGAAGGTGCCCCACTTACGTTTGCAATTAAACAGAATAGAAATTTAAATATAGTGATATTTCTGTGAGGCAAAAATGTATTCTCCTTCCAACTCTGGGCTTACAAAACGCTCCAGAGAAATAGCTGTTTTTGACATGAACTCGTGAATATAATAAAGTTTATGCAAGGATATGTCTACTTTTTTTACATCCCAAAGCAGCTGTTAAAAATAGCCGAGAAACTGGTTTTGATTTAGCAATTGGTTTCCCTAAATGGAAAACTATGCCTGGTGCAGGCAGCTTCTAAAAAAAAAAAGACTTTTTGAGGACACATTTTTTAACACTCAGTTGAAAACATTGTGAGTATTCCCAGAAGCAGTTCATGGCCAATAAAGTAAAACAACTAAGTTTGTTTACTTAAAGAAGATATACAAAGGAAAAAACAGCCTCGAGGTACCAACATTTAAAAGAAACTGAACATTAATTAGCCTTTACATGTATATTTGGACCCAGTGGCATTTAATTTTAAGTTTGTGTTAGCAAAGTCCTAAAGTATAAAATTAAAATATCTTAAACAAGAATATGTCTTGAGGTTGCAATTTTTAGGTTAACCCATGCTGCAGTTCTACTCCTTCACAGAAGCATGTTTCATTGCATTAAAGGATCCACTGTCATAATACCAGAAAGTATTTTTAGCTCATTTTTAACTTTGAGATATTTCAGGAAATGCCTTTAATCTGAATTGAATCGCAGCTAGCATTGTGTCAGAGGGACACATACAAATCAGATCCCTGTGCAACAGAAATGACACTTTAAAAACAGAACTGAAATCAGTCTGTGCATCTGTAATTGGAATTGATCATCTTGACAATGAAAGAAAAAAACAAGTGGAAAGAAACGTATGCAGAAGGAACAACAAAAAAACATGGGGAACAAAATAATTGTGTGGGTTTAATAGGTCCTACAAAGGTATAAAGTCCTTAAAAAACCTGTAGTTCTATACTGATTTCAAAATACTATACTTTTAAAATCCCGAGCATTCCAAACAGACTATAAAAGACAAAAATGAAGTGATTTCATTCTCTCTTTCAATGCACAGAAAATATTCAGTTTTTTCCACCAACCCACAACAACACGTTTGGAGTATCTTTTGTGTTGCATTTCTGGGAATGAGAGACGTCTGTATTAGGCAGCCTGATGTGTGTCTTAATTACAGCAATTGTTTGCCCCCCATCAGCCCCTGTCTTTAGCATGTTGTGTGCATCTAATTTCTTCCCATTGATCCCCTACTGGCTGAGCTTAGCTCTCTGCCTCTACTCCTAATTAAAATATTAGGCTCTTTTCTGAATAGCCCCCAACAGCCCCTTCCATTGTGAAGCCTACCTAACAAACAGTGCCTGAAACACAGAGCTGTGTAGGCTGGGAAACGTTTTTTTGCCTGTGCAATATTTACATAATTGGACAGTGTAACTCACAGCATACAAAAATAATAACAGCCATACCATAGACTGATTCATTGACCTGATATGATAATACTTTATTGTCTGAATTCTTGGAAATTTGTTTTGCTTCCAAATAGCTGTGGTTTACACACAGAGAGACTTATAAAAACATACAAACAGTACAAATAAACACATTTATTAAAAATAAATATAACATTGCATAACAGACATCAACCTATACTTTGTCATTTTGCACTACTCCTATGGGAATCCACATAAATGACCAGAACCTGAAAGTGTACTCCCCCACAGTGATAACTCAGTCTGAACTGTTGAGTGAAACTGACTTTAGAACGTTAAAACACTCATCAGAGGCGTCTGCTTTGTCACACCTAGTAAAAAACATTCATTTAATCAAAGGCCTTATTCTTAAAAGCGAGCTTCCTCAAATTCGGGGTGTTTAATGTGCCTTATGTATACTGTATATATTATTATTGGGATACACCTTTATTTCCTTTATTTTGTACTCTGTAGTCACTGTTGTCATGTCATCTGAGGTGCCTTGGTAAAACATGTCCCGATCTGTCTCTTCTAAAACATGCTTCAGGTTCTTCTTACCTTCCTGTGGCCACACCCTGACAGTCTTCTCTTCCGGTTTACTGCTGGGAATTCAAACGCGCTACATTATTGGATTTAGAAATTAGTGGTCTGATCTTGGATCCATACGCCCCAGCAAAATTAACCTAGTTTTTATCCGGAATACTGTCTTTTCTGGTTTGACCCGTCTACATATTGAGAGAATCCCAGCATTGTGATTCCCAGATTCCATTGATTGGAATCTGCAAGCTTCCTGAGATGTTTGTCCGAGTGTCTGAGCACAGTCTGTGATTCTCATCGCATCGTGAGAATAATTTGAATGGAATGCAGTTCTGTCAATATTCTGCCCTAAAACACTTATAAACATCTGCTGTGGCATGCCCATGGTGTACTTTTTAATCTGAGTGTTCATCATAAAATATTAATTCATATCAGCCTTGTCTAAAAGGAAGCATGGCAATAAACTTCATACAGTAGCTCATGAACGGATCCCCAAATACCTGTTGGAATTTGACTGCAGTGCTGAACTCAGACCCGACACGGGAGGAGACTGAATACAAACATGATTCTACATGGCCTCTTATACAGTATATTACAGGTTATCCAGTTGTTATCTCCATTATGTATATGGTTTCATTGATTTGGTATCTGAATCATTAAGATCAATCATTTTGAAGAAGTATTGACTATTTAAGTACAGATTCTGCAGATCTGAGGTCTGTGCTTTAAATTAATGAGTATATTTATCAAGCCCAGTTTAAAAATACAACAATTTGTCATATGTAAAGTTCTAGGTGATATGTTCTTGTGACTACTGAAAATAAGACTCATCCCAACAAGTATGACTCATAACACACTGTCATAACACACTGTACACATCACCTACTGATATCATCCACACCAAAAGACACCAAAACAAAACACATTTTTAGTTTGAGCTTTATTCCTTTGGTGTATCTGCATTTTACAGTGTTTAAAATTGCTACTGAACATGAGATTTAAATTGCTTCAGAGAAAACAAGTATAAGACATGTAATACTAACACATTACAAACTTTTAAGAGTTGATGTTATGTATTTTTAATATAAGAAAAGAGGCACAGATACTGTAGAACAAAACAGAAAAATAAATTTAAAAATAAACCAATTAACTAGTTATGACACCTTAAACAAATAATGGGACATCAAGCGACATGCATTATATAATAATATATAGATCATATATTATTATATACTTTAATAGTAGAAGTTTTAAGTGATGTAGGATTTACGTACGATTTACAGCTACTGTATTTCAGCCATGTGCTCCTTTTCAGTCATTCCTGTTTGCCTTAAAGAAAGCAAAGCAAAGCCTGTCCAAAAAGATCCCGAAACATCTGGTTATCCATAGCTGATCTCTGAACACTCTCACTGTCAAGGGATGTAGCCCATACACAATCCTGCTTTTTCATTAAGACTGTGGGTGTGCAGGAATTTGTTCAACACAAAGTATAAAAACAGTGGGAGGATTCAGTTTTGGCAACAAGCAGTTATAGCTCTGAATCAGCCAGCACTGTATCAGTGTCTTTATTCTGAACAAAGTTAAGCGTTCACAGAAGACAATTTCACTGTTACCCGATTTGTTTTTCTTTGCACACGAGACATTTCAAGGCCAGCGGATTTCAAGACAGGAATAAATGCTGAAAGTTGATGACCCTACATATGAGGGTACCTCTGTTCTTCAAGAAAACAAATGTGTAGTGAACAGCATTTACTTCAGTATATTTCTCATGAGTTCAGTGAAAAACTGTACTACAAAAAGGAATTTACTATGGGCAGTCTGGCTATTGTAATGTACAAAACAACTTGTAATTATATCAAATAATCTTTTTAATTCCAGTTCCTAACTTGAATACTGACAAAGTGAAAATGCTTTCTCATAATCATAAATTACTTCCTCACTTAAAGTCAGGAACAGAAGCTTTTGACAAGCTATGGATTAAGAGTCTGTAAAATGCAGGACTAACAGTGAGAGTAAGATACAGAAATGAGTACTCACAATTTCGTTCTAGAAATATATCATAGTAAAACATTTATTTAATAGATGTCCACTTTTTCTGAGACTTTTTCTTTTTAGTTTAGTCCATTGCTTCAGTTTAAAAAGGAATAAGCAAGCACTGTGAGGAAGCAAGGAATGAAGACAACTACTCATGTCCAATTTATGAGGTCAAGGAAGGGTTTGCTTTTGGAATCAAGACTTCATTACACAAAAAAAGGAAGTTTAGCACATTACATAAAGCAAGCTGGTTTTAAAAAATGCTCCACATGCCAATGAAGCACACTGTGCCCTTAAGTTTACAGCGGAAAGTCAAAGGTTTCCACATTTAATGAAGCACTACAGTGCTTTTTTATTGTATTGCAGTCGTGCAGCATTTTAATTGCCATCTTAACTTTACTGTGTGACACAGAAGAAAAGGTCTTCTTTTTCTTTTTTGTTGCAAAGTGACAAACATCATACATCATTACAGAAAGCTGAGCATAATCGCCATGCCTTAATTAGCCCGACTCATCCAGGCGGAATACAATCAGAGGGCTCTAACCTTCTTCCATTCATGCAATGGGAGTCCAAGGAACTATAGAGTTATGAATTCCACATATGGAATGTAAGACACAGCACTGGTAAATTTCATATTTCATAACACTTCGCTGAAAGTAGTGCAGAAACTAGTATAATTACAGGAGCCATTTACTAGGTGTTACAAATTACATATCTAGATATTATTTAGGCCTTGGCTGCTCACTGCTACTATTTACTGCTCTATTCCCTCTGAATAGCTACACTATGTGGAACTGATCTAAAAGATAGTTGCTACTTCTGGTTTCTTTCCTAAAACAGCCTTTATTCACTTCAATAAAAAGCACAAAACTCAGTTCACAGGGGTGTAAGGTGTCTGGAGTACTGTAATTAAAAATATTTTATTATCCTTAATATAAATATATACATTTGTTCTTATTATAATAAAACTATTTTTTCATTTTTTCTTCACAGCTACATTTTTATTTTGTACTCTGCTGACTCCTTAAAACTAAGACAAGTTCCTTGCCTACAAGGAGTCTCCTTCATCAGTAGAATCCCGACTCACAATAAGGCTCTATTCACACACCGATACAAAGACACAGGATGGGACAAGTGTGTGTCCACAGGCTGCCCCTGCCTCCTGGGCTGCTCCTCACGTCTACGGGAGGCTGGCGATGTCTCTCTTGGGCGGGGGGCCGCTGGGCTTCAAGATTGATCCGTTTGCCTTGTCTTCAAATATCATCACTCTGCAACACAAGGGGGACGGGAGAGGAAAACAATGAGGCGTGCACTTCAGCGGTCCCTGCAATCATGTCTCCCCGGGTCGCGATCAGTGCAGAAGGGGCTGCTATTTCACGATGCTCTTGAATACAGTATATATGAAAACAAAAACCTCAGGGCAGATTCTGCAAGAATGGATTTCATTTTTTTATTGGATGTAGAATGTTTGCTTCCATCCATTGTCTAACCTCTTCTTCCAGCTCAGGGTCGCAGGGGATCCAGAGTCTGTCCCGAGTAGAAAGGGGTGCGATTCGGGGTACATCCTGGACGGGACTCCTGCCCGGTTCATTAGGGTATCATTCCCCCCCATAAAGTATTTTTACCCCAGGTCCTGTCATCATTGATCGCTGGGTGACAAACCACAGGGGCTGACAGTTCTATTCGAGTGAGCTTCTTTACTTTCCTTTTTTGGTTAACCTCTTGCAAAGCTTCGATAAGCTCTTAAGAGCCCCTTATCCCTAAAGATAAATGGTTGTGCAGCTATTCTACTCCCTTGCTGCTGGAGCTCGATGTGTAAATCCATTACATGCAAACTGCTCTGGCTCACTCTTCAGTCCATGCTTCCTTTCATTTGATCTATTCCCTTTCTGTTTACTGTATGTCGAGTGGCCTGCACAATGGTTCACGGGCTCATCAGTCCCAAGCAGGGTCCCTGACTGATCTATAGATTTTTAATGCCCATTCACTGTTTCAGGATTTCTGGAAGAAATCCGAGATTAGCTGTGGTGGAAGCTCTGTAATTCAGGAGATAGCTTTCTCCTTCGGCCTGCTCCTCACACCGGCCTGTATCAGCCAGCGCTTCAGAGCAGCGCCCTGGAGGCCTACAGGGTGCAACACGCCTGAAGGACTGCTGCTCAAAAAGGAAAAGAAAATAAAGCTCTTCTATCTGACACACTCCGAGAACAGGCACCACAAAAAATAGGATTTGTTAAAACACACAGCACGAAATACGGCTGAGTGCACCAGTTCTTCAAAGCAGTTTGTAGTTTTGCTTCAGAAAAAACAACACTGATCTTATGGTCATAACCAAATCATGCCCACCACTATGTTAACATGTTCTCTAAAAAACACACAAAAGAATAAGCAAGCAATATTATATTGAAAATCAAAAAATGTCTTGGTTTTCTATTATCTATATATGAGAATTCCATCAATAAACGTAACGTAGCTGCTTTAATTTCTATTTTTATCAAAATCCTCATTATTCTTCTACCTTTAAATAGTCATTTCAGGACCAATATATGTTTTATAAGTAAAGGATTTATAAAACCCTCTGACTCCAGGCATGGCTACCAGCATAGCCTAGTATAGAGGCCAGGACTACATACAGCATGGCAGGATTGTCTTGGACAAATATGTGTTATATTCTGTAATTTCTCTGCAAACTCAATTAAACCTGATTGCAGATTTGTAAGCTTGGCCTTGTGCTGTTGATTTCCATTGCCAACTTGGTCAGTTGCCAAAATCATGTTTGTTCCCAGTAAGCTTAAGTGGGGAAAAATGAACCAGAAAAAATCGCTCACAACTCTAAAGAATCACTTAAGAGTGGCTGTACTCCTTTCTGTAGCTACGCTTTTGGAATAGCCAAAGGCGTCTTACGTGATGCAGCTACAATAAAGCAAGGATTCAACAGGAAAAAAAAACAGCCTCAGCATTCTGATCATGTCAATTCTGCACAAAAAGCCTGTATTTTGAAAACTCCTGAAGTGAGTGTTCGATAGCGACTCCTCGCACTGGAGCAGTGGTGCTGGAAAACCATGCAGTGTGAGCTCAGATAAGTCTGTCTGCAAGTAAACAGCCTTTTAGATCTTGAATCTTTTCAGGAGAGAGGGACAAGCTCTGAGGATACTTTAGTCTTACTTTGTCCTAACAGTGACACTAACACAGCATTCCCGTGGGACCCACAGGACCCACAGTTTGGGAACCAAAACATGTGCCGACATTCAGGATCAGGAAAGAAAAAAAGGTTTTTTTCTTGAGACAGGCAAGGAATGGGTATATGCTGCTGAAATTGAATGATGCTGGAGAGATCGAACATCATCAGGAAAGAATGTGAATTTTGTTAGGTTTGTTTGCAGCCCATCAACTAGTAGCATTATCATTTTTAACCAATTAGAGCAATTAGAGACACCTTAACTAAAGAAATATGTAAACAAAATACAAAAATGTTTGGTATTATTGTGGGATTCAGTGGTGAAAGGTATTTCGGGACACTATGACAGGTGACCAGAGATTCTTTGCAAAAGCTTATCTTAAAGATGCATTGCTGCAGGGCTAAAGCAATCATGCTTTGGGGGCTTTTTATAGATGCACAGGAGGATTATGAAGCATGCACCACACACAACCTGCACAGGTGGCTTAAGTGGCGTAAATGCCACATACCCTTGGGTAGCTAAATGCAAATTAAAATCACTCAGATATCACACAGTGTGATCCTATACATGCTACAATGTGTGTCCTACATATCTGTCCATGTGATACCGTGGAAGGGGAAGGCTTTTGCAGTGCTGTATTGGGCAACAACCGGAGAGGTGCAGTCAGTGAAATTACCCCCTGCTGAATGACAGTCTCTCTATGTGCAAGTTAAGTCTACGATGAAGTAAAAACCACCTCTTTTCATTACAAAGGAATTGCAAAAGGTGATATAATTTTCTGGGGACTGACACCTTAGCCTCTCGTCACACACTAGTGGAAATCTTACACTGTACAGATGTGTTGATGCAGCTTCCATGAGTCAGACGAGCCAGGAGGCTGCTACAAGGGTGACGAATGTGATATCATTCAAAGATTGAATGAGAATGAGCAGGAAGTAAAATTCTGTTGTCTCTTATCTAAATGGAAGAAGGAGCATTTCACTGTTATTGCCTGTGAATGCAGGGAAACATGTAATCAAGTGACAAAAGAAGTAGGATGATTTTACAAAATGCAGACATAAAAGTGAATAATAAACTATATATATAAAAAAATTAAGTATAAAGAGTAAGTCAGGCAACTAAACAGCATAATTGAAACATACCAGCAAGCTACTGTATACTGTATACTGTCTTGTAAGATAAAGCAGATTAGTGTGTAATAAAAAATGGAATGGCAAAACATTTGATCTGAACACACTGTTCTAAGCTCAAGAACTGTACCCACAGGCCAATTTCATTGAACCATGTTTGCAGGTCAAGTGACTCCCGGGGCTGACAGGAGCACGTGAGGGAGGAAAGAAGTGGAAAGGAAAAGTTCACTTCATGAAACAATTAGCACGTTTGGATTAAGGGAACTTTGTCTGGTTCAGGGTCACAAAAGCTCAGGGTTTCGACTAAAACATAAATACTGCCAACTTTTCAAAATACCAAAGGCCAAAATCTTTTTTTTTTCTTAGGGTGTGCACTAAGCAAATACATATTTACTCTGTTTACAAGTTCCAAGCACATCCAGATTGTTGTTCTCCATTGCAGGTTATGGATGGCCTGCTGGGATGATGCCCTTTTGTGATTAAAGCGCCTAACACAACGGCTTGTTAGAGAACCCATCCCGACGAACTACCCCGACGGCCTGACCGGAGGAGACGCACGGCGGGGAGTTTCCGCACTCCGCTCGGGGATCTGAGGAGGAGGCCCACGGCGCTGGACTCTGCCTTCCTTCCACTGCACAAGCCCACCCGCCCAAGAAGCCCACCGAGAGACAGTAACATGCTGATTTTGCAACAGATCAACCAAGAAACAGACACGTGTTCAGGGGCAGCTTTTGGCTGGAAACTAGTTCCCAGATGTGGCCCCTAGGGTCCCCACCACTCACAGTTTTAAGACAGCAGATCTCTTCCCCAGCATCATCTTGACGAAGTCCCTGTACGAGATGGTTTCGCTGCACCCTCCCGTCACCTCCGAGATCATCTTCTTCATCTCCAGGTGAGTCTTGGGCACCCCCAGTTTCTCCATCATCCTCTTCAAGCCCATCATGTCTGGAGGGAGCACAGAGTCCTCGCCATCAGCCACTCACACCTGCTGCCTCTAACCTCATGACAGTGAAGGAGGGATCCTAACCATGTGACATCCTGTCACTATACAAAGGACGGGAGCCAAACTTTAAATCGAATGAGACACAGCGTTTCCAAATCAAAGAAAAAATCATTTTACTTGCAGTATCTGTTGTCTAAAATTGTTCTAATGTTCTTAAAATGTTATTCTTAACTAGAAAGGTAAAAACATGTCACACAATGTTTTACTATTTTTGGGGGGGGGGGGACTTTTTTTTTGTTTTGAGAAAGGAATATTAAACATTTTAATTTAGAAGATGAACAGGCAACCAGGCAATGTGACAGGTGTAGAACAAAACGCTACTGTGACTGTTCTAATAAGAAGTGCTACTCTGACACCTTTAGTATCAGGATGTTCCCGGAGCTGATACATTTTATTCTTGACAAATTGAAAACCTAAATGTGCTGTAAGGTCACACACTTACCAATCTCTCCTTGATCATTCAGGTCAAACTCTGCATACTTATCTAAAAACAGATAAAAATGCCAAAGAAAATGGTCAGAGATAATAAATAAATCTCCTAAAACTGAAAGTTCTTACATGGGATGAAACCACTAAACAGTACAAAAGCATGATTGTTAATAGAGTTTGTGGCGAAGATAACTATACTGGAAAGGAAAGAAGAGATCTGATTGTTAATGGTTATTAAGATGGAAAAAAGTACACAATACTCTTGAAGCCAAAGTATTTAAGGCTGATCTGATACCCCACCCAAATAATAAACCGAGTCTCAGTGCATACAGCTAATCCTCTCAAGTACATGTATAGTTACAGACATTACCGACACTTCTCATGAAGCAAAGATGTATGGGGCATTTGTTTTAGCCAGTGGTAAATGAGATACCTGGTTATGTACAATAATTTAACAAACTCTGTGCTAATAATTATGATTAATTACTATGCCAATAATTACAGTTAATTTGGCTGTAACAGAATACTTATGATACTGTGATTCTATATGACACCTGAAATGTATTAGCTCTCTGCTGTTCTACAGACCAGAACATGTAGAAACTGATGTGGTCTATGGGGGGTTAAGCATGATTAATTTAAACTTGGTGCTGGAAAGCTGGAAAAGACGTTTCTTCGGGTCACTGGAGCTGCTGAATGACATGAAAGGAAATTGCCAAGAGTAACTCTTCAGTCCTGTGCAGGGAAATGATGCCTTTAGAAGCTGACATTGATTGGATCACACATTAAAGAGAAGCTCTGACACAAACAGAAGCCTGCTTCAGAATACAGGTCCCACTTTTCAAATAGATCTAACCTACTATGTTGCTTCAGTTGTTTAAATCTTTGCTCAAATGTTGGAGATATTAAGGCAGAATAAGAATGAGCAGAGACATCCACAATGTCATTAAAAAAAGTTGAACTGATTTGCAAAACTTATGATCCTAACATCCCTGTAACACTCCCTTTCACAACCAAACATATGTTTCTCTTTCTAGATCTAAATAAGAATCAAATTGCCTGAAATTGCTAAGCTTTCCCATCTCAGGTCTAATAATAAATCAGGGAAAACCAAATTATTTGACAAAGCAAAGCGAGATGAGCCTGGGATTGATTTCCTCGGGTTCACGTCCTGACCAGGCAGTTGCAGTTGTAAAAAACACTCCCCAGCCAGGGACTGTCAGCAGCTGGAGAGCAAACAGACAGCTTTTAAAAACATCGCAGGCACAAATCACGGCAGAGCACTGCATCTGAGCTCACGTCAAGGTCAAGAACATTCAAACAATACTTCTCACGAGAAAATACTCAGTGGCACTTTGTTATTGTCGTCTTAAAAAAACAGTAAAAACACAGAGGGCCGGGCTGAAGGGAAGATCTGGAAATGTGCACATTACCCGTTAAAGACCATCCAGTCCTGCTAAGGCTTACTGTAGGTCACAGAAAAACCTTTTCCGATGCCCTTCAGCAACTGTGCACGTGGGCCTTAACTCTTGCTTCGCCTCTGTCTGCCTTGCTAGCAGCAGCAGCCATTCTGGCTGTCTTGACTAGAACAGCCAGTGCAGCTGAGAGAAGCTCTTTACTCATCGCTGCCTCGTATGTGAGGCACATGTGGTGGCACTAATTGGCACCAAGCATCCAGGCAGTTCAGTGCGTCCAAGCAAGTGAACTTCACAAGGGGCTGTGGACAAGACTCTGCCTCGAGGGAGCTGCAGACTCACAGAAGCCAACAGCAATGTCACAAGAAGCCAGTGTTCAGTTAAACTGAGAGCTGAGCCCCTCCTCCATGTGACAGCTGTGTAGTGGGCAGCTGTCTCCTATTCAGACAGGTGGTCCTGACAGGTGAAGGGATGAGCTCTGAGAGCAGGCCCAGCACCGAAGGGTTTGAGAGATCTGAAACAACACGGACAGCAGCGCTACAAGAGATGTACTCCTCACATAATGTAATTAATAACAGGACACGGACCAATTTCACTTCTTACTCCACTCTGAAGTACTTCCCTGTCTGCAAGTTCCTCGCTCAGGCCAGATTTCTGCCTTTGCCAAGTTCTTACAAATCATTTATATTAAAATCAGTGTTTCTGTAGACTATTATTTTGGACATTCAAACACTACACTAGGTCCCAACCATATGTTTTAAGACGTGGCTCGCCAGCAATGACTTCTACCTGCTCTCCGGCCACCCACAGAGCCGTGTTGCTCCAGGTTTGCGGACAGGGGACTAAGCACCTACCGGGAGGTGTAGTGTATCTGTAACTGATATCACCGCAAAACCTGCGGACCCCTGGGAGACAGCGGGAGCTTTTGCTTGCTGGATTTTTACAATAATTAAGTGAGGGTTGTCTGAAAAGCTGGGATCATCTATTGGTTCCAGGCAGTGATGCAGGGAAACATGGGTGTAAAAGGATGGACAGTAGAAAGCTTTCTGGTTGGAGCTACTGTATATACAAGGATATACAGTACAGATTAATAAACAGTACAGTCTGTATATACAGTACAGAAGGACTAGATGCAAGCGCAGCATTGGACGGCCTTCATCATTGTAATTCCTGGATTGCTTTTCATTCTTCATTGGGTCCATGTCACTCACTTTTTGATAAAAAAAGATAAGTTGTACTGTATTTTTGCACAGAATACAGTATTTGTGATCATACTAATGTTAGTTATGCTTCAAATGAGTTATGAATATAAACAATACAGTGCCATCAGTCCCTCCAAACTGAATTTGGTGTGTGCAAAATGCTTTGGTTATAATACTTATAGCCTCTAACACTCTTCAGATTAGCAAAAAAATCCAGAAGAAATAAGTAAAGTCAAATAGTACATCTCCTGCAGAGGTCAGGAACTCTCAGCAGTTAATGCAGCTAACTGAGCTACAGCGTTCCAATCAGTTATTTAGTGAAGCAGTCAGTTTTCAACAACACATACAGTACCAACACATCACAATGTGCCTGAGCTGGGAAAGCGTGCATTTTTATTTTCTGGTTAAAACAAACTTAATCCTGAGCTGGCAACCAGACACTGTTCCAGTCTGCTGATTTTTGGGGCGAAGATTTAAAGATCAACTCTGGTTCTTTGAAAAAAAGGTCAATTACAGAGCAACACTAGTGTTTTAAATGTAATTCAAACGAAGTCTACTTTTTTTAAATTCTTGTTTTTTTTTCCAATGGCTTGTCTTCGGTGTGCAAGAAAACTTTCCAGTGTTTGTAAAGATTAACTAATGTGTAAAATGTGATTTAAGTAAATGTATCCAGCTTTGGATTTGGTCAAATATAAGTATAGAAATCTTTTCTCCTTTACTTCTCTTAAGCCTAAATTAATTTACACTTTTTGACTTTAATTTAAACTATTAAATCCTTGCTTGGCAGGATAACTAATTTTTAATTTTAGAAAATCATATCCTAATTAGCCATCAGGAATAATTTTAAACTAGTTTAAAAAATATACATAAATAAATCAGTAAATAATTGTCCACCTCCAAGGAAATTCCATTTTAGTTCTCTCTTTGACAGTTAAGGTGCATGTGGATTAACCCATTAAAAAGATTTCACAATACGAAGCCTGTTTAGTGCCTCCAATGCAGTTTCATGGAACAAAAACCGTGTCACCTACTGAAAACAGGACAATGCTAATATTGTTCGTGAGCTCTGGGCAATGGGCCTGGCGTGAGAGGTGGCCTCAGAATTCCTGCAGTCCAGCCACAAGGAGGGGTTTGTTCCTGGGCCCTCGCTTCTCATTTGCACAAACGGCTCCCGCCCACCGCAGCCAGTGCTAAAGAAAGCCAGTCTTCAACAAGAGACTGGGGTCTCACGGACCCCCTTTCAACATCTCCCCACTCTTTTGTGCGTTTCCGGCAGGTTTTAACAGCACACAGCATTTGGATGCACGAAAACTGGACTCCTCCCTATGTGCCTGAGCCTCAAACAAGCCCCGTTTCTTGCCACACATTTTAGGGGCATTGGGGGCTCCTCTTGGGCACAGTTTCTGTCTTTGACTCCCTTTTTCCTCAGCTTTCTGCTAGTAGTCCTGAAGGCCTGTACTTGCGCACAGAGCCTGAGAACTGCCTGGGCCCGTGAGAGCTCACAGAGGCATTAGGGCCACTAATACAGGATAACGTTTGTTTTGGGAAGCTGATGCTGTGATTCACTATGAAGTGTTAGCATTTTCATTCATTCTAAGCTACCCAATTGCTTATTCATATTTTCCATTTCTATAATACAGAAATTATAAAGTTGAAAAAAATGCCATTTGTGCCCTGTAGAGTTTATAATACTTTCAAAGTGTCATAGAAACTCAGCTAGTGCTAAGGCACCGAGTGGCACAATGATACGGTAAGTGACCACAGTGAAGTGCTGTAGTTTCAAGGAAGGTACTCATCAGAAGATTTACTTTTAAAGGAGTCTAGCTTCTCTTCCAGGTCCTCCTCATCTCTGTACTTCTGATCTTCCAGGAACTCCTAAAAAAAGAAATGCAAACATTAAAACATTCTCCCCTTTGCCTTTAATCTGTAACACCCCTGCAGGCAAATTATTTACGGATCAACATCTATGAAAGAGCTTCCGATCAAGCTGAGGAGGAGCTATATTACAGCATCACCATCTGTTGGAAATAAATATTTTATCAACCAGTATCTAATAAAGTGTTTTAACATGTAAGCTGACAAGCACATACTGAGAGTAGCAACCACCAGGCTTGTCCTTATTCATCTTTATTTTTCTAGTTCAGATGCAAATACACATCCACATCACAAGGCTGCTGCAATCTTTATAATATATTAATTCAACAACATATTGTTACAGGCTTACTGTAAAATAAGGCTGGGAATGTACGTGTTTTATATTTTTCCTGCTATAGCCACTCTGGTTTAATTCTATGAAAAGAGAGAGCTTTTATCAGGTATTTTTAAAAAAGATCTCTTTTTCAAGAGAACTGCATTACATCCTCTCTATCCTGGGCTCTGTGCTCTGATTACAGACATGCAAATGTAGCCATCAAAAGCCTTGGGCCATTAACAGAGCTCTCTGCCCCCCCATGGTTCTCTGGACTCTCTGTAACTAAATACCACATCTTGACCTATTTTTACTGGGTTATCAGACAGAACAGAAAAACACCATTAGCAGCAAGAGAGATGAAAGGAAACGCCTGAGATGGAGGTTCTCTGCCCAGTGTACTGGTTAACGTGCCTGCAGAACATAAGCCACCATCGCCCAGTTCAGTTTAGACGTCAGGCTTGTGTTTCCAGACCTGTCTGACACTTCAGCCTCACTTCATTCATACTTAATCTTTTACACACTGGCTTCGGTTTTAACACACCGCTGCCTACAGATCAGACCAGGAGTGAGACTGAAGGTTGTACAGGTACGTACCATTCTAATCCAAAACCACATACAGCGAATATTTGCCCATGTTCGAATGGATATCCGGGGTCAGAGTGTTTACTGCAATGTTTTCGACCAGTGAGAGAAATAGAAAGTTAACTAAACACCAGGTATGTGTGGCTCTGCGCACAAGAGGTGGAGAGGGTATGAAAAGGTTCTGTCAGGAATGTGCTGAACAAGGACATTCCTCTTTGACTGTTTCTCAAAACAGCAGCACAATGAGTCTGGCCAGCACGAAACAATGAACACTGGAGGACTGTGATAATGACAGAAATCATTTCAGTAAGAAAGAAGCAAGACCAAGTTCAAAAGTCTAACACTGATACAAAGTGTTATTGGCCTTTGGAAGGCAACTAAATTAGGAATAAAACCATGTAATTAAGAACTCAAAGCCATAATGACTATTTATTTAAGGACTATTTTAATATATACCACAAAAATGGGTTTGTGCACGTTGAGTGCAGTTGGACTTTCTTTAAACCATTTGACAGGTGCTGCATTCTTGGTCTCTGTTCCTAAACTGTCCAGTATAGTAAGTTAAAGGCCCTCAGCGCTGTTCTGGGACAGACACAATCCAGCAGCATTTCTTTTTGTTAATTAGCCAGCTTAAATAAAAAAAAGTGTTAGATTCGTTCTGTCATGACCTAAACAACTGAATATGTGTCTAAAGATGCCATGTTTTAATTTGAGGATCATAGCTGGGGACTTTAGAAGTGATGTTTTTTTTTATTTCTAGCAATCATGAAAATGTCTTGTTTATTGTTCTATTCCTGTTCTTAACTGTTTATTAAAATAAATATTAAAAATGCTCCCTAGATCTTAAGATTGACAGTTGCACAAAGTGAACAGGGAAAAGCTGGATAAGGATTGAAAAATCCTACTTTGAAAGGGGAAATAATCTTTATTATAAGCAACCACAGACACAAAGAAGGAGGTACAGAAAATGGGGTTCTTAGTGAAACTGAACAATGAGAATAAAACTGCCTGTGTCTTCTCCTGCTATGACAACAGCCCCTTTGTCACTGGCTTCAAATTAACAACAATCTTACATTACAGCAATCAGAAGCTCAAAAGTGTGTTTCTGTTTGCTCAGACCAAGGAGTTCAGTGTGGCCAGACCCAGCACTAGATGACTCAATAATCACTGGAGCACATGGCGCAGTGTGCCAGGAGAGAGGCAGGCGCCACTGTACCCTTTGTGACCTTAAACTAACCTTCCTCTGCTGTTTGGACCTGGATCTGCATCAGAGCTTCAATCCAATATGGCCTCAAGGACTAGCAATCAAAACAACCCCTGTGGCAAAACTTAGATTATATAAACTGCCTTTGGCTTTCAGTACCAGCATGACACAAGATTTTAATTTCTATGCCTGTGAAGAATAAAAGGAAAGTAAAGCAAAAATGTAAAAACATTATGCAGATATTTTAGTTAAACCAAAAGTAAAATAATACCAGGAAGCCATCATTTCTGAAGACCAATGTATCTTATATAAAGTGGAAGAAAATAAATTATCCCCTATAAAAGGTTGTTTAGTGTGCTTTTCTGAAGAAAGGATTTCATGCCTGCACTTACACTTTATGGTACGTTCCCTAAAGTTCTCAGTGTACCCTAATGTTTCCCAAAGTCCCCCAAATTTCCCAGCGCTCCCAAACGTTCTCTAATGTTCCCAGTGTACCCCAATATTCCCTGTTTCATGTTAGCACACGATTCAGGGGGTAGACCACTACCTGCCCACTGAGAGCAGCAGGAGCTCCACAAAGGGCCCGATTCCTTTCAGCAATCGTTCTGTCTTCAGTGTGTGCAGTCATGCACCCCAGGCAGTGGCAGCTGAACCTACACTTCCTCTTGTACTGAGCAGGCTGGTTACAGCAACAGCACCATGGATCCAAGGGCCAGTGAGGCTAACTGCTCTCATGCTGTCTTACAAACCCCTCATTACACTACAAGTTACAAATGTTACAAATGGTGGTTTTCTCCTTCCTTCTTAGCTGGTCCTCAAAGTATTCATAGCTCTCATGTTAATGAAAGTTGGTTTCACAAGAAAAAAACATGCAAGTTTACATTGAGCATCAGGTGAATAAATAAACTGAAGACTTGAAATATTGTTGGAACGGTATTGGGTATCACAAAAACAGAAATGACCAAAGTGCATATTTCTCCAAATATGTTACATTCAAAATGAATCACAACCCAGCAACTACTCTGTTGTGGATTCCTGTAGCTTTTTATTAGTTTCAGGCAGATCTCAGACATTTTTGATGTTTTGTCCATGCCGAACCTCTCCGGCTCCTCTGGATTATGCTGTTTGCTCTTGGGAACTGCTTCATTCAGTTCATTCCTCTGTCTGGGACATGGAGATGGCCAATCAAGAACGTTGAAGTTAGACTCCTTTAACCATTTGGCAATATATTCAGAGCTGGGTTTTGGGTCATTAGCCTGCTGGAATTCCTATTTGCTACAAAGGTTGATCTTCTTAGCAGAGGAAAGAGGTTTTTGGATAAAATATTCAGATATAATTTGGAGTCCATCCACCTTTGAATTCTAGCAAGGGCACCAGGATCAGTAGCTGCACAACAGCTCTAAATCAGACCTTCTTCCATTCTTCACAGAAGGGATGACATTTTTTCCACCTCAGCATCATCTTGCTGTGCTAATCATACTCCTGGAGAGACTGCCCAGAAATTCTTTGTTTGTTTGTGTTTCATCCAGCCATGTCATGAGGTTTCATCTGACTTGAGACATGTATCTGTGACTTTGCTAATTCATGTCTGTCCTTCCAATATTGCTATGAAACTTTGCTGCAGACACCAGATTCATGAGTTTAGCCTCAAATGGTACTGTAGCTTTGTATATATTGTGAACCGAAGATGCCAGTGTTTTCTGAAGGTTCTCAATTGTTGTCCTTGGTTGAGAATTAATTGTCAAACCACTTCTCTGACTACATTTAAATAAATGTTCTCTTTCTGGTTGGGTAGCACCTATCCCATTAGCCTTTAACTTCTGGATGATTGACAATACAGTCAAATCTGGAATGTCTTATTGATTGTTTTATTTATGTTATTAGAAATATTGATGTTGGTAATATTTTTATTTTAGATTTTCAGATAGTTTTCAGACTTTCCCCATGAAGATGCTTCTATAAACTTGAGTTTATAGAGCCTTTGTAAAACTAATACTTAACTACCCAATATTACAGGTTTACATTTGAAGGACTTATTTTAATCATATCTACTGAATAAAAGAAAACATAATGTATTTAGATAAATATGTAAGTAATCGGCCAATCGTATTTCGCTTTCACCCAATGCTGGTATCTTACAACTTCCTGTGCTTTAATTCATTCACCCAAGAAATACTGAAGGTTCACTTGCTTTGTTTTGGTAAAACCAGCTTTTGGTAACATTATAACAAGTACATACAGTAGGTTTGGAGCCAACTGTAATTCCAATACCATACTACAGCTAAAAAAACAACAACTTTAAAACACAGCAGAAGGAGCAGCACTGTCACAGCCAGAACAAGGCGCTCCAGTGCAGCTGAAAAGAACAGACTCTTTCAGAGCACCTGTTGTGTATCCCTCAGCACACTGGCAGGGTTGCCAGATCTCTGAGGTTTTTCTAAATAGGAAAAAGTAATTCAATGCCTCAAAAGACAAGGATTTTGCAGAACAGGCTATAGTGTAGGTATTTTAAGTCAAGATGTAGCTCTTCTGCCATTTTCATAGCAGAAATTTCTACTTTTATGAAATATTACTTCTGGTTCGATTATTACAGCACAGCTTTTGTTTTGGGACAAAGCAAAGCAGAACCGTTGACAGGTTAAAGGTATATATTGCCCAAAAATGATTTTATATTAATGAGCTGTTGCCACCAACAGTGCAAGAACTACAGAGCAAAGGCAAAATACCAGTGTCACTTGAACCTGTTGAGAAATCTGCACACTGCATTCACACAACAGCACTACACAAGTACTATGTACTTTTGAGAGTAAGTGGAATCGCATTTAGCTTTGTTTTGAAATTCAGCTGCACAAGTATAGCAGTGTGGAAACGATATACACAATATTACTTAATTCTGATTCCAGCAATACTCTAACATAATGAATATAAAATTCCCATCTTTAACGTTACAATTCAGGAATTAAACAGCTCATTAGGATGAACACATCCTTCATCACAAATATTCTGATACAAGTACTGTACTTCTCGACTTTATGGATAGCTAAATGTTTTCTTTTAACATTTAAGGAAGAAAAACGTACTTGTATTACATGAACCGGGGGATTCGGACGTTAAATTGATTGGCTAAACGATTTAATTAGCCCTCTGGATAATCTGAAGTTGCACGCAATGCTGTCGTACAGTACAAATAGAGGCAGAAAAGGATTTTAAAAAATGAAAAGCGTATTGTACCTTGTTAATTTGTTCCAGCCTTTCCCTTTGTTGGGCTTTTAATAATCCAAATGCCTTTCCTCCTGCAAATTTTAAAAAAGCAAAAATTATTATTAAACCGCCAACAGACTCCGAGCCAGTTTGAATCTGATCAACAGTGCTCAAGCAATCACATTGCCCAACGTCCCAAGCGAACTCGGGGGCAGTAAAGAGGTACCGTCTCTCGCTTTAAAAGTGCTGATATAGCTATCAATCTCTACCTTGCAAGTTCTGATCTGAAGGCATCTTCCGGTTGCTTTTTGTTAACAAAAATAAAAACCTCGCAAAATGCAAACGTGCAAAGCCCGATCTGCGCGCCTTTCTGGCCGCTGGACTCTCTGAGGCGCACTGGGAGAGTGAGGCTTGTGCCCGCACTCCCAGCGGCTGATACTGCTCCGTGTTAGAAGAGATGACCAGCACTTGAGAGCCCCAACCGGCCCCCACTGGCACTACATCAACAGAAGAGCCGCTCACAGCTGTTCAGTGGCATTGTAAGGATATACTGTCAGCAGTGCAATTTAAATATGTTCCTGGAGAAAAAACAGATCTGGCGTTAGCGGCTCCGTTGATGTGATCTGAAATACAGTTGCTCATATTAAATACCCTTAACCGTATATAATAATTTTTTTTTATTATTTTTGAAGTTGTGAAAATTTGCAGTCCTGAAGTCAGACTTTCAACATTTGTAAATCGGTTCTTGATGTTAATGATAACATGTTTAATTTAAAAACGATGCATAGTATTTAGTTTTTTTAAAAAAAAACATATACAAAGAAGGTAGGAAGAGTTATAACTGATATATTTCGGGACCAGGTAGGGCTGCACACTGGTGGTGGTGGAGGGGATCCCCATTACCTGTAGAGTGCTTTGAGTGGAGTGTCAAGAAAAGCGCTATGTAAGTGTAAGCAATTATTTTTATTATTTGTAGATCTGTGTATTAAGTACGTTGGGTCTGGAGCAAGGGTGTTTTGTTTTATTATTGTGCACAATAAATGTATCACTGTGTGTTTGTTAATGTAAAACTGTATTTGCAAAACATCCAACAGAAACTCTGTAAACTTTTGTAATCATTCCATCCAGTTCAGGCTGTCAGGGAGTCCTTCATAGGGCCACTGACACACACATACACATACTCACATCGGGGCCAGTCCATCACAGAACATACAAACACACACAGACACACCGGGGCCAGTCCATCACAGGGCACACACTGACTCACACACACACACTCACACACACTCACACCAGGGCCAGTCCATCACAGAGCATACAAACACACACACACACACACACACACACACACACACACACACACACACACACCAGGGCCAGTCCATCATAGGGCACCCACTGACACACACACACTCACACCAGGGCCAATTTTCCCAGAGGCTAGTTAACCTACCAGGAGGCTGCCCACATGCCAGCCATGCAGACAGCACCCCAGGCCCAGAACTGAGCCCAGGACCCCAGCAAAACGGTGCTCACCACTGCACTTCTGTGCCACCCAGCTTTTAGAGCGTGAAAGGCAAAACTGTTTTTGAGGAATTTGCTCCCTCTGCTGGCTGAAGGTTGGAAGAAAAACATTTTTCACTGACCTTGCTGACTGATTTGAGGAAAATCCTTCTCATGAAAGGAAATTCAGCCTTAAAGCATGGAGGCAGAATACACAAATAAAGAAAAAAGCATGCTTTAAAGTACCGCTTCTTTAACGAAACAAGTCTCATGCATGTGCTCTTCTCTGCGCCTGAGCCCTGTAGCCCAGGATAAACCTATGGGCAGCCTGGAGAGTGGAACAAAATGTCTGCTGAGAACAGTTCAAGTTCAAGACTTTATGACCATAACGCTGGCTGCATGGAATTTGGTTTGGCGAGCTCATACAATGCAAATATTCCAGTTAAAATCTAAAATGGACAAAAGAGTCCAGATAAAATACCAATAAGCCGTGCAAAAACAACAGCCTCTGGTGAGCTTTCTTGACCACAGTGGATGCGTTGACCTCCCATTTTAGAGTTCTGGTGAGGGTGGTGCCCAGGAACTTAAACTGTCCACCTCTACAGCGTGACCGTTGATGGACAGTGGTGAGAGTGCTTTCCCTAACGTCCATCACAATTCTTTTGTTTTACTGATATTTAGTTTCAGGTTATTTAGGTAACACTGCCCAACTAATTCAGCTGCTTCATTCTTGTATGTGATGAGCCCTAAGAGAGTAGTGTCATCACCTTACCTCACCTCCATACAATGAAGATAAGGAAAAATAATGTAATAGATAAGAGTGCTGGTTTCTAGCCTTGTTCTGAGTCCCCCTGTGTCTTCTGTGTTTTATTCCAGCTGAGATCTGAATCATCGAGGCTAGCTGTGCTGTGGAATTGAACACCCTGCTGCTTGATCCTTGTGTTTCTCTCAAAAAGAGAGAGATATGTTGCTGCAAATACATCTGTATTCATTCTCTCTTTGGCTTGCCTATTAACTGGTCCCTTAGGTGACCAATCATGAATGAACACAAACAGATGGGTGCAACTATACCCAAACACTCACGATAAAATGAGATTCTGTGTGCTGCAGATAATTGACGTGCAACACAGAAATTGGCTATACTATCCAGCTTCTTAATACATGAAAAAAGCCTTCAGCTAAGGATCAATTAGCCTGATTGATTAAAAGCTCAGTGGATCGGAAAACCAGGGGACGCAGGGTTCCTCCAGGACCAGGGCTCAGGCATACAGGATTAAAATTCAAGACAGAGCACTAATGAAGGGGACTGTTGCTTCATTGCAGGCATTTCTGCTTCATATATGCAATTCTTGTTTACCTGAGATCCTGCTATAGCTATTGTTTTTTTCTAAGATAGGTAAGGGGGTGAGGCCCATGTTTACTAATCTCCTAGCTTGCCTGACCTCTCTGGCTAATGTCTTGACACCCAGAGATACTTGTCTCTGCTGTTTGTCTGGGTCTCACAGTACCCCTTCATTCTTTCTCTGGCAGCTCATACATGTGCCCCTACTGTGTGCATGTGCATTCTGTACTTCAGTTAAACCCCCTACTTCCTGCACAGACCTCAAAATTCCTGTTTTCACCCACCTGCCGAGACCATTCCATTACAGTTGCAGGACCTGTTTGTCCTCTCGCTGACAGTGCATTGAGTTTGAGCCTGGCTGTACTGTTTTGAAAAAAGAGACCTTTCACATAATTTCATAATGCAGAAGAATGGAATGATATTGTTCTTGCATAAATATGACCTGTGCTTTTTCCTCATGTCTCTGCACGTGCGCGACCAGGGGAAAAACACCCATTGTTTCTCTAGTCCCACCCACTATGCTCCTTTGATCCATTAATTTATGGTTTAGTTCTCATTCTAGGAGCTCTGACTTTTCCTTACTGAGCAAAGGTTTTTTAAAATGCAACTCTTACCTCAATCCATCATCATTTTTTCCTTTATTTTTTTCCTTTTTTTTAATTGTATAATTGACCAGTTGACCTTGGCCCTCAGTGGTATTTTTTCTCCTTGCTAAGAAGTTTTTGGTTCCTCTCCTCTGTTGTCTTCTGGTCTTTTCTGTTCTGTATTCACAACGTGTATGTTGTCGCTTGCGTTGTTAAGTGCCTTGGGGCATCCTTGTTGTGAAAGGTGCTATGTAAAAATAAGTTGAATTGAATTGAACCCGTCATGCCATGTCCTCTGGAGACATCTCCTTTGACGTGGTGGACATAGATCTGGGGCTGAAATCACTTGCCGGGTGACCTCTGTGCAGAAAATGATGCAGAACAGGGTTTCAAACAGTGAGTCTTGAGTTTTCTAATTAGTGATGGTCCTTAACTTATCAAACATTTCTCCTTTACCTTAATCACATTCCTTATCACCTGTTGGGTTGCCCATGACATTTTCACATCTTATTTTTGTTCCGGTTATCTCATAAGAGATCTGTATGACAGTGGAATTGAGAGGAAGGACATATGAATGGCTATAAATCAGAAGGGGTCAGTCCATCTACAGTCCATCTACTCGTCTGATAGTTTGAGGATCTCCTCCTGCCCTTCCTTGAAAGATTCTCCTTCAGCTTTTTGTTTCTTGAATGGCAGGGCAGCTTGTTCCAAACTCCCACAACCCTTTGCATAAAGAAGTGCCTCCTGTTTAAGGTTTTAAAAGCACATCCACATGGTATTCGCTAGTGTATTTTAGTTTGTTAATACAATTCCTGTTCAATTAATGAAATTCTTAATGAAGAAACATATCCAATTATAGCCAATTCCAAAATGTGTCAGTGCAAGTTCTAAAGCTTTTGAGACACTAGCCTATCCGTGTATGTCTGTTCATGATTAAATTTATATTTTTGTTTTGGTATAGTTCCATGTGGAATAAAACATCTATTTATTTTTAAACAAGGGAAAATTCCATTCAACTATAATCAAAAGCAAAATATAATATATCAATGTACATACAAATAACAAATGCTACAGTAGATATACAACCTATACGTTTCTGAGGAAGCCAATTACAAATGTTAAAAAACAAATCGGGTTTTCAAAGCTAAGCAAGGTTTAAACAGTTGAAGAAATCTTTTATAACAGGGTAAAATCAAGTCGAAAGAAACGTAACTGTACTGTTTTTTTTTCCGCATATACTATACATATGTCTATTATATTTAGCCTATATGTATTGTCTACGGAGTTACTGGAAATACAAAAAAAAAAAAACTTCAAATCGTGTAATGAATGGGTTACACAAGACAACAGTTAAGCAAATGGGACCCAGTTTCCAAACTCCGATTGGTAGAAAGGAAGTGCACATATCGGGTTTCCCTGTGTATTACTTGAAAAGGTGCAGTAATGGTTATACAACCAACTTGTATAACGAATAGTTTGCTACGTGTGACGTTTGTGGAATATACTGTACAGTATATAAACAGTACAGGGGACATAGGAGTGTGATAGCTTACAGTCCTCCACGATTATTTCAGAAACATGGAAAGCACGTTGATTTCTGCTGAACTTGCTGGAGGTTTTGTCCTCAGTACTGCATATTTGTTTTTTCCACAGAAAGTTTTTGATTTCCAGGTAAATATAACATATTCTGTACTTACTTTTACAACTCTTGTAAAATCGGAGTGAACAATGAGAAAAGAGTAAAGGCATTTCAAGCACTGTACCTTTGTGCAAGGATTTTGTGTACTTGCCTGCAGACAATTATATCCGTAGTAGTACTGATATATTGAAAGTCACATGCATATGTGAATTATATGAAATATTGTATAATGTTTTACGACGTTATGCAGAACGAGGTGCACAATCCGTATCTATTCCTTCAAATACAATAAAATGCACATAAATGTGCTGTAGCAGAATAATAGCTAGAGAACTTTCTGCTTGAAGGTGCGAGTCAACGACAATTTTGTAAAAGTAAACATGATAATGAAGTTTCTCAGCAAATTATTTTAGCAAGTTTACTCCGCAGGCTGCTAAAAGCTTCAAGAATAATATTTAAACCAGGACGTGGTTCGAATCTGTGCTGTTGCTAATCTTTAACTTCTTTGAATCATAATAAGGACCTTGCATACTGTAGGTTTTACAGTACACAGAATCAATGTTGAATAGCTCTTTGCGCGTTTCTCTGAGCACGTTTCCTCCCAACTAAATCCACGAACACCCACACGCAACACAAAAGTAGAGTGCGATTTTAATTAATAATAAATGCACATTTTTGGAACACGGCGAATTTAAGAGCCAAATATTTGCACCTTACAGTGCTTAACAGCACACAGTCTCCCACCCTTTTAGTTTAAACTTAATCGTTACCACCTGCGGTTTGGTTTTTGTTGGTTAGTAATTATTACTAATTAATGCGACTAATGCTTTTATACATAGCGACGTGCAGTGAAATAGTTCACGCTCTAGCTCTTTTAAGCGTTGTGAGACTCATTAATTCTGGGTTCTTGTGATGTTAATTGCACCGCATATACTGTACTGTACTCTTTCCTTTGCAGGGAGTACCCCACCGTGCGGACGGCGTACACTATCACATGACCAGGTCGCTGGGCTGTGTGTGGCTGGCCAGTTACCTCAAGCTGCTGCTCTTCCGAAGAAGCAGGGACCCGCTGGCGCTGGCCTCCCACTCCGCCTCCAGGCTCATTGTACGTACAGTGTGTGCTGTGTGGGAGGTGGAAAAACACAACAAAACACAACACAGAACTTTGAAATCAAGCAATATCTTATTGGACTAAGGCGCGTTCTGCAGACCCCCGTGTCCAGAATATAATTAAATCACTCGAGGGTTGTGTTTTTGCTTATCTGGGCTTGCCCTTGTTGGACTCTCGTCGTATTGCACAACGAAGTGCAGATTTAGAAGATGCAGGTTTTCACTCTTGTATTAGATTTAATTGTAACGGCTTTCTTCCTCTTGCAGCAGCTTTGATAATTAAAGACAGAATAATCGACTGATGTTAACTGTAGATTTAAGTTAGAGACACATTTGTAAAAAAATGTATCTTATCTTCTTACAAACATACTGCAGTTATTTGCATAATTGTTACTTGAGTATTTTTCTAAACCTCTGCTTTAACACTTTCAACTTTAGGCATTCCTCGCTCTTTTACTGAATGTCTGCTATGGAAATTTTACAGCCAGAGTATTTGGAGACCAGGTATGTTATATTTCAGTGGCATCATTTTTATTATTAGAGTCAGGAGAGGCTGATGTGTTAGTGTTAGCTTATTACTGGAATAAAATACAGTTCTTTAATGTTCAGAACTGAGACAAGAAGTCGGAAATTGCATTAGACACCTGTTTTCATTTCACGCTTCAGGGCGGCTCCGTGTTGAGCGATTACACTGAGGGACTCGAGCTCTGGAAGTCTTGAACAATGACAGGAAGTTTTATTTAGTTCCGTAGGTTCATCTTATGCGTTACAAAGAAGCCTTAAAAGCACGAGCGATCATACTCATTTTAAGATTTAAACTTTGCCACCAATTTAATGTCAGCCACTTTGAAAATGGCAAATAAACGTTTGTTGTTTTCCCTTCGGGGAACTCTCGCAGCCCCCCCTGCTGGACATCGCGGTGTACTGTTTCTTTATCCTGGGGAGCGCGGCTCACCTGCTTCTCGGCAGGAGTCAGGTGAAGGGCTTGCTGGACCTGAGTAAGTCCTTTGGCGACCATGGCTTCCTGTTCCTGCAAGTGGATTTTCTCGCTACCTTTGTGTTCGGCCTGCTGTGGCTGGCCTATCCTGACTGGCTTCTCGGCTTCCAGGTAAAGTCTCTTCAACCCACGCCGCCCTGTTCATCTGCAAAGGCCTTTGAAAGTTTTTTTTTTTGTGTGTGTGAGATGGTGTGAGTGACCAGGCCCATCACAACGCTCTCTGCTTGTCCAGACCAGTGGCCCTGAAGATGAGCTTCACCTTCACTTGACCCGAGCGTTTGGTGCCATGATGGTAGGGGACAGCTTTGTGTCCTTAACCGCGCTGGGCTTCAGGAGCGACAAGGACAAGACCTCTGTGTTCGTGGGCCGGACTGTGGTATGTAAAAAAAAGATATTTTGTGCACTTCTGTGGATAACTGTGTTATAAGCACATATCCTAAATTTCTTTAACTGTGAAAACTACCTACTTGACTATTTGATATTTTAAATTGTTGTAAATATTTTTTCCGTTGTGTGCAGACACTTTTATAAACAAATACAGGCTTTCTTTATTTATTTGGATCATCGCAGGAAATGGGTGCAGTCTCTGCACATTTGATTTTGTCTATTCCTTGGATGTACTGGAACAATAATGGGTTAATAGAAAAGCCAAATGTGTTTTTCCTCCCAGGAAGAACATGTTCATGATCTTGTGCTCGCAGATTTGTTAAATTAAAAAAAAAAAGCTAACAAGAATTTTGTTGTGTGAAAAAAAAAAGAAATATTTCCCTGAATATCATGTCATCTGAGAAAGCACCGCGTGTCTTCATATGTTTAAATAACCTTCTGACAAAGGAAATTGAATCTGTCAGGAGTGGTGCCTTGCAATTTTAATTACTTTTTGTGTGTTGCTTAGAAGCTCTGACTACCTTCCATTTTTGGTTTAGTCTAATATATAAAAAACAACCATTCTTTCTACCTGAGTGTACTGTATATTTCCTTCCTGTTAACTCTATTAAATACACAGAGGACAGGTTGAAGGAATTTAACCTCTGGCATTTGTGTGAATGGGCTCGCAGGATTGAAAGAGTCTCTTACACTGCAGTCCAGTATTTTGGGGCATTACAGTTCCCATACCAAGGAGCTGGTGCTCTGGTTCAGCTTGGTTAACATTCTTTTGGGCTGCAAAGCTCAGGTACTTATAGATACCCATGAGTAAATTCAAACCCAAGTTCCACTGCATAGGCCGTGTCGCCGAATGACTCAATTCTGAAGTATCGGACTGAGTTATTTATAACGCAGTTCAACAAGACGAAAGTGAGAGGCAGAGTAGGCAACTTGTTAAAAAGCAGATTTTGCACATCGTGTTAGAAAACACTTTTTTTTCTGCACTGAATTCTAAAAGCATTGAATATGTTTTAAAGACACGAGGTTGGGTTCCAGAACTCAGCTCCACCCTGTAATGTAAGAAGAAACCAGTGAGCTTTGATTGACTGACCTTCCTGTTATCATAAGATCATAATAATGCACGTGGGTGGCTCAGGGGCTAGCAGTGCAGCCTTGCAGCGCTGGGTTCGATTCCTGGGGTGCTGTCTGTGTGGAGTCTTTATGGTCTTCCCATGTTTGTATGGGTTTCCCTTGGTGCTCTGGTTTTCTCCCACAGTCCAAAGATATGCTGGGAGGTTAACTGGTTTCTGGAAAACTGGCCCTGGTGTGAGTGTGTGTGGGTGTCTGTGTCTGTGTGTGCTCTGTGATGGACTGGCATATCATCAGGGTGTACCCCATCTTGCGCCTGGCACTTGCTTGGATAGGCTCCGGCTCCCACGCGGCCCCGAAAATGTGTGGAAGGATTGTCATATTTTTCACTTTTACTAATGATATTACCTTTTATGTGTAAGGTACAATACTGCTACTACTCCTAACTAATCAGAATAATAGATTTATATACCATCTTTGACCAGACATCTCGGGATGTTACTTATCATATCGTACGTTCCTCCTTTGTTTCTAGGGAACTCTGGTTTTGCTCCTCTTCATGGTTTATACCCAGACAACCACGTCCGCCTGGACGAAAGCACACATTTGGTTTGGAATGGTGGGAGCCGGTCTTTGGACTGGGAATTCTGTTCTGGGATACTTCACCTCCAAAGAGTCTGAGAAGGAAGACTAAACTGGCAGGCACAGAGACTAATATACAGGATGGTTGTGAAGATAGGTGGCTTTAAAGAGCAATGCATTGTAAAAACTGTACACAGGGGGGAAGAGAAAGTCAGTACGCGTGCAAGTGGGATAATATGTACAATAAAGGACACAGAATTGGCACATTTCTCTCTCTGATGTCTAGAATCCATTTTCCAGTGGACACCTGGAATGTAGTTTCCCTCTGATGAGTACTGACTTTGTCCCAGGAGAAATAGTTCTCCATCATTCTGTAAGCATCTATAATAATTGTCATTGCTCCACAATACAGCTTTCATGATGCAGTTGTCTGAATCCATCACATATGTTTCTAAGCACCCAGTACTTCTTTTAATCAGATATTTATACTGTGTAAACAGAGTAGACAGAAATGTAAACTGACATGCAGTATTGAAAGCAGATGCTTAGACAAAAACAGGAGCAGACAGACATTCACCCTTGGCTAAAAAGAATGCTTGTTATTGGACAGGATTCAGGGAATAAAAAAAATTAATAACATGGATTACAAAATAAACAGCACTGAAAATCCCCTTGATTAGCTTCTTCCCTGGTTAGCATAGGCAGAGATCTGCTTTGAAACATCTAGCTAATGTGTTGTTGACCTGCTATCCAGCCGATCTCAGTCCTACAGCTGCAATCTTCCATTACTGTGTTCCTTTCTGCTTTCGCATGCCAACAATTTCATGTTTAAAGAAAGATTTTAAATACTGTACATAGAATAATTCAATGAAATGTGTATTTTTTCACTTAATTAATGTTACCTTCCTTCTCGGTGATCTTTAAGATGAAAGGGAATGAAAGTTAAACCTCTATTCATAAAACATTGATATATAGTTCTTTGCAAAAATGTGGGTAATAAACCATATTTCAGCAATACAGCTACTTTTCCTACCTCAGACACCTCATTACATCATCCTTTACATTTTCATTGTAATAATTCTATATCAGTTTCTGAAGTTTCCAGGAGAAAATAGAAATATACTGTATTATGTCACATTTCTACACACTGTTTCCAAAGAGTGATGAAACAAGCTGGGAACATCAATTTAGCTGTTCAGCCAAAATTATTTTATTTTCTTATTATTTCCAGTGGATATTTTTCCTTTCTTAATAATATAGCCCTGCTAATGGGGACAGCACTGTAAAATACACTCTACTTGCATGGTAAGTTTAGTCACATTCCTGTTAGTGAAACACAGAGACACAGTCACCCACCCAACACCAAGCTGTAATACAGTATGTGATAGCTCTGATTTAATCTCATCTCGAGTGTCAAAGAAAGAAATAACGTTTCTCTAATCAAAACCCCCAAAAAACTAGTATTTTTTTCATTCCGTAATGAGCTTTGCAAGTCATGAGAATGCTCCTTTTCATTATTTTTATTTCTGCCACGTATTTCTTGAGTGTTCCACGCTAAGTTTAAGATTAGCCTTTTGACCCAATAACCATGGGTAAAACTTCATTAACTGAGGATCAGCCTGAAATTAATTTCTGGGGAACTTAAGAATGTGTCAACTGTGGGCAATTTTAACCTTGCCACAGAAATGTATCTAGCAAAGGAATGGCAAAAAAAACATAAGTCCATTAGTCAGCAGTTACTCTTCCATTACATTTCATTGACTGTTCTGCACAGAACTGGCATCATTTTACATCTGATAACACGATGTATGAGGTTGAGAACCGAAAAGAACAAAAGAAAAACCAGGCTGAGTAGCAGTGCTGTGAAAGAGCACAAAAGAGCTGCTCTTTAATTAAAATATGCTGAAGAAAATGAGTTAAGTTCTTAATGAGGACTCTAGATAAGGTACTGCTGAATATCAGACTTCACACTAGTATAATTGTAGTTTGTTGGAGCTGTTTTGAAGTCCGTCTAACTTATGTGCATCAAACTTTAAAGACTCGGTGAGGAATACTATAAAAGGTAAGATAAGGAAATCAATACAATTCTTTTTACATCAAGCATTCCTTCAATATGTCATCCCAGAGACGGAGAACACATACAAAGGAGATCAATAAAAACTTTTAAATTCTCGCATTCGGTCCTTTTTCTTCTTCAGAGAATTGGAGCAGGATTGAAGCGCTGGTATTGAAAGGATGCTGCCGTATTTGTGTGAGCCTCCCGCCTTGCGTGGGTGTGAAGGAAACTGTGGGCGACGCCACCGACTGCAGTGAATACAGGCCTGTGCTGCAGATCTGTTTCAGTTACAAGACAAAAGAGGTGAAGCACTGAAAAGTGTCGTGTTCCAGGTGCTGTTGTGGAGAGCTCTTCCAGTGTGCTGTTTCGCCATCAGTTCTTGCTCTTGGAAAAAGTGCTCAGCCTGCTTCAGCTCACAGATCTCCAGTCTTTGGCCTGTCCGTGCACCCCTCTGGCAGATTGAGGATAATGTCCTCTAAACCCCTTTTCTCCTCCAGAATGTCTTCGATGTTCTTGCGGACTTCCTCCAGCTGGGATTCCTGCTCCTGGGCCGCGGCGCGAAGCCCCTGTATTTTCAGATCCAAACTCGTGCTCTCCAAGCCCCGTCTCAGGACGCCCAGCTGGGAGCGGGTTTCATTCAATAGGCTGTCATACCTTTCATTTGCCTTGTCTTCGTCTGTTTACCAGGAAAACAACAAAGTTTTTTAAAGAAAGTTGCAAAACGGAGGTGAAAATGAAAGGAACTGGTGACTGCTATCAGCAGTTCTTTAAAGGGGACAGCTGCAGTGCCAGTGTACTGTTGACCAGCTTGCTTCTATTCATACACATGCTTAAATGGGCACCAGTCTATCCCTGTCACTACCAGAAAGGAATTTAATCTGCATAGCACCATGTGCCCCATCTTGCAGTCAGTTTGCTCAACACCACTGAAACTGTATTCTCTTGCTACATGTGCCAGTAGGCTGTGAAATACTTAGAATTTAACTGTTCTTTAATATTTTATAAATTTGTACTTCATAAGTGGAAACATTTTTTCTTATAGTATAGTATTGAAAATGCTTCACTTTACTTTCATTTACTGTAAATTGATGTTTTTTCAAATTGAAGCCTAAATGTATTTCACTACATTCTCAATATTTCCAAGTAGCAAAGGCACGAAAGGGATTTAGGACTGAGTTAGGACCCCAGAATCTCTATTGCTAAGTAAAAAGATCTAAATGGTTCTTACCTATCTCCTGAAGAAGCTCACTCAACATCAGTGAGTAACTCTCTAGGGCATGCTTTGCAGTTTGAATATTCTCCTTCATACCATCCACTGTGTTTGCTATCTGAGGAGAGTTTAGAAAACAGATGTCAGGAACGTAGTTAAATTCCTGTATTGTTACCGATTTGGTGAGCCCTTCTGGGTAATCATCAAAAGCGTAATCAGAACCTAAACTTCACACTTCAAAGGTTGTTTTATTATTTCTTCACATTCCTGGATGAAGAGCATTCTATCTAAATGGTTACAATTTTTCAGTGAGTTATTGCAGAATAAATCCAGTAGATGGCAGTATGGAGGACCTGATGATACGAGTGGCAATGCCCTCATTACGCATTCTTAAAAGAAGTGCTGTACCTGATTCTTCATTACTTATGAGCAGCACGGCATATCTGTTTTCAGTATCAAGCCTATTACCTTGCAGGCATCTTAGCATACATCTGCTCCTGATCAATGGAGTGTGAAAATGTTTTTTGAAATACCAAGTGTTGGAATGACGGCAGCAATTTAGCAGTCATGATTACCTCTTCCATTTCCCCTATCTCTCTCTTCAGCTGTGAGGTTCTGCCCTCCTGGTCTGCCAGCTCGTGAAGTACCGCATCAACTGTAGAGTTCAATAGAAGTGATTCATTTTGGGCTTTTCTGGTTTGGGAGAGAGTATCCTTTGCAACCTGGATTGAGAAAGTATTAAAAAAGGTGTGAATATCAATATAAAAATGTATATATCTGCTGGTGAAAATATACAATATAGATATAAAATGGCCTGCACTTCCTTGCCATTGGGTTCAGGTCTCTTTTAAGCAACAGTGTCTGTCTAGGGGGAAGACAAAAGCAAGGCTGTACAATACAGAGGAGTACCACCTTGCAGGAGTCCCTCCACTTGTTGATGAATGATTGTTACGATCTGTTTATTTTGGCGCTCTGCACATCGCAGTCTAAAAAGTGTGCTCAGGGTTTCACACTGATATGAACTCCACGTACATTGTGCACGAGCGTAGCCGTGTCTGTAATGATCAAGGAAGCGCTTTGCAGAATTGTACAGAGAATAACTCCCCAGCAGCTGAGCTCCCCATCTGTAGGAATGCTGTCTTGGCTCTTTCAGCTACAAAGACAAAATATCCCACCTGAGACCAGATAACTCCAGCACTCGTTGCATTTAACATGAACCAGAGGGGGGTCAGTACCTTGTCAGCAACAGCAAGCATATGTACTGTATATATTTGTTGTGTGTATGAAACCACTAACACAACCACAGCAGTAGAAAAACAATCCTGTTCTGGTTTATCTTATAATAAAGACTAACAAATGGTTCAAGGTCCTTGGTTCTTTAACTGTCTACAGTATAATGATTTGACTGTGCAGAGGAGGTTTACTAGTTGATAACTGATCTGTCAAGGGAGTGTTAATGCATTGTTTTTCTTGTGCATTAGCTATCAGGTTATTCTCATTAAGCAATCAAGGTAAGATTGTGATTTTAATTACAAATGAAACCTGAAAACACAGCTACACACCATGAATTCCCCTTTGGGTACTTCCAGGTGAACCAGTTTCTTTCAATTCTTCTCTGTAAAGGCTAATTAATTAACACGCTCTTGTAGCTAATTCTTCAGTTTTATGTATTAATCACTCAGCGCTTTCTAACACCTCTCCAAAAAGCATGATGTAAATAGTAATGAGCATTCCAGTCCTGAAATTCCCCTAAGAGCAGAGCAGCACAGCAGGGAGGTGAGATCGGGTGGCCAGGTGAGACAGCGCCCCCTGCAGGCTATGTGATGTGATGGCAGTGGTGGAGGTGCCTCTCCTCCAATCAGCACTGAATCAGCTGTACATCACTGCGGAGCTTGTACCATGTCAAAGTGAGAATAGCTCAGCGTGTGGGCAGGTCAGAGGAGCATTGTGTGACCAGAGCTCTGCACTGTGAAAGATGAGTGGTGTTTCCACATTCAATTGGTATAAAGCAGAAATACAAGAAAAGTGAAATGAAACCAGACTAACTGCTTTTTTAACATTTAGATAATAAAAAGCTTAATTTATTAAAGAGAGAAAATAAATTGATTGTTTATATTTTAATGCCAAGGGGGCTGGCTGCAATTTAAGACCTGCTATGTTCTGCAGCAGAGATGTAACAAAATGTTTAAGGGGAGAACATTCCAGACAGAATGTGGCTCTGGAGGTCTGTATCACAAAGGGGTTTTAGCTCACCTTTGAAGCTTCACTGGCAATACCCTGTGCCTCCCTGGCTGTGGAATTTGCCAGTGTAGAGTTGTCCACAGCATATCTTAACATCCTCTCTCCCTGTTTTGTTTTTTTCTTAGAATCTTCCAATATCTTTTCTTTTACTATTTTTGCTTTCTTCATCGATGCTTTAGTCTGAGCAGTCTTTCGAGGCCAGGACTTCTTCATCACTTCGCAGAAAAAATCAAGATTAGACTAGTTTCCCTGAACTCAAAACGGAGAATCAGTTTCTTGATAAAGCCATGAGAATAAAACAGTATTCATGATGCATCAGTATCAACTATCTGTGTTTTCCTAGTATCTTGTAACAGTAATGACAACACTCAATCACAATTACAGTAAATCATTTTTCCACATTATTCAAAATTACCTTCTAACTCCTTCAGTAAAGCACTGGCTTCTGCCTCGACCTCTTTCCCCTTCACAACCGAGGAAAGGGCAACTGATTTGGATTCTGTTGCACGAGGTGTTAGCTGTGTGTAAATGAGAAAGGAACAGAAAAAGACAAGACTAAAGAAAGATGAAATGCAGCACTCCTGAACTGTGAACACCTTAATATAGGAAATTAGAGGAGGTCATTAAGTCTAGTAGCTTGTTTGACTGCAATTAACTTATTGATCTGAGGAATGCATCCAGCTGTTTCTTGAAGTAGCTGGGGTTCTCTAACAGCTTCATTAACAGGACCAGGTACATTTTTCCAGACGCTGTTTCTACATGCACCTCTTTAGAGAGCATTCCACAAAATACTGTACAGTACGCCCCAGAATTTTTCCTAGTCTTGTCAAAATCTACAGGATTCGATTTAACTTCAGGGATTTACACCTTGAACAATCAGGGCTCAGCAACAGACTGGAGTACTGCATGCAAAGTGATGTAGAGTACAGCTTTTATGACCTACTTAATGAGAAATGCCTGCTTATTTAACAGATTTAGCATGGCACTCATAAGCTAAATGCGGGACTTCACTGGAACAAAAAGAGCTCATTAATTACCTGATCATAATGTTGGATGGTCTCCATATCCTTCTCAATGGACTCCAGGTGTGGCTGCAACTCCAGCAGTATTTTACTGATCTGCTCATCTTTTGACTGAATTAATTTGTCTGATTCTGCAGTTTTGTTACTCAGAACCACTGCAAGAATTTCCTATTAAAACCAGATAAAATTCATTTGAATTGCCAAGAACATTTTATTAATAGTTAGTGGTAAATATTTGTATTAGTTTCATAGATGATACAAGAATACAAATAATAATTACACTGCATGCAATTAAAGTACTGTATTTATACATTACAGAGCATAATGAAGAAAAATGTGTATTAAAACATCCATATAATTTTATATTATTTAACCCTTTAGCTATACTGTAATTCACTGCAGTTCACAGAAAAACCATCAATATAGAAAAGAGTCCCAGTCACAAATGATATCAGTAAAACAAACTGATGGTTTTCTGTGACCTTCAATTGAAGGTGGATTCAATTGTTGAAGTCACAAGAGTGTTGTGGTAAGACCTAAAAGTAAAGTTATATCTTTATCTATATGTAATATCTTTGAATGTTACCTCTGCTTGCAAGTCAGTCACATTGAAATTAGGCTCTGACATCAGTTCTTTCTGGAATGTAGTGAACTTGAGGAAGGCATCTGTAATCTCAGCATTTGTCCTTCGTACTGAAATATGAGTTTTCTTGGCTTCTGTTAAAGTCTCATTCACTGAGATTGTTAAATTATATTTTGATTGATGCATTTGTAAGTACCTAGCAGAAAAAACAGTCTGTAAGTTCATTGCATTCACTTTTACCACTGTCATGTAATGTACAAATATTTTGTGAATACTAATGACACGGACCTAATACTACTTCAATTAATACCTCAGTTGTCCATGTACTGCATATGAGAACAATAACTAGAAAATACTACCGAAGAACTTAAATCCTAAATTATTGAACTTCAAAAGTCACTTTTGAAATTAGTCCATTTTAAATTCCCTGTGTGATATTAGATATTCCAGTGATTTTAAATAGGTGTTAGTTCAAAAGACAGTAAGTTACACATCAGCACAGCTACTGTGTAGCTGCCCAAAAATCTTTGCTGAGGATAATAAATAAACACAAATGATGAAGTAAACTGATCATTTTGTGCTAATGTGTATCTTACTGTGTTTAAAGAAATATGAGTACTTGTACTTGCAGGAACATTATTCTCAAGATCTCGGCGGTATCATCATCTGTCATGTATATGACTTACACTGAGAATCTTGACATCGATTTTGGGAGTGTGGGACTTCTTCCTCAACTATTTCTGTTCTCAGTTTCAAGACGCTTATATAAGGCAGTGGGTGAAATTTTAGGAGCTGCCTTCATTAGTTAAAACCTTGATTTGTTATGTGATGTTTCCTTCCCTGTCACTCCCTCTTTTGCTGTAGAAAAACCTTGAAGTGAAGTCTGATAGACGAGTAGACTGCTTGGCAGGCAGTGACATTATAGCTATTAAATTAAAATGTGGAATGTTCAATATACCGTATTGTCATTTTGTTCTGTTGCCATAATTATTTCCAGCACTGTATCCCTGGTCAAAACATCAAAAAAGTACAGGTATCTGTCTCCATTGACTGTGAATTTGTTAATGGATCCCCTGTTTCTGAATCTTACACACACCCACGCGGGGGTATTGATGGGAATCAGGGCCCAAACTGTCACCCATAAATCCCTGATCAAACCGCAGTTACAGAAAGATTGTACCTCAGCTGTTTTTTCAGATGTGTTTGTACAGTATATGTGCGTGAATGATTACATTCAGACTGGATTTTTTATTCACTGTAAGTGAACAAAGATCCGTGTTGGCATTTTCTTGTAGATTGCGGGCACATGCAAGCCTGTAAGGTTTTGAAGAAAATTAGCTATCTGTAAAAATGACACGCTTCACTTCACAGCAGTGTGTTAGAGTAACAAAAGGACTGCGTGCAATCTTAGTTCACATTTATTATATCAAATTGAGAGCCTGTAGAACTTTAGCATTCAAAATTATTAGTGCATGAAAAACATCCCTTTTGCCAGATCCATCATTCTCACCCATCATTCAGAGCAGCTTTCACTATACTTACTGCTCGGTCAGGGTCCTAATGTAGGCCTCGGTGGAATTTTCCTCCAGGAAAGTCAGGAGCCGAGAAAAGGTCTGATCTGATGCCATAAAAGCCCCTTTTGCTGCCGATTCAATCAAACCTGCCGCTTCCATTTGACTGAGAAGAGAAAAGTTAGATGGTTTGTTGCAGGCACAGCACAATGCTTAAAAACGTGACTTTAAGTGATGGCTGCTGTGGTTGGACTGGGATGTATCTGAATGTGAAGGACAGCCAGTATAGGCCTCGACCTGAGGTTCTGAGGTTGTCTCGGGGTGTCTGGTTCTGATCTGGACTGTGCTAGCTACTGAACGAGACCAGAGGTCCCCTGTGGGTGGTCCGCAGCTGGCCAATAAAGGTCTGTGGTGTCCAGCACTTTTCAGTGTGACCGCAGTTGAAAGTGTGAGCGCCGAGTTGTCGCACAAACTCACTAATAAATGGTCATTACAAAACTGGGGTTTACTAAATCTTCTTTAACCTTCTTGGGCGGAGTGGTGGCACTGTGCCTAAGGATCTGCACCTGTGGCTGGAAGGTTGCTGGTTCAAATCCCATGGCCGGCAGAGAAATCCTACTCCATTGGGCCCCTGAGCAAGGCCCTTAACCCCAGCTGCTCCAGGGGCACCATATGAATGGCTGACCCTGCGCTCTGACCCCCAGCTTCTCTCCCTGTCTGTGTGTCTCATGGAGAGCAAGCTGGGGCATGTGAAAAGACAAATTCCTAATGCAGGAAATTGTATATGGCTAATAAAGTGATCTTATCTTATTTAAAGCATTTTATATCATTTACCTTAGTGCAAGGACCTGTGATTCATTTACCAGAGCTGTCCATTGGTTGGGCCCAGTTGGCATTTCAACAGGAATGACCTTGAAAACACAATCACAAAGACAATCAAGTCTGGGAAGAATTTCTTTCTTTTGTGTCAATGGGTTCGAAGCCTCTAATTAAGCCCTGTTGAATATTTTCTCAGTGCTGACACCACATTTTGGTATTGAGGAGAGGTGTTAAAGTTGCTAATTAGAAACAAGTGCAGGCTTGGTTTAAATCTGTTAAATTACAGCAGTAATTGTGAAAAATACTGAGCCAAGAACAGAAGGTCTGTGACAAGCTCTGCAGCTCCGCTCTTACGCTTTTTCAACATCAATAAAAATGTACTATGGATGGAGACTAAAACAGAAATACAGAAATAGGAAAGACACTTAATAAAGCCAGTTTCATTCTAAAACAGCTCATCTTTGAATATTTGAGAAATATTATTTGAGTTTTTCTAAACAGAAATTGAACCAACATTTAATATGCATGTTTTTCCATCTGCTGCTGGTTGTGCCGGGATTTCATTTCTTTGCCTGAGGCTCTGTAGCCTGGAGTTGAACAGGTATGAATATTTTAAAAATGGAGACTTGCTAACGAGAAAGATGATTGTGTCTCTCAAAACACACTGATATGGGGTTCTGAACAATTTGAATATACTAGTCCATATATATTCTAAAGTAAATATGTTTGTATACATATACAAGCAGAAAAAAAAATATTTCAACAATATATGTAACTATTGCTACTGACCATTTACTTTTCTATTTTTGAGCATAAATCACAATTCTGCCAGCTCCTGCCCTACCATAGTGTCCAGCATCTGCTTTGCTTGCTGCAGCTGTCTCTGAGCTGTGCTCATGAGGGACGTGGTGTCTGACAGGGCACTGCATGGCTTATCCGTCTCCTGGCTGCTGCAGTTCAATATCAGGCTTACGGTACCGAGTCTCTTCTGCACTTGCTCTGCAGATCTCTCCAGCTGAGCAAACTCATTCACAAAGGCGTCCCTGGCATCTGTAAACAGAGCAAGAGGAACAACCATTTGTCTTACCAAGGCCTGTTTCCTTTGGTATCACTTCAGCGTGTTGCATATTATTTGCTTGGCCATTGTCTTTCTGCAGTAGACGTAGAGCCATCTGTTAAAGAATATGATTGCTGAGAACTGTCTGCAGGGATGAGCTTTTAAGAAGCAGAGGATGACAGTGGGAATAATGGAGCTTTAAAGGGGAGGGCTTGCCTTCATTACTGCTGAGCAGATTTTGAGACTTAAAAGGATGACTGTAAATGTCAGGCTCTCAGATGACATGCATGGCTAAATGGTTATGTTGATGATGGTTTATTTATCCTTCTTAAAGTGTAAAAGTATCCACATGGAAATTGGATAAGATAAGTACAGAGAGGGAAACACCGAATTGCTTTATCAAGTGCACTTGGTTCAAAATCCAAGGAGATATTGAAATTAAAAGAGTTCATCTACAAGAAGATAAGAGGCACTACAGGGAAATGGGAAAAACTGCCCCCAGTCATCAAAACACACAGCTGTTCTCTTTTGCTGTGTTTTGTTTTCAGCTTGGTGGCAGCCTGAAATGGACATGGTTCTTAAACCTCAGGTAAATTACTACTTATCATAAATAAATAATAGTGGGTTTCATATAATGAAAGGAGTGTCCAAATATTGATCAAGCATAACTGTTTAATTTCACTAACAGTCTGATTATAACCTTCCCTTTACTGAAAAATTCCATTAATTTTACAACAAAATGTACTTAACACTCACAAAGAACTGAAAAAAACCCAGTCTCCTTCTCAAATACCACCCATGATGATTGTTAACTTAAAATATATATATTTAATTTTGCCATTCAAGTAACAGCAGGGCAGGTCTTCTGGCACTGAAGAAACCTGCATTAATAGGCAACTGCTCTGTTGACTGAAAGGAGAGATATTTATTTTAATTTTACCAGTAAAATAAAAGACAAGCTCTGTTCTGTGTCGGAGACAAGTTGTACAGAGGAATCTCTATAGAGGCGCACAGGACTGTCACCTTGCATTGCTAGCAGCCCCTCCAGGGAGTTTGTCCAGGAATGCTCTCTCTGTATTGGGTAGTATTCAGGTCCTCTGCGGTAGCGACAGTCATACTTCTCCAGCAGATTCTCTAAAGCCTGCAGAGTTTCCTTAAGTTTGGCAGCCTTGGAATAAAACACGCATACAATTGTGTGAGATCTGTAGAATTTGTAGAGTACAATTACTGGACTAAATTCCTGGACTTAAAGGTCATTTGGTTCTTATACCGACTGAGCGCTCAATTACTGAATCAATGCCTTAATTGAACTAATAATTTGCTTTATTTGACCTTTATTTGACTGGGTGGCTCAAGGGGTGGGCAGGTCAGGGGTGAGGGTTTGTCCTGCTTTGCACTGAAGACCTAAAACTGCTGCTCCAAATTGGTCTAGCGTGTAAGAAAAGATTTGTTCAATTTTTATAGATAAAGTCCTTAAGGGCTTAGGTGGAAATGAAGAAGAACTTTACATACAGTCTACTGTACTATAGGATTGAAGATGTAAGGCACTTCTGTTTTGTGAGTCTGGAACAAATTATCCATCCAAGATGAAACTGACTTAAAGGGGTATCTCAAGAGGAGATTTCTTTTCCTAAAGTTATTAGCAGCCAAACAAGCGTGTATGGTCTTCTCCATGGTTTGTATGGTTTGTTTTAAAGTTGCTGTCAGTCCTTGAAACAGTTTGAAACACTTTCATTAAATCAAAACACAAAATGGGATTCCAGCTACTAGAGAAACCTCCACTGAAAACACTGAAAACTAACTGCAGTAGTGTTTTAAATAAAAACGTTTACCTCATCCCTCACAAGACTGTAGCACGCAGGGCACTCCTCACACTGGTGTGAGCCCCTGTTGTGGAAGTAATTGAGCTCACATTGGTCACACTTGTATCCTACAAAGCCCTCTCGGCACACACATGTCCCGTTACCGTGGCACTGCATGGTGACAGAGCCCATGGGGTCACAGTTGCAAGCTGGGGGAGAGAAGAGGTGCTGTCACATTAGGAGCTGCTACATGGCATTTCTTAAATTCATTTAATTTTCCACTGAACATTAATTAGGGCACTGCAGCTCTGGAATGGCTGGGGTTTTCTGAGTCTTTTACGTGTGCTCCATGATGTTTTTTTCATCTAGTGCTTGTACTGAAAATATAGGCCACCCTAAAACCGACTCCCAAGTCTTCCAAGAATTCCATCACATTGTGGGCATTTAAAAGCCTTTCCTCTCACATGATACATGAGGTAAAAGAAGTAGGGCACTAAGCATTCCTTATTTCAGGAAAAACAAATCAGACAGTCGTTGCCAAAGGGTTTGCTTATACCAAAGTCCAAGCATTAGATTTTCTGCAATGAAACTCAATGAGAGACGTGAGTCTCGGGGGATGCGATCCGAGAGGGATGGGACCGATGAGGGGTCCTGGGAGAGGAGAGGGGATTGCTCACCTCTGCAGCCCCTGGAGGAGAAGCCAAAGAACCCATCCCGGCAGGAGTCACACCTGGCTCCTTCCACCCCAGGGCGACATGTGCAGCGCCCTGACACGGGGTGACAGGCCGGGGAGACAGCACCCACAGGACTGCACTCACACCTGCACATGAACAGCAGAGAAGTTCACCCTGGAGGGAAGGCACTAGAGCAGGTGATAACCTGGCTTCCTCTAGAAACAGCTGGATGAGCTGCTTGGATCAATTAGCTACTAACTACGGCATCATTCGGGTGGGTTGAATAGCCTCCCGTTGTTTCTAACCTTTCTTATGTCTGACTTGTTCTTTTGACAATAGCAGCATTAGATGCAGGCTCCCCACACAGGCCCACCACTGCTCTTCAAGGAGAAAGAGCTTTTATTTTTTGACATTCCTAAGCAGAGATAGAAGCGCACACCAAAGGCTAATGTGCCGATTGCAGTTTCTGGAGAAAAAAATTCCCAGACCGAGTCTTTTGTCTTGCTTTTATATGCACCCTTGTCCCCTGTTATTTTAATAGTATACAGAAAAAAGGTAGAAACCTATTCCTCAAGACCACAGGGGTCTTCTGCTTTTTGTTTTGTCCAGCCTCTAACCTAATTAAACCAATTATCGGAACAGCGGAATCCTTCAAGCACTTCTCCCAGGCTCTGCGCCAGTGGTTATTGAAAGTGGGCGACGAGGCGTGTGGAGCGTGCCGTTCTGGGGCTGTGGTTCCCCACCTCTCACAGCCGGCCCCAGGCTGAAGGTTGAAGGAGCCTGTGTCACAGCGGCTGCAGTCTCGTCCAGTCACGCGGCTCAGGCATGGGCACTGGCCAGTCTGGGGGTCGCAGCCAGGCGGTGACCCCAGGGAGCCGGCAGGGCTGCAGCTGCAAGCTGGAGAGCGGGCGACAGGTGAGAGATTTGCAAATTTGCACGGAGCCTTGTTAATAACGCTTTTATAGATTGGAAAGCCTACACAATTTAGATCCAGAAACTCTCCCTCATAACCTCGTTATTTCTATTGGGTGCAAGATTATAAATCAAACTTGTCAGCACACCCTCCTCATTTAAGTCTTTGCTGGAAGATGGAAAGTGGATGTTTCAGCGCTATTACGCATCTTTGCCTCTATGTCTTATTTTGTGAGCTGCAAGATTAACAATCTCTGAAGCAGCTCCTTACATAACAGAACCGAAATGAAAAGCTGGGGTTTGCAAGAGGAATTGAGTAATTGTTCAGTGTCTTCCATCAAATAACAGCAGGATATAGAATTCTCAGTAAGATTAACAGACTGCAGGCTGCACATCTGAGATGAGGACGTTCTGAGCGCTGACAATAATTTTATCCTCTACAGCAATTTATAGTTGCTGTCGGCTCTTCTGTGTCAGCATCAAAAGGCTGCTTTAAACATTTCTGCTTCAAGAGGAAACCTAACAGTATTGATTTGCTAATCTACTCTCTAAATGCGTGTATACTGTGTAGCTGCAAAAAACAGTTTTACTTTAGACTAAAATTGATGTCACTCATAAAAATATGAATACACGCTAAACGAGCTTCAAGGTACCGATATTCCTCTTGATTGTAACCAGATGCAGTCTTTCACAGAGACACCTACGTTTGCACTTGTCGCCAGGATGCGCGGCCTGCGCGTTGCCGTAGTAACCCTCCCGACAGCGCTCGCAGTGGTCCCCCTCGGCGTGATGTAAGCACTTGAGGCAGCGCCCGGCCACGGGGTCGCACACGCCCACGGCGTTGGGGTCCACATTGCCGTGGCACTCGCAGGGCAGGCAGCGCCTCGCGTGCCCGTAGGCCCCCAGCGGGTCGCCGTAGAAACCGTCGTCGCAGAGCTCGCATCGCCTCCCTGCAGCACGAGGCAGATTCGAGACGGGGTTGAGCTCAGAAGGGACAGGGCAGCCACCGGCTTCACTTCCCTACAAGGAAGCTACTGGAACCGGCTTCATCACTCTGCTCTCCTCCCGACTGAGCGCTGGTGTGTGGGGAGCGGGCTGGAGCATCATCCAGGTGGGGCTGCACACTGGTGGGGGTGGAGGGGATCCCCATGGCCTGTAAAGCGCTTTGAGTGGCGTGTCCAGTAACGCGCTCTAGAAGTGTAAGCGTTTCATACTTCCTGTGTTGAAAGGTAGGATGTGACAGGGACAGGATCACAGTAGGTAGAGCCGGTCTGCTAGACGAGAAATCATTGCTGCCGAGGTGAGGAGGGAGACGGGCGGAGAGCTTGAATTCTTCAAACCTCTTTCCCCTGCAGGGCCCGCAGTCAGACCCAAGACCTGCACTTGGGCGAGCAGCTCTCACATACTGTAAAAAGACCTTGAAGACCCTGAAGACACCTTTCAGCAGCACAGGGAATGAGAGTCAGTTCCCTTGGTGGGAATAGTACATGCAAGCAGGACTGTTGTGCAGCAAAAAACGGAAAAGTAAACAAAAGCACAGAGTATATCAGAGACCGTTGGACTCTTCCCATGTAAGAACTGAGTATGGATGTCTTACCCCTCTGCCCCGGTGGGCACTCCGTACACACCACTTCCTGTGTGGCAGGGATCTGCGTGCAGCCAGACTGGCTGGGACAAGGACAAGGCTGGCAGTCACTGGAGCTGCCAATCAGAGGGTTCCCATAGAAACCGTGCAAGCAACTGTCGCAGGCCGGGCCTGTAGTGTTGTCTGTACACTGACAGACACCTGAGACAGAAGACCAAACAGGGTTAGAAAGCAGACTGCTCAACATTAACACCAGAAAACGCTGTTTTACTAGCTAGTATGGAGCTAATTCAGCACTTTGAAAAAAAATACATTTAGGGTTGAGGCTATTTCCCTTTTTCCTGTGAGATTCAAGGTGCTTCATTTCGTTCAGGATGTTTCTGTTTGAAAATACATTTGACAATACATGGGTTTTTTGTAAAAACTTTTAAAGTTTTGTAGTTAAATCAATGGAGAAAGGGTGGGAAAATTCAATCACTCTTGTAAAAGAAATTTAAATACAGCAGTACCACTGTTATGTGCAAATGCATATGCCAGGATATAAATCACGTTTAGGTTATCTACCAAAATTTGTAGACTTGAAACTTTCAGCTAAAATAAAGTAATATTTCAAAGTGCTGAAAGTAGAAGTTTCTGTTCTTCAAGATCAAATCTACTTTCAGTACTTTGAAATATTATTTGGGTGAAATAAAAAATATTTTCAAATATCAAAGCCCATCAGCCATCCATCCATTTTCTAACTGTTTTTCCAATTCAGGGTCAGAGGGGAGCTGCAGCCTATCCCAGCAAGCCACAGATGGGGTACACCCTCATCAGGATGCCAGTGCATCACAGGGAAGAAGAAGACAAATACACACACCCACACCAGGCCAGCTATCCCAGAAACCAATTAACCTACCAGTATGTCTTTAGACTATGGAAGGAAACCCACGCAGATAGTACCCCAGGTTTGGAATTGAACCCAGGGGTCCCAGCGCTGTGAGATGGCAATGCTGACCACTGTGCCACCATGCTGCCCAAAGCCCATCAGATAAAATTCTAATAATTAACTCATTAATCTACCCTTGTTCTAGAAATGCTAATGCAATGCAGTGCTCTTTTTGTTTTCACCCAGTAGGGGGCAATGTGAGTCTAGTCATCACAGTACAGCTTGACTTTAACTTTGAAAGCTCTGCTGCACTGAAATCTTATTCATTGGTAATAATTTTGGGGACAGAGTGAAAGAAGTCCAGCCAGTTCTTAAAAAGCTTCAGGAAGCACATTAATCCCTTTCATTTGGGAGATTAACAGATTTATTTTCAATCTGAAAAAAATAATCTCAGCAATTTGTGGATTAAATTTATCATTTGTATTTTTTCTATTTTCCAATTCACTTTTTTACGGCACCACGCTGAAGAACCCATCATTTCAATGACTTCAGTTAAGAAATTTAGGTGCCTCATTGTAGCCTGTGAAAATTAAAACAGACCTTTCATTGGTCTGATTTGCGATTTAAATTGCAGGCCTAACGATTAATAATTACATGGGATTACATTACAACAGCCTTCTAAAAGACCTTCCAGCAATACATGCTTTGAAAGTGTTTTGTCTTTGTTCCATAACACAAAATATTGTGGTGCTGTTTTAAATCTTAATGACGTGAAATAACCTTGTGGGTAGCATTCCAAATGTTTTTCTCCAGGTTTAATTATAAAATGAAATCCTTTTTCTTTTCTTTAAAATTCAGGAAGATATCAGTCTTGAAAAATGGATGGAGATTAATTGTTAACGTAGTAAAAGAACAAAAAGCAATAATAATAATAATAAACAATTGCATTTATACAGTTTTTCATCCAAAAGGATCCCAGAGCACTTCCTGTAGGAAGGGATCCATTTCAGCCTCCAGTGCTCTGGAAGTGAAGTGCAGGACCCACCTGGCTGACTCATGGGACATTATTAGACAGCAGATCACATTGAGAAGTGAGGGATTTGCCATATTATACAAAACCAGACAAAACATCGGGGTTTAACCCCTCTAATCTTAAGAACAGTGATATGGGATCACTGTTTAATGACCAAAAAGTCAGGTCTTTGGGTTAAAATCTCATCTCAAGGACAGTACCTCCCACAGCACATTGTGCTCAGTTACCATAATGGGTTTTTGGAAACAGGTCCAGAGGGAGGAGCTTCACCTACTGGTCCACTAAGCTTTGTTGTCCTTGAAGGTGTCCGAAACCAGCACTGACCATACTTACACCTGCTTAGCGAGCCCTGCCAAAATCGAACTCCAAGCTGATAATGCTGTTGCCACGGAATGTGTGAATATAAGGTCATTCTTTACACGCTTTATGTATTTTTACCGGGTTTTAATTAGATTGAATAATTAAACAAGATATCCATCTTAAATGGACAAAACCAGAGATAAACAAACCCGGAAGAGCAGGGATCGAGCGCTCCAGTAACTTTACCAGCAGAAAAAAAACCAGCCATCCAAGAATGCTACAAGCTAGTGTTCCTGCACAATAACACACAGCATTCGAGTGAGAATTATAAGCGAAAGAACCCCCCCACCCCTCTCTCTCGCACTCCCTCCAATGTAATTAAATGTAGTCATTAACCGGGCCATGAAACCCATACTCATTCAGTCTCAGCGATCACCATCAATCAATGCGAGTGGTGCAGAATGCCTCTTCTAGTTTCGCAGGGCTTGTCCAAGGGGACGGCTTCTGCACAGCCTCTGTGACATTCTCTCCCCAGGGGCGTCCTGGCGACCTCGTGTTAAGCGGTTCATGTCATGGGTGTGCACTTACTTGTCATGCACGAAGTGCATGCTTGCCTTAAGCCGTTATGGAGAGGAACCTTTTATTGCTCACATACTGTGGGGCTCCTTTTAGCAGGAGGCCAAGAATAAAACATGAATAAAAACACAATAATCACATTACAATCAGTCTAATTCTGAAGATGGCCCTCCATTAGGATCAGATGAGAACTCAAATCTAAGACATGAAATGTTAAATAAAACTACTGCCTCTGGAATTGATTCTAACCTTTATTTTAATTACTTAATTAACCTTTTTTCTTTTCTTAATTATTGAAATAATCATGGTTTAGATTTTCATCACTTGCCAGTTTAAGGATACTTATAAAACCTGCAGCACTACAGCTCCTCTGGGATCTGTTTGATCAACCCTTTGCAATTTAACACTTCAGCTTCTGCCAAGTTCACAGGGACTGGTTTGAGCCGTTTGGTAGCTACAGCCCAGTGCACCTTTGTGTGAAAAAGAACGACAAGATCTTGCAAATATGAAATTATTTTTACAGGAATAAAAATGAGTGACTGTGCTGAAATTAACAGGTCACAATAAGATTTTTAAAGCAGGATGCCCCGACAGTTGTGATCACAATAATGCTGATATATTTTCTAAACCGTTTGATATAATACAGGGTCACAGGGGTGCCGGAGACTAAGCCAGAAAGCTGACAAGGCAGGGTACACCCTGGGTGGGATGTCAGTCCAGTGCAGGGCACACGGATACAAATACAGACACACTCACACCAGGGCCAGTTCTCCTAGAAGCACATTTCCAGCATGTCTTCGGACTGTTGGAGGAAACCAGAACACCCAGAGGAATCCCACACAAGCGCAGGGAGAACATACAAACTCCACACACAGCACCCACCCCCAGGGCCCCGCCCCGGTGAGACAGCTCAGCAAACCATGCGCCCCCGTAGTGCCAAGATGCAAGAAAATGTAAAAGAAACGTGAAGATGACATTCTTTGACTTACACAACTACTGCTTTAGTTACTATTTTTTAAGGAAAATCATTGTTTTTGTTTTCCATAAACGTTTTAAAACTGTCTTATGTTTGTTTTGTTTTTACAAAAAAGCAGCGATCTAACTGTCACAGTTCTACTTTATTTAAGGCTGAGAAGCTAAAGACTGCAAAAAACATCTCCTAGTGCAGCTGTTTATCTTTCTTCATTCTATTTATTTTTCTAGCAAAATTGGATTCAGAAAAATCCTCCTACACATTCACCACTGTTTTCAGATTTGGGAGGTCTAGGAGCAAGAGCAACATAGTTTTGAAAATAAACTATATTAGGCAGGGAATGTGATACAAAAAAGACGGAGTCAGTGTCTCTGGTAAAAGAAGAATTTAAAATTTATAGATATGGGGGTTAGAACAATTGAACAGTACCCAGAGATAGCACATTATCTGCTGTGTCTGCCTTCCAAGGTATAATTTATTCCAATATGCAGTTCAACGCAAATCAAAGGTAATTTGATGCTATTTTGATATTCATTGAAATGTCGTGAATTATGAATACTTTGGCAAAATGATGCCAGTGCATTTTTATGAATTTTTGTTTCAACCGTTAGATACAGGTTCCGATGTAAAAAAAACTACTATCTTGTACAGTTCATCCATGTTGTTTCTTGCGTCTTTTTAGAAACCTGAAAAACACAACCAAGTAGCTGAGGTACCGTACATTGTTCCACATTTCCCAGAAAAGTAAATTAGCAAAACAATATTACGATGAAGACAACTGAGTACCAAATGTAAGAGATCTCTTGAAGAGAAATTTATGATGCGTTTATAATTACTGATGTAAAATATTTTAGCAGAATTATATTGGGGGACATTAACCTAATGAGAAAGACATAATGTATTTCTCATTAGTTTCTGTCCTCAGGTGACATAGTATGCTCTGGGACCTCTTTCTCGCAGTCACTAGGAGTTTTGTGCTCACTTCTTGTCATTAAGCATCAGCAGAGGGCTTATTTGCAGGCGATGGTTTGGGTTTTCCCATCAAGAGTCAATACAATACATACGGCTGCAACTGAATAATAAATTGTGGCTTTATGTTTTCAGTTTTCTAGCCAGCAGATATAATTTACAATTTCTCACCAGCAAAGTAAAATACTTACTACATGACTACATGACTGAGATACTGCTGTGTCCAGCTGTGTTTATGGACCAGATCTGGTGCAGACTTGTTGAAAGATATGATGGTAAGACAATTTACGTGCACAGACTGGTTCTCGGTACCTCTGTTGATATTTAAGACAAGAAAGATTCCAAATAGGATTTAGAAATGCCTTTCGGAATGCGTTTTATGCATTTTTCCATCTTAAAACAATGTTATTATAATAGATACATATTTTTTTCCTAAAACATCTTAATAGGGAAAAAGCATATGTGTGACTTCACTCTGTAAC